ATAGCTCTATAGTTCTTTTCTATAGCTCTATAGTTCTTTTCTATAGCTCTTTAGTTCTTTTCTATAGTTCTATAGTTCTTTTCTATAGCTCTATAGTTCTTTCTATAGCTCTATAGTTCTTTCTATAGCTCTATATTTCTTTTCTATAGCTCTATAGTTCTTTTCTATAGCTCTATAGTTCTTTTCTATAGCTCTATAGTTCTTTTCTATAGCTCTATATTTTTTTTCTACATCTCTATAGTTCTTTTCTATATCTCTATAAATCTTTTCTATAGCTCTATAGTTCTTTTCTATAGCTCTATAGTTCTTTTCTATAGCTCTATAGCTCTTTTCTATAGCTCTATAGTTCTTTTCTATAGCTCTATAGTTCTTTTCTATACCTCTATAGTTCTTTTCTATAGCTCTATAGTTCTTTTCTATAGCTCTATATTTTTTTTACATCTCTATAGTTCTTTCTATAGCTCTATAGTTCTTTCTATAGCTCTATAGTTCTTTTCTATAGCTCTATATTTCTTTTCTATAGCTCTATAGTTCTTTTCTATACCTCTATAGTTCTTTTCTATAGCTCTATAGTTCTTTTCTATAGCTCTATAGTTCTTTTCTATAGCTCTATAGTTCTTTTCTATAGCTCTATAGTTCTTTTCTATAGCTCTATAGTTCTTTTGTATACCTCTATAGTTCTTTTCTATAGCTCTATAGCTCTTTTCTATAGCTCTATAGTTCTTTTCTATAGCTCTATAGTTCTTTTCTATAGCTCTATAGTTCTTTTCTATAGCTCTATAGTTCTTTTCTATAGCTCTATAGTTCTTTTCTATAGCTCTATAGCTCTTTTCTATAGCTCTATAGTTCTTTTCTATAGCTCTATAGTTCTTTTCTATAGCTCTATAGTTCTTTTCTATAGTTCTATAGTTCTTTTCTTTAGCTCTATAGTTCTTTTCTATAGCTCTATAGTTCTTTTGTATAGCTCTATAGTTCTTTTCTATAGCTCTATAGTTCTTTTCTATAGTTCTATAGTTCTTTTCTTTAGCTCTATAGTTCTTTTCTATAGCTATTTAGTTCTTTTCTATCGTTCTATAGCTCTTTTCTATAGCTCTATAGGTCTTTTCTATAGCTCTATAGGTGTTTTCTATAGCTCTATAGGTGTTTTCTATAGCTCTATAGGTCTTTTCTATAGCTATATAGTTCTTTTCTATAGCTCTATAGTTCTTTTCTATAGCTCTATAGGTGTTTTCCATAGCTCTATAGGTCTTTTCTATAGCTCTATAGTTCTTTTCTATAGCTCTATATTTTTTTTCTATAACTCTATACGTCTTTTCTATAGTTCTATAGTTCTTTTCTATAGCTCTATAGGTCTTTTCTATAGCTCTATAGTTCTTTTCTATACCTCTATAGGTCTTTTCTATAGCTCTATACGTCTTTTCTATAGTTCTATAGGTCTTTTCTATAGCTCTATAGTTCTTTTCTATAGCTCTATAGTTCTTTTCTATAGCTCTATAGTTCTTTTCTATAGCTCTATAGGTCTTTTCTATAGCTCTATAGTTCTTTTCTATAGCTCTATAGTTCTTTTCTATACCTCTATAGTTATTTTCTATAGCTCTATAGTTCTTTTCTATAGCTCTATAGTTCTTTTCTAAACAGCTATAGAAATGTTGAAAGGTGTTCAACCCGTGTGCTATCAATATAAACAATTAGTCACTCGGCTCAGCGTAAATTAATACACGACGATAGATATTGAATATTTGTCATTTTAAAACATTAATTTTTAATCACAACGTCAAAATAATTTTTGAAAACAATGATTTTTATTTCCTTACAGAAACTCGTAAAACAAACCAGGTCACTGGAGTGGTGATTGGAACTGGGTGTGGCCTCGTTTTCCTTTGTCTGACGTTCCTAGCTCTATGCCACTCACGAAGATGTAGACTACGTTGTTTGCAAAAAGAAGTCGAAAAATATTCTGATCATGCAGATGTTGTGGAGGAAGAAGGTCCTCCTGCATACTGCGATGGTAAGTTCATGTTAAACTTATGATATTTTTTTAATTAGTTCTCTAACGTGTTTCTCAACAGTGATGGCTTCGCCTGACAAGTTTCCAAAGACTACAGATTCAACAAACAACAGCGAAGAGCTTCCGCCTTATCCAGGGTTACCGCAGAATGATAATATGATACCCAAGACATCCCAGCAATCCCTCAATGACGCTGGGTACATCTCACAAGAAATTGAGGAAGTCGTCCTTGAAAAATCTGTGATTGATGGAACAGAAAGCAGTGGTGAAAATTCGCAGAATGCCTCAACGAGACCGCCTGAGATGTCGGCAAATGAGCAGGAGGTCGAGGTAAGCATTGAAGAAGCAGAAGAGACAAATGTCGCTACCAATGATGAAAAGACCGCTAAGGTAAAGGTTCAAAATGCCGAGTTTATCGATGACGATAAAAGCACATGGGATGAGTTAGAAACGCAAGATTTTCAACATCCAAAATCAATAAACACTGTTGTTTAAAGAATAGTAACCTTCAACTGGGGCAAAGTATATTCAATTAATGGTACTTTACTAAGTAAAATATTTGTAGGCATAAATTTACTGTAATTAATAATAAAGTTCGTCTAAATTTAACGCAATTACATATAAGATAGACTATAAATGGCGCATAGAATATTTTAACATAAAAGCAAAAGATATAAAGCTCGAAATGACGTTAGTGCAATTTAAGAGGAAAAGAAAATTTCTTTTGTTTTCGTTTGCTCAAACAAAATGAAATTCTTTGAGCTTTGGTTTCGCGGTTGTTCTCAAACCGCTTGTAAAAATACGAAGCTTTTACGTTTAGGTAAAGGCTTAAAATCAGCCTACCCATAAATTATTTGGTAGTTTAATAACTTCATCCTCACAAAATTACTCAACACTCCTACCTTATTTATCGTTTTCTTTTGACTTGAGTATTTGAGCAGACTCGCACTGACTGTTTCCTATGAGTTTTGATCTTGCTAATATTAAATGAAGGTTTGACGGCCATAGTCCATTAGCAGTTCAGTTTTTGAGCTAAAGGTTGGAGTAGTTTTAAAATACATAATATTGAAGTAAATGCAGTAAAATATAAACATACAGAGAATTGTAAACTCGAGAAAGATATGTATATAGAGTTTGGATTTATTATATATATATAAAGCAGATATATAAGTCGAAATAAAGAGTTTGTTGGTCTTAAAAAAGATTGATATTTAGGAAGTCAACAATATTGCAGCATTCATATAGTATTGTCAAGGACATGTGAAAAAAATTGTCAACATAAAAGTCAAAAACATAAAATTGACATCCAGACATTGAGAAAAATATTCTTAGCTAGATTAACTCACCAGTAAGCTCCAACCGACGTTTGTTTTCAATTTAAATGTTAGACTTTAGGCAGACTTTCTTTCTAGCTGAGGTTAAGATTATTTTTGCATACAATATGCAGCCAGTCAACTTGCTCAAAGAAAACTTCAATGTCAAAATCATGTGACGCATATTTCCATCGCTCAAACTGCCATCCTCTCGGTCAGTATCATTGATTTGGTCACCATGAGATTCTTTACGAAGGATAAGATTTCTCCTGCAAATGATACAAAATATTTTAATAGTCTGGGTATTTTATTAGTCTGGGGGTCTGGTCTGGCATCCCCCGGATCGCAATGCCCTTGCTGTTTGGCAATGCTTGTAGAGCAATTTAAGAAAATTGACAAGTACATGGACAATATACAAGTTAAATGCCACAGTCTCAGCTTCAATAATGTGGTTATCAGCATTGGAGTAAATGTGATTATTATCGATACATTTAACGACGTATCTATTGAAGCAATCAATATCTGCAATATCTGTATCCATCTCTGCAATATACAAGCAGTCTTGCTTCGTCTGCATACTAAAACCTCATTCACAGTGACACTCACATAGTTGAGCTTCAAAATCAATAATCATCTCGTAACTATCCGAAGATCGTATTTGTAAAAACATGTATATTTTCTATTGCGATCTAGCTGAAGTATCTTGCTGGAAGGCGTGTCTGCTTAGAATTTGCTTCAGAAAAGTGGGGAACACGAACATCAAATGTTCCGACACGAGTAGACCTTCTGTAAAGATATCTATTCTGTGCCGTTACTCTCGGTTTTAAACAAACCATTCACTTTATTGCGTTACGTCATGTAACACGAACATCAAAGGTTCCGACACGAGTAGACCTTCTGTTAAGATATCTATTCTGTGCTACAACTACAGCTGTTGACCATCATTAGTTTAAGAATTGTAAAGGTTTGGCGTATAAATCGACGAATAACATGGAAATTGACGATAGTGAAGTTTTCAAAGTTTATTTTGTAATACTATTTATGTAAAAGTTTTGAAACTCTTCAAATATGGCGAAGCCTTTAATGCACGCAATAGTAGGTTTATAAAGAACTCATAAGTAATTGAGTATGTGTATATAAGTGTACATAACTATACATAATTATACATAAGTGTACATAATTATATTACATCGTGTAAAAAGAGTGCTCAATATGAATGTTTTTATTTTTCTATACAATATTTGTTGTTACATTTCAGCTAATTTTAAAAATTGTCTTTGGTCAGTTTTTCACCAAGGAAAATGTGTAAAAAATACGATTATAACAGTGTCACAACTTTTTCACGAATGTTGAGTCACGTATTATCTTCCTCAAAGTTTCATTTATTCCTTTCACTCCTTTCATTCATTCATTCATTCATTCATTCATTCATTCATTCATTCATTCATTCATTCATTCATTCATTCATTCATTCATTCATTCATTCATTCATTCATTCATTCATTCATTCATTCATTCCTTCATTCAAGCTGCAAGATGTTGTAAATATATTGTTCTAAGTAATAATTATTCTACGACCAATATTAAATTCTAAACTGCCATGGCAAAACGATTACCCACTTGAACACATAATATGACTAACTGCCTGCCAGATGTCTTTAAGTCAAACGTAAGCTAGGTTCAGTAGCCATCGGAGTATGACTAGCAGCTAACATTTTCCAATGTCTGCACGTTATCTATGCAGTGGAGCATAAATTCGATATCAAGATACGACATTTAAGGTATGACCGACATATGTTTATTACCGTTATTTAGCTGATATTGCTTTCTTTAGGATTGTTTTATTGAGGTAATTTTCGAATAATTTTCAACAAATAAGGGTTGCAACACTCACGATAAATTTAATATTTTCGGCATAGTTACGATTTTTATGAAGGAGAAGAAAGAAACTTCGATAAAGCTCTGCCTATGTAAAACTAATTCTTTGCAAGCGGATAGTTGTAGAGATATCACATTTGAAGCAAGCTGGAAACCAATGCATTTTTTGTAAACACAGGATGTAAGTTGCGTAAAAATGAGGCTAACAATTTGGTTTTTCGAATATTTCAAATCTACAATCATACAAACTGCTATAAAATTAAAATGATTAAGAAATAAACAGGCAACATATATGTTACTGAAATAGAGCGAAGATAACATGAATTAAAAAAACCGAACTTAACGAAGTAAAGTTTTATGTTAATTCGTTTGCTGTGTTGATAATCCACGTTTTTTTGAAGTATTTTAAACTTTCTATCATGAACGCTTAATTCGTTTGCTGTTTTGATAATCACGTTTTTTTGAAGTATTTTAAACTTTGTAATATCAACGCTTAATTCGTTTGCTGTTTTGATAATCGACGTTTTTTTGAAGTATTTTAAACTTTGTAATATCAACGCTTAATTCGTTTGCTGTATTGATAACCCACGTTTTTTTGAAGTATTTTAAACTTTCTATTATCAACGCTTAATTCGTTTGCTGCTTTAATAATCCACGTTTTTCTGATGTATTTTAAACTTTGTAATATCAACGCTTAATTCGTTTGCTGTTTTGATAATCGTCGTTGTTTTGAAGTATTTTAAACTTTATATTATGAACGCTTAATTCGTTTGCTGTTTTGATAATCCACGTTTTTCTGATGTATTTTAAACTTTGTAATATCAACGCTTAATTCGTTTGCTGTATTGATAACGCACGTTTTTTTGAAGTATTTTAAACTTTGTAATATCAACACATTGTAGAATTAACTGAAAAGATGCTTTTCAATACTTTAATGGCGGTCACAGTTTTCATCAATCTTCTTGTCAGTTCCGGTAAGTAAAAATATTATATATCTTGTTCATATAGCGTACGACATAACTTTCATGTATTATACTTCTCTATCGTCAAACATGCAGATTGTAGGTACACAGGGTATTTGTGGAAGGAAATAGACAACCTGTAACACTTCAAAATTGCGTTAAAACTGTTGGGAAAATTGAGCACACACAACTTTCTAGCCAATTCTTAAAATGTTGATTTTTATCTCTCCCTCCCTCCTCTCTCAACGTAGTTTGCTTCCAAATACTATGTGGTTATGATTTTGTTTTAATCCGGTGAGCAATAATGTGTTTTGATGAAGGATTAACTGTCTATCTAATCTATGATCCGAATCTTAAGGACAGCAGGGGTGCATTGTGGATAATCTGGCTGTAACATAACTAACATTGTAGTAGCTATAGCAGAGTTCACTCGCATTTAACCTGTGTGGTGAAGCCAAAAAACGATTCTGCAATTTGATTTTCGTCAGGCATAATCAGAGATATTGTGTATTGTGATCAAAAAAATGTATATGACGTGTAACAATGGAATTATTTTATAGTCCCGACGACTAAGACAATTACAACAGATGAAGAAGTGCCCTATGAAATTCCTTGGAATAACTTTGAATGTATAAAAGCATCAAAGAAATCGAATCGCGTTGAACTAAGGAGTTCATTGTTGATATTTTTAAGAATGTCTCCTATCATCATTGTTTACGATGGATGTAATACGGCGTCGATAGTTCATTATGAGTACTGCAATGGATACCTACGATGGAGGTCAAGAGCCTCAAACTCTTTAAAAATTGTTTCTCGCCATAACAAATGGGTAAAACGGTGGTTGACTTTCTGCATTTTATCGGAAAAAGGTAAATTGAGCGTTTTTTGATCGTTTTTTTAAGGATAGCCTGCACACAGGTTAACCAACATATCGGGAAAAAGGTAAATTGAACGCATACACGGAGTCAATTCATGCCTGTTTTTGGTTGGTTTTTAAGGATAGCCTGCACACAGGTTAACCAACATATCGTTTAAACGGCAGTGGTTCAGCAATGGCGTAGATTTCCGCTTTGTGAATCCGCTTCATTTTGTACCCATGTATATATGAACGGTGTTACGTCATTGTGCGGTGTGCGTACCTATTTTTTCTCAAAGAATCGGTTATCAATTAAATACATTGTAATCGTTTTCAATTTTTCGGCTATCAAATATTTGCGCAAATGAAATTTATAATATTCATTTCAGTTTACGAGCAAGGATAGAATTTCGTTCATCTAACTATAATAAGGTAGCCACCCGCAATTATCGCTTTTCGCCCCAATTTTCTAAATATCCACTTATCGAGGAGTGGAAATTTTTACCAGCAAAAATACATGTCAATCAAACTTAATCAGACACCTCACCAGAACGACAATTGGGAGGAGGGGGGGAGTATATTTATATGTTCATTTTATAATCCGTAAAAAACAAGGGATTTCATAAAAATTAATACACGGCATGTCATGCATATATGAATATTCCCTCCCCCCAACAAGTATCGTTCTGGCTACGCGCTCTAACTCATCCCATGTGTTTAAACACGTGAACGGTTGATTGGTTGAACACGAATCATAGCAATAGACGAACAAACGGATCCATTAAAAGTCGATTTGGTATATATACATATTGTAAGATATGTATCTACTAAACATTGTTATATTCATTGCTGTTTTTGAGGCATTTTTTTTGTTTTTGTGTTTAGCCTGTGTGCGGGCCATCCATTATAGTAACGTCATACTAAACAAAAATCACGATTCCGTCCTTCAATTCATGTCAATAATGCCATGATTTTCTATAGTTGGACTGGATGTAGCATAAGCTAGGGTGATTTTAACGAGAATCGGCGAGGCGAATATATAGCTAAAATAATTTCCAGATTGTAACGTCATCGAAAAGTCGAAATTTCTGAAATTGACAATTTTGGAGTGGGCGACATCGATAACACACAAAAAGCTGTCAATTAATTTAAAATGCGGTTGACATTTGACAGTTAAGCAGCCCGTGTTGTCTAAATGGTTGTTTGATATTTACAGATTGGGTCGAAGTTTGCCATGAGTACAAAGAATATCCTTATCTCGATCAAGAGCATCACCCAAGGCCAGAAAACAAGAAACATAAGACCATTAGAGTTCCTACCACAATGCCTACCACAATGCCTACGATGAAAACAGGCGAGCTCATAGAAAGCTAATCTTTCCCTGAACGTTAAATTACAGTAGATGTAAATTTAGTTCTGAAAACAACATATAAACTGCAACAAGAACATGACATTATAAACATGACATAACATGGCTTTAAAAACAAGAAGAAACTACAACAAGAACATGACATTATAAACATGACATAACATCACTTTAAAAACAAGAAGAAACTACAACAAGAACATGACAATATAAACATGACTTAACATGACTTTAAAAACAAGAAGAAACTACAACAAGAACATGACATTATAAACATGACATAACATGACTTTAAAAACAAGAAGAAACTACAACAAGAACATGACATTCTAATCATGACATAACATGACGTTAAAAACCAGAAAAAACTACAACAAGAACATGACATTATAAACATGACATAACATGGCTTTTAAAACAAGAAGAAACTACAACAAGAACATGACATTATAAACATGACATAACAGTACTTTAAAAACAAGAAGAAATTAAACAAGAACATGACATTATAAACATGACATAACATGACTTTAAAAACAAGACGAAACTACAACAAGAACATGACAATATAAACATGACATAACATGGCTTTAAAAACAAGAAGAAACTACAACAAGAACATGACAATATAAACAGGACATAACATGGCTTTAAAAATAAGAAAAAACTACAACAAGAACATGACATTATAAACATGACTTAACATGACTTTAAAAACCAGAAGAAACTACAACAAGAACATGACAATATAAACATGACATTACATGACTTTAAAAACAAGAAGAAACTACAACAAGAACATGACAATATAAACATGACTTAACATAACTTTAAATACAAGAAGAAGCGACAACAAGAACATGACAATATAAACATGACTTAACATGACTTTAAAAACAAGAAGAAACTACAACAAGAACATGACATTATAAACATGACTTAACATGACGTTAAAAACAAGAAGAAACTACATTAAGAACATGACACTATAAACATGACATAACATGACGTTAAAAACAAGAAGAAACTACAACAAGAACATGACAATATAAACATGACATAACATGGCTTTAAAAACAAGAAGAAACTACAACAAGAACATGACATTATAAACATGACATAACATGGCTTTAAAAACAAGAAGAAACTAAAACAAGAACATGACATTATAAACATGAGATAACATGACGTTAAAAACAAGAAGAAACTACAACAAGAACATGACAATATAAACATGACTTAACATGACTTTAAAAACAAGAAGAAACTACAACAAGAACATGACATTATAAACATGACATAACATGGCTTTAAAAACAAGAAGAAACTACAACAAGAACATGACAATATAAACATGACATAACATGACGTTAAAAACAAGAAGAAACTACAACAAGAACATGACATTATAAACATGACATAACATGACTTTAAAAACAAGAAGAAACTACAAAAAGAACATGACACTATAAAAATGACATAACATGACTTTAAAAACAAGAAGAAACTACAACAAGTCCTATTTTCTACAGTCCTATAGTTCTTTTTTATGGCTCTTTAGTTCTTTTCTATAGCTCTATAGTTCTTTTTTACGGCTCTATAGGTCTTTTCTATAGCTCTTTAGTTCTTTCTATAGCTCTATAGTTCTTTTCTATAGCTCTATAGTTCTTTTCTATAGTTCTATAGTTCTTTTCTATAGCTCTATAGTTCTTTTCTATAGCTCTATAGTTCATTTCTATAGCTCTATACGTCTTTTCTATAGCTCTATAGTTCTTTTCTATAGCTCTATACGTCTTTTCTATAGTTCTATAGTTCTTTTCTATAGCTCTATAGTTCTTTTCTATAGCTCTATTGTTCTTTTCTATAGCACTATAGGTCTTTTTTATAGCTCTATAGTTCTTTCTATAACTCTATAGGTCTTTTCTATATCTCTATAGTTTTTCTAAGCTCTATAGGTCTTTTCTATAGCTCTATAGGTCTTTTCTATAGCTCTATAGGTGTTTTCTATAGCTCTAGTTATTTTCTATAGCTCTATACGTCTTTTCTATAGTTCTATAGTTCTTTTCTATAGCTCTATAGTTCTTTTCTATAGCTCTATAGTTCTTTCTATAGCTCTACAGGTCTTTTCTATATCTCTATAAATCTTTTCTATAGCTCTATACGTCTTTTCTATAGCTCTATAGTTCTTTTCTATAGCTCTGTAGGTCTTTTCTATAGCTCTATAGTTCTTTTCTATAGCTCTATAGTTCTTTTCTATAGCTCTACAGGTCTTTTCTATAGCTCTATAGTTCTTTTCTATAGCTATATAGGTCTTTTCTATAGCTTTATAGTTCTTTCTATAGCTCTATAGGTCTTTTCTATATCTCTATAGTTCTTTTCTATAGCTCTATAGGTCTTTTCTATATCTCTATACTTCTTTTCTATAGCTCTATAGTTCTTTTCTATAGCTCTATAGTTCTTTTCTATAGCTCTATACGTCTTTTCTATAGCTCTATAGTTCTTTTCTATAGCCTTATAGGTCTTTTCTATAGCTCTATAGTTCTTTTCTATAGCTCTATAGTTCTTTTTATAGCTCTATAGGTCTTTTCTATATCTCTATAGTTCTTTTCTATAGCTCTATAGTTCTTTTCTATAGCTCTATACGTCTTTTCTATAGCTGTATATTTCTTTTATGTACCTCTATAGGTCTTTTCTGTACCTCTATAGTTCTTTTCTATAGCTCTATAGGCTTTTCTATAGCTCTATAGGTCTTTTCTATAGTTCTATAGATCTTTTCATTTTACTCTTTGACTTGTTTCTATATCGTTCTTCTCAGTCTACTCAAATGTTGAAAGGTGTTCAACCCGTGTGCCATCAATATAAACAATTAGTCACTCGGCTCAGCGTAAGTTAATACACGACGATAGATATTGAATATTTGTCATTTTAAAACATTAATTTTTAATCACAACGTCAAATATTTTTGAAAACAATGATTTTTATTTCCTTACAGAAACTCGTAAAACAAACCAGGTCACTGGAGTGGTGATTGGAACTGGATGTGGTCTCGTTTTCCTTTGTCTGACGTTCTTAGCTCTATGCCACTCACGAAGATGTAGACGACTTTGTTTGCAAAAAGAAGTCGAAAAATATTCTGATCATGCAGATGTTGTGGAGGAAGAAGGTCCTCCTGTATACTGTGATGGTAAGTTCATGTTAAACTTATGATATTTTTGTTAATTAGTTTGCTGACGTGTTTCTCAACAGTGATGGCTTCGCTCGACAAGTTCCCAAAGACTACAGATTCAACAAACAACAGCGAAGAGCTTCCGCCTTATCCAGGGTTACCGCAGAATGATAATATGATACCCAAGACATCCCAGCAATCCCTCAATGACGCTGGGTACATCTCACAAGAAATTGAGGAAGACGTCCTTGAAAAATCTGCTACTGATGCAACAGAAAGCAGTGGTGAAAATTCGCAGAATGCCTCAACGGGACCGCCTGAGATTTCGGCAAATGAACAGGAGATCGAGGTAAGCATTGAAGAAGCAGAAGAGACTAATGTCGCTGCCGATGATGAAAAGGCCGCCAAGGAAAAGGTTGAAAATGCCGAGTTTATCGATGACGATAAAAGCACATGGGATGTGTCAGAAACGCAAGATTTTCAACATCCAAAATCAATAAACACTGTTGTTTAAAGAATAGTAACCTTCAACGGGGGTAAAGTATATTCAATTAATGGTACTTTACTACGTAAAATATTTGTAGGCATAAATTTACTATAATTAATAATAAAGTTCGTCTAAATTTAACGCAATCACGTATAAGATAGAGTATAAATGGCGCATAGAATATTTTAACATAAAAGCAAAAGATATAAAGCTCGAAATGACGTCAGTGCAATTTAAGAACAAAAGAAAATTTCTTTTGTTTTCGTTTGCTCAACTTTCGATTGACATCCAGACATTGAGAAAAATATTCATAGCTAGTTTAACTCACCAGTAAGCTCCAACCGACATTTGTCTTCAATTTAAATGTTAGACTTTAGGCAGACTTTCTTTTTTAGCTGAGGTTAAGACTATTTTTGCATACAATATGCAGCCAGTCAACTTGCTCAAAGAAAACTTCAATGTCAAAATCATGTGACGCATATTTCCATCGTTCAAACTGCCATCCTCTCGGTCAGTATCATTGATTTGGTCAGCATGAGATTCTTTACGAAGGATAAGATTTCTCCTGCAAATGATACAAAATATTTTAATAGTCTGGGTATTTTATTAGTCTGGGGGGTCTGGTCTGGCATCCCCCGGATCGCAATGCCCCCTGTTTGGCAATGCTTGTAGAGCAATTTAAGAAAATTGACAAGTATATGGACAGTATACAAGTTAAATGCCACAGTCTCAGCTTCAATAATGTGGTTATCAGCATTGGAGTAAATGTGATTATTATCGATACATTTAACGACGTATCTATTGAAGCAATCAATATCTGCAATATCTGTATCCATCTCTGCAATATACAAGCAGTCTTGCTTCGTCTGCATACTAAAACCTCATTCACAGTGACACTCACATAGTTGAGCTTCGAAATCAATAATCATCTCGTAACTATCCGAAGATCGTACTTTCATTTCACTGACTGCTTGATTTGGAATATTTTAAAAAAATCTTGCCATCGCCATAGAAAAATGACTTTGCTATAAGTGTGATTGTGTGAGGGAGCTTTTAGAATCCAGGAGACGGTTAGTGTTATCCATTGGATAGCAAAATTTTCAAACTTGTAAAAACAAATGTCTATTTTTCCCTTACGGCAAAGAAATTTTATAATCTAAGAAGAGATACTTTATTTCAGCGATTGCTCAGTTCAAATTGTGTATTTTCCCTTTTTAAGGAATTTTGTAAGCATTCAAAAATAAAATTCTTATCCGGCCGGTGGATAGCGCTGTTCGGCCTCAGTGCAACAGGCCCAAGGAGTTCGAACAAAAATAAACTGGTTTGGCCTTTTATTGACACAAAAACTCGATACTTCTAAACACAATATTTGAAATCTACAATGATTTGGAACAAACTAACATGAAGAACATATTTTGTGTCAGCCTTGAAGTACATGGTAGTATGTTCTCCTTTCAGATAGATAAACATTTCTCACAAAATCATGTACATGGTAAAATAATGTTTATGAGTGTTGAACTAGAGAGAAAAGGGATTCGGTGGTGTGGCATAACGTTGTGTGACGTATTTTGAAGCAATCTTTATGTACGTCAATGTTTCTAGGTACATTTATATAAATATGCGACTTTGATGTATATGGAGTTACTCGACACGATGGGTGAAATATTCAAATATATATTTATAGGCATAATTCACTACGCATGCGTGGTTTCCCAGCAAGATACTTTCACAAAATCAATATGTAATAGTATTGCACGAGAATGCTATTTTACTAATAATTCACGTTTAAAGCAAAAGTTTGCCGAAATTTTTTCAAAGAGTTATCATCTTGCGAAAGCGATAAGGTTCCAAGCTTTTGTAGTGCAAAACGATGTATTTGTAAAACATCTATGTTTTCTATTGCGATCTAGTTGAAGTATCTTGCTGGAAGGCGCGTCTGCTTTAGAATTTGCTCCAGAAAAGTGGGGGACACGAGCATGAAAGATTCCGACACGAGTAGACCTTCTGTTAAGATATCTATTCTGTGCTAAAACTACAGCTGTTGACCATCATTACTTTAAGATTGTAAAGGTTTGGCGTATAAATCGACGAATAACATGGAAATTGAGGATAGTAAAGTTTTCAAAGTTTGTTTTTTAATACTATATATGTAAAAGTTTTGAAACTCTTCAAATATGGCGAAGCCCTTTAATGCACGCAATAGTAAGTTTATAAAGAATTCATAAGCAATTGAATATGTGTATATAAGTGTACATAATTATATGACATCGTGTAAAGAGAGTGCTCAATATGAATGTTTTTATTTTTCTATACAATATTTGTTGTTACATTTCAGTTAATTTTAAAAATTGTCTTTGGTCAGTTTTTCACCAAGGAAAATGTGTAAAAGTTACGATTATAATAGTGTCACAACTTTTTCACGAATGTTGAGTCACGTATTATCTTCTTCAAAGTTTCATTCATTCCTTTCACTCCTTTCATTCATTCATTCGTTCGTTCGTTCATTCGTTCATTCGTTCATTCATTCATTCATTCATTCATTCAAGCTGAAACATGTTGTAAATATATGGTTCTAAGTAATAATTATTCTACGACCAATATTAATTCTAAACTGCCATGGCAACAACGATTACCCACTTGAACACATAATATGACTAACTGCCTGCCAGATGTCTTTAAGTCAAACGTAAGCTAGGTTCAGTAGCCATCGGAGTATGACAAGCAGCTAACATTTTCCAATGTCTGCACGTTATCTATGCGGTGGAGAATAAATTCGATATCAAGATACGACATTTAAGGTATGACCGACATATGTTTATTACCGTTTTTTAACTGATATTGCCTTCTTTAGGATTGTTTTATTGAGGTAATTTTCGAATACATTTCAACAAATTAGGGTTGCAACACTCACGATAAATTTAATATTTTCGGCATAGTTAGGATTTCTATGGAGGAGAAGAGAGAAACTTCGATAAAGCCCTGCCTATGTAAAACTAGTTCTTTGCAAGCGGATAGTTGTAGAGATATCACATTTGAAGCAAGCTGGAAACCAATGCATTTTTTAAAAACACAAGATGTGAGTTGCGTAAAAATGAGGCCAACAATTTGGTTTTTCGAATATTTCAAATCTACAATCATAAAAACTGCTATAAAATTAAAATGATTAAGAAATAAACAGGCAACATATATGTTACTGACATAGAGTGAAGATAACATGAATTAAAAAAACCAAACTTAACGAAGTAAAGTTTTATGTTGATTCGTTTGCTGTTTTGATAATCCACGTTTTTCTGATGTATTTTAAACTTTGTAATATCAACGCTTAATTCGTTTGCTGTATTAATAATCCACGTTTTTTTGAAGTATTTTAAACTTTCTATTATGAACGCTTAATTCGTTTGCTGTTTTGATAATCCACGTTTTTTTGAAGTATTTTAAACTTTGTAGTATCAACGTTTAATTCGTTTGCTGTTTTGATAATCGTCGTTTTTTTGAAGTATTTTAAACTTTCTATTATGAACGCTTAATTCGTTTTCTGTTTTGACAATCCACGTTTTTCTGATGTATTTTAAACTTTGTAATATCAACACATTGTAGAATTAACTGAAAAGATGCTTTTTAATACTTTCATGGCGGTCATAGTTTTCATCAATCTTCTTGTCAGTTCCGGTAAGTAAAAATATTATATATCATGTTCATATAGCGTACGACATAACTTTCATGTATTATACTTCTCTATCGTCAAACATGCAGATTGTAGGTACAACAATACAAGTAGAGAACTCGAGAGAGCTCCATTCTCGCCTAAAACAACACCAAGTACTACCATAAAAGGAGGTGAATCGAGTAAAACATAACTTCAATGTATCGTACTTGTCTATCATCAAACATGCATAATGTTGCTAGAAAAATATAACCGGATATCTTTAGAAAATTTTCATACATTGACTTTATGTTTGCATAGCGTTCAATATGTTTCAGCCGCGTCTTAAGAGGGTGGGGGTGGGTGGGTATTTGTGGAAGGAAATGGACAAGCTGTACACTTCAAAATTGCGTTAAAACTGTTGGGAAAATTGAGCACACAAAACTTTGTAGCCAGTTCCTTAAATGTTGATTTCTATCGCTCCCTCCCTCCCCTACAAACGTAATATACTTCCAAACACCCTGTGGTTATGATTTTTGTTTTAAGCCAGTGAGCAATAATGTGTTTTGATGAAGGATGAACCGTCTATCTAATCTATGATCCCAATCCCAAGGACAGCAGGGGTGCATTGTGGATAATCTGGCTGTAACATAACTAACATTGTAGTTGCTATAGCAGAGTACACTCGCATTTAAATCTGTTATGTAACCTGTGTGGTGAAGCCAAAAACGACTCTGCAATTTGATTTTCGTCACGCATAGTCAGAGATATTGTGTATCGTGATAAAGAAAAATGTATATGACGTGTAACAATGGAATTATTTTATAGTCCCGACGACTAAGACAATTACAACAGATGAAGAAGTACCCAATGAAATTCCTTGGAATAACGTACAATGTATAAAAGCATCAAAGAAATCGGGTCGCGTTGAACTAAGGAGTCCATCGTTGATATTTTTAAGAATGTCTCATAACATCATTGTTTACGATGGATGTAATACGGAGTCGATAATTCATGATGAGTACTGCAATGGATACCTACGATGGAGATCGCGAGCCTCAAACTCTATAAAAATTGTTTTTCGCCATAACAAATGGCTAAAAGGCTTGATAACTTGCGGTATTTTATCGGAAAAAGGTAAGTTGAGCGTTTTTTGGTCGTTTTTTTTTAAGGATAGCCTGCACACAGGTTAACCAATATATCGGGAAAAAGGTAAATTGAACGCATGCACGGAGTCAATTCATGCCTGTTTTTGGTTGGTTTTTAAGGATAGCCTGCACACAGGTTAACCAACGTATCGTTTAAACGGCAGTGGTTCAGCAATGGCGTAGATTTCCGCTTTGTGAATCCGCTTCATTTTGTACCCATGTATATATGAACGGTGTTACGTCATTGTGCGGGGAGCGTACCTATTTTTTCTCAAAGAATCGGTTATCAATTAAATACATTGTATTCGTTTTCAATTTTTCGGCTATCAAATATTTGCGCAAATGAAATTTATAATATTCATTTCAGTTTACGAGCAAGGATAGAATTTCGTTCATCTAACTATAATAAGGTAGCCACCCGCAAGTATCGCGTTTCGCTCCTATTTTCTAAATATCCTCTTATCGAGGAGTGGAAATTTTTACCAACACAAAATCATGTCAAACAAACTCAATCAGACACCTCACCAGAACGACAATTAGGGGGGGGGTATATTCATATATTCATTTTATAATCCGTAAAAAACAAGGGATTTCATAAGAAATTAATACGGCATGTCAAGCATATATCCCCAACAAGTATCGTTCTGGGTACGTGCTCTAACTCATCCCATGTGTTTAAACACGTGAACGGTTGATTGGTTGAACACGAATCATAGCAGAAGACGAACAAACGGACCATTAAAAGTCGAGTTGGTATATATACATGTTGTAAGATATTTATCTTCTAAACATTGTTATATTCATTGCTGTTTTTGAGGCATTTTTTTCTTTTTGTGTTTAGCCTGTGTGCAGGCCATTCATTATAGTAACGTCATACTAAACAAAAAGCACGATTTCGTCCTTCAATTCATGTCAATAATGCCATGATTTTCTATAGTTGGACTGGATGTAGCATAAGCTGGGGTAATTTTAACGAGAATTAACGAAGCGAATATATAGCTAAAATAATTTCCAGATTGTAACGTCATCGAAAAGTCGAAATTTCTGAAATTGACAATTTTGGAGTGGGCGAAATCGATAACACACAAAAAGCTGTTAATTAATTAAAAATGCGGTTGACATTTGACAGTTAAGAAGCCCGTGTTGTCTAAATGGTTGTTTGATATTTACAGATTGGGTCAAAGTTTGCCATGAGTACAAAGAATATCATGATCCCTATGAAGAGCATCACCCAAGGACAGAAAACAAGAAACATAAGCCCATTAGAGTTCCTACCACAATGCCTACCACAATGCCTACCACAATGCCTACGATAAAAACAGGCGAGCTCATTGAAAGCTAATCTTTCCCTGAACGTTAAATTACAGTAGATGTAAATTTAGTTCTGAAAATAACATATAAACTACAACAAGAACATGACATTATAAACATGACATAACATGGCTTTAAAAACAAGAAGAAACTACAACAAGAACATGACATTATAAACATGACATAACATCGCTTTAAAAACAAGAAGAAACTACAACAAGAACATGACAATATAAACATGACTTAACATGACGTTAAAACCAAGCAGAAACTACAACAAGAACATGACAATATAAACATGACATAACATTGCTTTAAAAACAAGAAGAAACTACAACAAGAACACGACATTATAAACATGACTTAACATGACTTTAAAAACAAGAAGAAACTACAACAAGAACATGACAATATAAACATGACATAACATGACTTTGAAAACAAGAAGAAACTACAACAAGAACATGACAATATAAACATGACATAACATGACGTTAAAAACAAGAAGAAACTACAACAAGAACATGACAATATAAACATGACTTAACATGACGTTAAAAACAAGAAGAAACTACAACAAGAACATGACAATATAAATATGACTTAACATGACTTTAAAAACAAGAAGAAACTACAACAAGAACATGACAATATAAACATGACATAACATGACGTTAAAAACAAGAAGAAACTACAACAAGAACATGACAATATAAACATGACTTAACATGACGTTAAAAACAAGAAGAAACTACAACAAGAACATGACATATAAACATGACTTAACATGACTTTAAAAACAAGAAGAAACTACAACAAGAACATGACATTATAAACAGTGGCGTAGCTAGCGAAAAACATTTGGTCGGGCTCACGAGGCGACACCATGGTTGTAAGCATGGCTGAAAACCGTAGGTCTTCCAGGTCTTGTAAGCACCCATGTGCGATTTTGCCTTCTCATGCTTCTTACAATCGGATAGGAAATTCTTCATGTTTTTGAATCCCGTCTGCGTCCATGAAGATGACGATCCAGGGCAAAACAAAGGAGAAGGCCAAAAGAACAATGCATTCTTTTCTGAGCTACTGCAAAGCCAATCTTTCTTCGAGTACCAACTTTCCTGAAAGCTTCTATTGCCTGTAGTCGCTTGTAAATTTGGAATTGGCCGCTGCTTTACGAGTATATTTTGCTCGCCTGATTGTCGAACAGAAAATGGCTTCTTTTGTAGTTCACTTATTATATCGATTTTACTACTTGGTCGGGCTGAATTTTCAGAGCCCGACTAGATGTTGCGAAACAGCGCATTTGAGTTTGCTCGGTTGTTGTCAACCAATCAGATTGCAGATAATCGCACTATAGATTTTACTACTTGGTCGGGCTGAATTTTCAGAGCCCGACTAAACTGCGTAATGCCTGGCACTAGAAATGCACTAGTCATTGTTGCTAAGTAACGTTTAAAAATATGATAATTTTACTAATAACGACGCAATTTGACAAATATTACACTAATAGACTGTGGATTATTCCAAAAAGACTAGCAGAATTTAAAATTTTCGCAAATCCAATTTTAAAGAAAACAAATTTTTCATTTTTGGGAAAATATTTGGTCGGGCTGGGCCCGACCAGCCAGACCGCTAGCTACGCCACTGATTATAAACATGACTTAACATGACTTTAAAATACAAGAAGAAACTACAACAAGAACATGACATTATAAACATGACTTAACACGACTTTAAAAACAAGAAGAAACTACAACAAGAACATGACATATAAACATGACTTAACATAACTTTAAAAACAAGAAGAAACTACAACAAGAACATGACAATATAAACATGACATAACATGACGTTAAAAACAAGAAGAAACTACAATAAGAACATGACATTATAAACATGACATAACATGACTTTAAAAACAAGAAGAAACTACAACAAGAACATGACATTATAAACATGACATAACATGACTTTAAAAACAAGAAGAAACTACAACAAGAACATGACAATATAAACATGACTTAACCTAACTTTAAAAACAAGAAAAAACTACAACAAGAACATGACATTATAAACATGACATAACATGACGTTAAAAACAAGAAGAAACTACAACAAGAATATGACAATACAAACATGACTTAACATGATTTAAAAACAAGAAGAAGCTACAACAAGAACATGACAATATAAACATGACATAACATGACTTTAAAAACAAGAAGAAACTACAACAAGAACATGACACTATAAACATGACTTAACATGACTTTAAAAACAGGAAGAAATTACAAAAAGAACATGACATTATAAACATGACTTAACATGACTTTAAAAACAAGAAGAAACTACAACAAGAACATGACACTATAAACATGACTTAACATGACTTTAAAAAGAAACTACAACAAGAACATGACAATATAAACATGACATAACATGACTTTAAAAACAAGAAGAAACTACAACAAGAACATGACAATATAAACATGACATAACATGACTTTAAAAACAAGAAGAAACTACAACAAGAACATGACATATAAACATGACATAACATGACGTTAAAAACAAGAAGAAACTACAACAAGAACATGACAATATAAACATGACATAACATGGCTTTAAAAACAAGAAGAAACTACAACAAGAACATGACATATAAACATGACATAACACGACGTTAAAAACAAGAAGAAACTACAACAAGAACATGACAATATAAACATGACTTAACATAACTTTAAAAACAAGAAAAAACTACAACAAGAACATGACATTATAAACATGAATAACATGACTTTAAAAACAAGAAGAAACTACAATAAGAACATGACATCATAGACATGACTTAACATGACTTTAAAAACAACAAGAAACTACAACAAGAACATGACATTATAAACATGACATTACTAAACAAGATACAAAAAAAATCGATTATGACATTATTGGCATATTTAAATACTTGTGAACGTTCCTTTCATACAAAGTTCATGACTCGAAGATAGGAGTTTCGCTGTCCATAGATAAGTACCTAAACATAGAAAAACAGCAGGGAACGACTCAATTGTGAATTGGTGGGATTCACATGTTACCATAATGCATTGCATTTATACTTACAGAGGAAACATTCTCAAAGAAGCAATCTGGAAGCTTTTCGTCTCTTAACTATCCAAATAACTACCCAACACACGTGGGCTACTTTTACATGATAAAGCTTAATAACAGAAAGAGGGTTTGTCTAAATATCACGTATGTATGAAGTTCTAAATACAACAATGTTGAAGAGTCAGTTATAGACACTTGATATATTATGAAAGATGCATAACTTTAAAATATTTGCAGTATACAAAACATATCCTTTATAACGTTTGTCATAGTCGCTTGTTTATGCCATTGTTTAAATATAGTATTTAAGCCTTGAGTTAATGGGAACTTCTGAAGTAGCTTGCACCTAATTTTCTTAAATCTCCATGTTATTTATATTAGCGATTTGGAACTTCGAAAAGAAAACGATAATACACCATGTAAAGATGACAATAGAGACTATATCAAGATTTTGGACGGTTTGAAACGGTGGTCAAAGCCTCTTTTAAAAATCTGCTCGATGAAAGATATTACAGGGACCATAATGTCGACCAACAACAAACTCAGTTTGAGGTTCTTCAGCGATGGCAGCGAGACTTTCAGAGGTTTCAATGCAACATATTGGCCTTGTAAAGATTCCACGGGTAAGAAAGTATGCGTATAGCATGTGCCAAAGAATGGATAGGGTTTTGAGGTACAGAAGGGGGATAGAGGAAGGGTAGAGGTTAGAGGGTAGGACAAAAAAACTACAAACAACACCAAAACTACAACATTACACTCTAATAATATTAACACCAATCATATTCACGATACACCAAAACCCATGACAACGCATTTCACCCAATCCAATCACATTAATCCATCCGCTAATCCAATTAGACGCTCTAATGCTTCTATAAGCTGTCTACAAATAAAATAATTTTACAGCAAAGGCATTAATTAATATATACTATTCTCATAAAAGGCAAGGATCGATCGCAAGAGGCTCCAAAGGGTCTAAGAGTAACAACATTTCACAAATGTTCACGACCTGTGTGCCGCATTAAATGATGCTTAGCAAGACTGCACGACATAACAACTCTAAATAGCAACAGAATTAAAAGAACAAAACTTTTGATCTGCTTGTGATTCGTTTGCGTTTTAACGTCTAGATCGATCAAATTTGATTGGTCCCATGTATAAAATGCTAATTAGGATGGAACATCATATAAAGAATACTAAGGAAAGTATAAAGTGTAATAATCTTCCAGCTTATTAACGAGTTTATGATTTATATTGAACAAGATGCATGTCAGGAGTTCATCTGCATGGGCTGCTCAAAAACAGTGTTTGGTTATATATTTGCGTATTTTAATAGTTGCCAAATGTCACAAAAAAATATTCAATGTAATTTCGCATGGGGGCAATGTATTGTCAGTAAGTCATTACAGAAAGATATTGATTGTCTCAAGAACTTCGTGTCAGTCACGCGTGATTTGTTGTGTAATCTGGCAACAATTCAAGAAAATTCGAATTTTAAAACATTGGGCTGACCTTCGTTAGCACGAGTAAATATCGACAGCTTCGTCATTTGAAAAAATTTGGTGTGCCAATGCATTGACGCTTCAGATGACAAGTTGTTCAGAGGTGGAGTTTAGTCTCAAAAATTTTGTTGGTTGGCGAAAAGAGTTCTTTTCACCACAGTCTTTTAAGTTCTGTAGTTATTTTCTACAGTCCTATGGTTCTTTTCTACAATTCTATAGTTATTTTTTATAGTTCTATAATTCTTTTCTATGGTTCTATAGTTCTTTATTATAGCTCTATAGGTCTTTTCTATAGCTCTATAGTTCTTTTCTATAGCTCTATAGTTCTTTTCTATAGCTCTATAGTTCTTTTCTATAGCTCTATAGTTCTTTTCTATAGCTCTATAGTTCTTTTCTATAGCTCTATAGGTCTTTTCTATAGTTCTATAGTTCTTTTCCATAGCTCTATAGTTCTTTTCTATAGCTCTATAGTTCTTTTTTATAGCTCTATAGTTCTTTTCTATAGCTCTATAGTTCTTTTCTATAGCTCTATAGTTCTTTTCTATAGCTCTATAGTTCTTTTCTAAACAGCTATAGAAATGTTGAAAGGTTTTCAACCCGTGTGCTATCAATATAAACAATTAGTCACTCGGCTCAGCGTAAATTAATACACGACGATAGATATTGAATATTTGTCATTTTAAAACATTAATTTCTAATCACAACGTCAAATATTTTTGAAAACAATGATTTTTATTCCCTTACAGAAACTCGTAAAACAAACCAGGTCACTGGAGTGGTGATTGGAACTGGATGTGGTCTCGTTTTCCTTTGTCTGACGTTCTTAGCTCTATGCCACTCACGAAGATGTAGACGACTTTGTTTGCAAAAAGATGTCGAAAAATATTCTGATCATGCAGATGTTTTGGATGAAGAAGGTCCTCCTGCATACTGTGATGGTAAGTTCATGTTAAACTTATGATATTTTTGTTAATTAGTTTGCTGACGTGTTTCTCAACAGTGATGGCTTCGCTCGACAAGTTCCCAAAGACTACAGATTCAACAAACAACAGCGAAGAGCTTCCGCCTTATCCAGGGTTACCGCAGAATGATAATATGATACCCAAGACATCCCAGCAATCCCTCAATGACGCTGGGTACATCTCACAAGAAATTGAGGAAGACGTCCTTGAAAAATCTGCTACTGATGCAACAGAAAGCAGTGGTGAAAATTCGCAGAATGCCTCAACGGGACTGCCTGAGATTTCGGCAAATGAACAGGAGATCGAGGTAAGCATTGAAGAAGCAGAAGAGACTAATGTCGCTGCCGATGATGAAAAGGCCGCCAAGGAAAAGGTTGAAAATGCCGAGTTTATCGATGTCGATAAAAGCACATGGGACGTGTCAGAAACGCAAGATTTTCAACATCCAAAATCAATAAACACTGTTGTTTAAAGAATAGTAACCTTCAACGGGGGTAAAGTATATTCAATTAATGGTACTTTACTACGTAAAATATTTGTAGGCATAAATTTACTATAATTAATAATAAAGTTCGTCTAAATTTAACGCAATCACGTATAAGATAGAGTATAAATGGCGCATAGAATATTTTAACATAAAAGCAAAAGATATAAAGCTCGAAATGACGTCAGTGCAATTTAAGAACAAAAGAAAATTTCTTTTGTTTTCGTTTGCTCAACTTTCGATTGACATCCAGACATTGAGAAAAATATTCATAGCTAGTTTAACTCACCAGTAAGCTCCAACCGACATTTGTCTTCAATTTAAATGTTAGACTTTAGGCAGACTTTCTTTTTAGCTGAGGTTAAGACTATTTTTGCATACAATATGCAGCCAGTCAACTTGCTCAAAGAAAACTTCAATGTCAAAATCATGTGACGCATATTTCCATCGTTCAAACTGCCATCCTCTCGGTCAGTATCATTGATTTGGTCAGCATGAGATTCTTTACGAAGGATAAGATTTCTCCTGCAAATGATACAAAATATTTTAATAGTCTGGGTATTTTATTAGTCTGGGGGGTCTGGTCTGGCATCCCCCGGATCGCAATGCCCCTGTTTGGCAATGCTTGTAGAGCAATTTAAGAAAATTGACAAGTATATGGACAGTATACAAGTTAAATGCCACAGTCTCAGCTTCAATAATGTGGTTATCAGCATTGGAGTAAATGTGATTATTATCGATACATTTAACGACGTATCTATTGAAGCAATCAATATCTGCAATATCTGTATCCATCTCTGCAATATACAAGCAGTCTTGCTTCGTCTGCATACTAAAACCTCATTCACAGTGACACTCACATAGTTGAGCTTCGAAATCAATAATCATCTCGTAACTATCCGAAGATCGTACTTTCATTTCACTGACTGCTTGATTTGGAATATTTTAAAAAAATCTTGCCATCGCCATAGAAAAATGACTTTGCTATAAGTGTGATTGTGTGAGGGAGCTTTTAGAATCCAGGAGACGGTTAGTGTTATCCATTGGATAGCAAAATTTTCAAACTTGTAAAAACAAATGTCTATTTTTCCCTTACGGCAAAGAAATTTTATAATCTAAGAAGAGATACTTTATTTCAGCGATTGCTCAGCTCAAATCGTGTATTTTCCCTTTTAAAGAAATTTTGTAAGCATTCAAAATTAAAATTTTTATCCGGCCGGTGGATAGCGCTGTTCGGCCTCAGTGCAACAGGCCCAAGGAGTTCGAACAAAAATAAACTGGTTTGGCCTTTTATTGACACAAAAACTCGATACTTCTAAACACAATATTTGAAATCTACAATGATTTGGAACAAACTAACATGAAGAACATATTTTGTGTCAGCCTTGAAGTACATGGTAGTATGTTCTCTTTTCAGATAGATAAACATTTCTCACAAAATCATGTACATGGTAAAATAATGTTTATGAGTGTTGAACTAGAGAGAAAAGGGATTCGGTGGTGTGGCATAACGTTGTGTGACGTATTTTGAAGCAATCTTTATGTACGTCAATGTTTCTAGGTACATTTATATAAATATGCGACTTTGATGTATATGGAGTTACTTGACACGATGGGTCTAATATTCAAGTATATATTTATAGGCATAATTCACTACGCATGCGTGGCTTCCCAGCAAGATACTTTCACAAAATCAATATGTAATAGTATTGCACGAGAATGCTATTTTACTAATAATTCACGTTTAAAGCAAAAGTTTGCCGAAATTTTTTCAAAGAGTTATCATCTTGCGAAAGAGATAAGGTTCCAAGCTTTTGTAGTGCAAAACGATATATTTGTAAAAACATCTACATTTTCTATTCCGATCTAGCTGAAGTATCTTGCTGGAAGGCGCGTCCTCTTAGAATTTGCTTCAGAAAAGTGGGGGACACGAGCATGAAAGGCTCCAAAACGAGTGTACCTTCTTGTAAGACATGTATTCTGTGCTAAAACTACAGCTGTTGATTACCATTAGTTTAAGATTGTAAAGGTTTAGCGTATAAATCGACGAATAACATGGAAATTGAGGATAGTAAAGTTTTCAAAGTTTATTTTGTAATACTATATATGTAAAAGTTTTGAAACTCTTCAAATATGGCGAATGATGCACGCAATAGTAGGTTTATAAAGAATTCATAAGTAATTGAGTATGTGTATATAAGTGTACATAATTATATGACATCGTGTAAAGAGAGTGCTCAATATGAATGTTTCTATTTTTCTATACCATATTTGTTGTTAAATTTCAGTTAATTTTAAAAATTGTCTTTGGTCAGTTTTTCACCAAGGAAAATGTGTAAAAGTTACGATTATAATAGTGTCACAACTTTTTCACGAATGTTGAGTCACGTATTATCTTCTTCAAAGTTTCATTCATTCCTTTCACTCCTTTCATTCATTCATTCGTTCATTCGTTCATTCATTCATTCATTCATTCATTCATTCATTCATTCATTTATTCATTCATTCATTCATTCATTCATTCATTCATTCATTCATTCATTCATTCATTCATTCATTCATTCATTCATTCATTCATTCATTCATTCATTCATTCATTCATTCATTCATTCATTCATTCATTCATTCATTCATTCATTCATTCATTCATTCATTCATTCATTCATTCATTCATTCATTCATTCATTCATTCATTTATTCATTCATTCATTCATTCATTCATTCATTCATTCATTCATTCATTCATTCATTCATTCCATTCATTCATTCATTCATTCATTCATTCATTCATTCATTCATTCATTCATTCATTCATTCATTCATTCGTTCATTCATTCATTCATTCGTTCATTCGTTCGTTCATTCATTCATTCATTTGTTCATTCATTCATTCATTCATTCATTCATTCATTCATTCATTCATTCATTCATTCATTCATTCATTCATTCATTCATTCATTCATTCATTCATTCATTCATTCATTCATTCAAGCTGCAAGATGTTGTAAATATATGGTTCTAAGTAATAATTATTCTACGACCAATATTAAAAATCTATTAAATTCTTAACTGTCATGGCAAAAACGATTACCCACTTGAACACATAATATGACACTAACTGCCTGCCAGATGTCTTTAAGTCAAACGTAAGCTAGGTTCAGTAGCCATCGGAGTTAGACAAGCAGCTAACATTTTCCAATGTCTGCACGTTATCTATGCGGTGGAGCATAAATTCGATATCAAGATACGACATTTAAGGTATGACCGACATATGTTTATTACCGTTATTTAACTGATATTGCCTTCATTAGGATTGTTTTATTGAGGTAATTTTCGAATAATTTTCAACGAATAAGGGTTGCAACACTCACGATAAATTTCATATTTTCAACATAGTTAGGATTTTTATGAAGGAGAAGAGAGAAACTGCGATAAAGCCCTGCCTATGTAAAACTAGTTCTTTGCAAGCGGATAGTTGTAGAGATATCACATTTGAAGCAAGCTGGAAACCAATGCATTTTTTGTAAACACAGGATGTGAGTTGCGTAAAAATGAGGCTAACAATTTGGTTTTTCGAATATTTCAAATCTACAATCATATAAACAGCTATAAAATTAAAATGATTAAGAAATAAACAGGCAACATATATGTTACTGACATAGAGCGAAGATAACATGAATTAAAAAAACCGAACTTAACGAAGTAAAGTTATATGTTAATTCGTTTGCTGTATTGATAATCCATGTTTTTTTGAAGTATTTTAAACTTTCTATTATGAACGCTTAATTCGTTTGCTGTTTTGATAATCACGTTTTTCTGATGTATTTTAAAATTAGTAATATCAACGCTTAATTCGTTTGCTGTATTGATAATGCACGTTTTTTTGAAGTACTTTAAACATTCTAATATCGACACATTGTAGAATTAACTGAAGATGCTTTTCAATACTTTCATGGCGGTCACAGTTTTCATCAATCTTCTTGTCAGTTCCGGTAAGTAAAAATATTATATATCTTGTTCATATAGCGTACGACATAACATTCATGTATTATACTTCTCTATCGTCAAACATGCAGATTGTACGTACAACAATACAAGCAGAGAACTCGAGAGAGCTCCATTCTCGCCTAAAACAACACCAAGTACTACCATAAAAGGAGGTGAGTCGAGTAAAACATAACTTCAATGTGTCGTAGTTGTCAACATGTATGTTCTTGTAGTTTCTTCTTGTTTTTAAAGTCATGTTAAGTCATGTTTATAATGTCATGTTCTTGTTGTAGTTTCTTCTTGTTAGTTTCTTCTCATAATGTAGCTACATTATGCATGTAGCAACATGCATAGTGTTGCTACAAAAATATAACCGGATATCTTTAGAAACTTTTTATACACTGACTTTATGGCTGCATAGCGTTCAATATGGTTCAGCCGCGTCTTAAGAGGGTAGGGGCGGGGGTATTTGTGGAAGGAAATAGACAAGCTGTAGCACTTCAAAATTGCGTTAAACTGTTGGGAAAATTGAGCACACAAAACTTTCTAGCCAGTTCCTTAAATATTGATTTCTATCTCTCTCTTCCTCCCCTCCCAACGTAATTTGCTTCTAAATACCATGTGGCTATGATTTTTGTTTTAATCGGGTGAGCAATGAGTTTTGATGAAGGATCAACCGTCTATCTAATCTATGATCCCAATCCCAAGGACAGCAGGTGTGCATTGTGGATAATCTGGCTGTAACATAACTAACATTATAGTTGCTATAGCAGAGTTCACTCAAATTTAAATCTGTTATGTAACCTGTGTGGTGACGCCGAAAATTAACTCTGCAATTTGATTTTTGTCACGCATAATAAGAAAAATTGTGTATCGTGATAAAAAAAATGTATATGACGTGTAACAATGAAATTATTTTATAGACCCGACGAGTACGACATTTACAACAGATGAAGAAGGAGTGCCCTATGAAATTATTTCATGGAATAACGTTGAATGTATAAAAGCATCAAAGAAATCGGATCGCGTTGAACTAAGGAGTCCATCGTTCATATTATTAATAATGTCTCCTAACATCAATGTTTACGATGGATGTAATACGGCGTCGATAATTCATTATGAGTACTGCAATGGATACCTACGATGGAGATCGCGAGCCTCAAACTCTATAAAAATTGTTTTTCGCCATAAAAACCGGATAAAACGGTGGTTAACTTTCCGCATTTTATCGGAAAAAGGTAAATTGAGCGTTTTGGTCGTTTTAAGGATCAGGTTAACCAACATATCGGAAAAGGTAAATTGAACGCATGCACGGAGTCAATTCAGGCCTGTTTTGGTTGGTTTTAACGATAGCGCACACAGGTTAATCAGCATATCGGAAAAAAGGTAAATTGAACGCATACACGGAGTCAATTCATGCCTGTTTTTGGTTGGTTTTAACGATAGCTTGCACACAGGTTAATTAGCATATCGGAAAAGATAAATTGAACGCATGCACGGAGTCAATTCAGGCCTGTTTTTGGTTGGTTTTTAAGGATAGCCTGCACACAGGTTAAGCAACATGTCGGGAAAAAGGTAAGTTGAACGCATGCACGGAGTCAATTCAGGCCTGTTTTTGGTTGGTTTTTTAGGGATAGCCTACTCACGGGTTAACCAGCATATCACCTTTGAAACGGCAGTGGTTCAGCAATGGCGTAGATTTCCGCTTTGTGAATCCGCTTCTTTTTATACCCATGTATATATGAAAGGTGTTACGTCATTGTGCGGGGTGCGTACCTATTTTTTTCTAAAGAATCGGTTATCAATCAAATACATTGTAATCGTTTTCAATTTTTCGGCTATCAAATATTTGCGCAAATGAAATTTATAATATTCATTCCAGTTTACGAGCAAGAATAGAATTGCGTTCATCTAACTATAATAAGGTAGCCACCCGCAAGTATCGCTTTTCGCCCCTATTTTCTAAATATCATCTTATCGAGGAGTGGAAATTTTTACCAACACAAAATCATGTCAAACAAACTCAATGAGACACCTCGCAAGAACGACAATTAGTATTCATATGTTCATTTTATAATCCATAAAAAACAAGGGATTTCATAACAAATTAATACACGGCATGTCATGCATGTATAAATATTCCCCTCTCCCCCACCAATTATCGTTCTGGCTACGTGCTCTAACTCATCCCATGTGTTTAAACACGTGAACGGTTGATTGGTTGAACACGAATCATAGCAATAGACGAACAAACGGATCCATTAAAAGTCGAGTTGGTATATATACATGTTGTAAGATTTTTATCTACTAAACATTGTTATATTCATTGCTTTTTTTGAGGCATTTTTTCTTTTTTGTGTTTAGCCTGTGTGCGGGCCATCCATTATAGTAACGTCATACTAAACAAAGAACACGATTCCGTCCTTCAATTCATGTAAATAATACCATGATTTTCTATAGTTGGACCGGATGTAGCATAAGCTGGGGTAATTTTAACTAGAATCAGCGAGGCGAATATATAGCTAAAATAATTTCCAGATTGTAACGTCATCGAAAAGTCGAAATTTCTGAAATTGACAATTTTGGTGTGGGCGACATCGATAACACACAAAAAGCTGTTAATTAATTTAAAATGCGGTTGACATTTGACAGTTAAGAAGCCCGTGTTGTTTAAATGATTGTTTGATATTTACAGATTGGGTCGAAGGTTGCCATGAGTACAAAGAATATCCTGATCGCTATGAAGAGCATCACCCAAGGACAGAAAACAGGAAACATAAGCCCGTTACAGTTCCTACCACAAGGCCTACCACAATGCCTACCACAATTCCTACGATAAAAACAGGCGAGCTCATTGAAAGCTAATCTTTCCCTGAACGTTAAATTACAGTAGATGTAAATTTAGTTTTCTGAAAACAACATATAAACTACAACAAGAACATGACATTATAAACATGACATAACATGACTTTAAAAACAAGAAGAAACTACAACAAGAACATGACATTATAAACATGACATAACATGACTTTAAAAACAAGAAGAAACTACAACAAGAACATGACATTATAAACATGACATAACATGAAAAACAAGAAGAAACTACAACAAGAACATGACAATATAAACATGACTTAACATGACTTTAAAAACAAGAAGAAACTACAACAAGAACATGACATTATAAACATGACATAACATGACGTTAAAAACAAGAAGAAACTACAACAAGAACATGACAATATAAACATGACTTAACATGACGTTAAAAACAAGAAGAAACTACAACAAGAACATGACAATATAAACATGACTTAACATGACTTTAAAACAAGAAGAAACTACAACAAGAACATGACAATATAAACATGACATAACATGACGTTAAAACAAGAAGAAACTACAACAAGAACATGACAATATAAACATGACTTAACATGACTTTAAAAACAAGAAGAAACTACAACAAGAACATGACATATAAACATGACATAACATGACGTTAAAACAAGAAGAAACTACAACAAGAACATGACAATATAAACATGACTTAACATGACTTTAAAACAAGAAGAAACTACAACAAGAACATGACAATATAAACATGACATAACATGACTTAAAAACAAGAAGAAACTACAACAAGAACATGACAATATAAACATGACTTAACATGACTTTAAAAACAAGAAGAAACTACAACAAGAACATGACATATAAACATGACATAACATGACTTTAAAACAAGAAGAAACTACAACAAAACATGACACTATAAACATGACATAACATGACGTTAAAAACAAGAAGAAACTACAACAAGAACATGACAATATAAACATGACATAACAACTTTTAAAACAAGAAGAAACTACAACAAGAACATGACAATATAAACATGACATAACATGACGTTAAAACAAGAAGAAACTACAACAAGAACATGACAATATAAACATGACTTTAAAAACAAGAAGAAACTACAACAAGAACATGACATTATAAACATGACATAACATGACTTTAAAACAAGAAGAAACTACAACAAACATGACATAACATGACGTTAAAACAAGAAGAAACTAAACATGACAATATAAACATGACATAACATGACGTTAAAAACAAGAAGAAACTACAACAAGAACATGACAATATAAACATGACTTAACATGACTTTAAAACAAGAAGAAACTACAACAAGAACATAACAATATAAACATGACATAACATGACGTTAAAAACAAGAAGAAACTACAACAAGAACATGACATTATAAACATGACATAACATGACTTTAAAACAAGAAGAAACTACAACAAGAACATGACAATATAAACATGACTTAACATGACTTTAAAACAAGAAGAAACTACAACAAGAACATGACAATATAAACATGACTTAACATGACTTTAAAACAAGAAGAAACTACAACAAGAACATGACAATATAAACATGACATAACATGACGTTAAAACAAGAAGAAACTACAACAAGAACATGACAATATAAACATGACATAACATGACGTTAAAAACAAGAAGAACATGACAATATAAACATGACATAACATGACAACAAGAAGAAACTACAACAAGAACATGACAATATAAACATGACATAACATGACTTTAAAAACAAGAAGAAACTACAACAAGAACATGACAATATAAACATGACATAACATGACGTTAAAAACAAGAAGAAACTACAACAAGAACATGACAATATAAACATGACTTAACATGACTTGATGTAAATTTAGTTTTCTGAAAACAACATATAAACTACAACAAGAACATGACATTATAAACATGACATAACATGACTTTAAAACAAGAAGAAACTACAACAAGAACATGACAATATAAACATAACATTACTAAGCAAGATACAAACAAAACGATTATGACATTATTCGCATATTTGAATATTTGTGAACGTTCCTTTCATACAAAGTTCATGACTCGAAGATAGGAGTTTCGCTGCCCATAGATAAGTAGCTAAACATAGAAAAACAGCAGGGAACGACTCGATTGCGAATCGGTGGGATTCAGATGTTGCAATTGATAAATGCATTGCAATTATACTTACAGAGGAAACATTCTCAAAGAAGCAATCTGGAAGCTTTTCGTCTCTTAACTATCCAAATAACTACCCAACAAACGTGGACTACTTTTACAAGATAAAGCTTGATAGCAGAAAGAGGGTTTGTCTAAATATCACGTATGTATGAAATTCTAAATACAACAATGTTGAAGAGTCGGCTGTAGACACTTGATGTAATATGAAAGATAAATAACTTTGAAATATGCGCAGTATACAAAACATATCCTTGATAACGCTAATCATAGTTACTTGTTTATATCACAGTTTAAATATAGTATTTAAGCCTTGTGTAGATGGGAACTTCTGAAGTAGCTTGCACTTAATTTCTTAAGTCTCCATGTTATTTAAATTAGCGATTTAGAGCTTCAAAAAGAAAACGATAATACACCATGTAAAGATGACAATAGAGACTATATCAAGATTTTGGACGGTTTGGATTCGTGGTCAAATCCTCTTTAAAATCTGCTCGATGAAAGATATTACAAGGACCATAAAGTCGACCAATAGCAAACTCAGTTTGAGGTTCTTCAGCGATGACAGCGAGACTTTCAGAGGTTTCAATGCAATATATTGGCCTTGTGAAGATTCCACGGGTAAGAAAGTATGCATGAAAGGGAAGGAGATAAGAAAGTATTTGTTCAGGTATAAAATGGTAGGATGGTTATGACGTTTATGGGAAAGGGGTAAGCGTGAAGAGATAGGATGAAAGGGAGTAAGATAATGTGTGGTCTGATACAACACAGTAAGATAGTATTAGGAAGATGAGGATGGGTAAGGTGCAGCAGAGGTAAGAATGGATATGTAAGGTTGGAGAGGTTGGGAGCTTCACATGAGATAAGAACATTACGTAGAGTATGTGGTTGTGTGTTGAACCGAAGCACAATTTCATATCAATCAACATATCTATGCTTCATTATAAAGCAAGCGTCACTTAGTTTAATAATAAACAATTATCGAATAATGTTAGAAAGTTGTATACATGGTGTGTTGACACATGACGCACAAATAAAGTCAATACACACTGCACTGAATGTAACTGGAATGTTACCACCTGCCAACACTCGAAAGCGTCCATTCAGTCACGTATTCTCAGCTCAATGGATTAACATCATAGGACCGACTGATGCATAAACCGAGACCATATGTATAAACATATGGAAAAAAATAATTTTGCTCTGTCACTGAATTATTGGATCACGTGACAAGTAGATGGCACGTTTAGTCTCTCGTAAATTCAGTTGGTTAGAGAAAAGGGCTCATCTCACTAACCTAAACTAAAATATGGGAAAGTGCTTACCCTACGCAGAGGCGTAACTAAAACGTTAATTAAGGGGGTGTGTGTATATTCATATATTTAGTTGTGCCCTACTGATTTCTTTTGAAATTCAAATTACTTTCAAAAGAAATCAGTAGGGCACAACGGAATGTATGAATTTGCAACCCCCAATTAACGTTGTAGTTACGCCACTGACCCTGCCTGTCCTTTGCCATTGACAAAAGCTACATAAGCTAGTCATACGTCTTAGCGTTAACCATCAATCGTAGCCAAAGTTAAAACCTTAATTGAGGGCGGGGGGGGGGGACATTCCTAAAGTCAATGGTGTCCGACTGACTTTTTGTGAAAACCAGTTCTCTTTCAAAAGAACACATTTGGGCACAACTAAATATATGAATATTTACCCCCTTGCCTACCGGAATGAACGTTCTTGTTACTGCCCTGTTATTAATACACTACGATAGGTCTTTTATACTTTGTTTTCAAATTATTAATTTCTAATGGTTAACGCGCAAAATTTTTTAAAAGCGATGATTTTTATATCCTTACAGAAACCCGTAAAACAAACCAGGTCACTGGAGTGGTGATTGCAACTGGATGTGGTCTCGTCTTCTTTTGTCTGACGTTCTTAGCTCTATGCCACTCACGAAGATGTAGATTACGTTGTTTGCAAACTAAAGTCCGCAGGTATTCTGATCAAGCAGATGTTGTGGAGGAAGAAGGCCCCGCTACATACAGTGAAGGTACGTTCATGTTAAACTTATGATATTTTTGTTAAATAGTCCTCTAACGTGTTTCTCATCAGTGATGGCTTCGCCTGACAAGTATCCAAAGACTACAGATTCAACGAGTATCGATGAAGAGCTTCCACCTTATCCAGGATTATCCCAGAGTGATAATATGATACCCGAGACATCCCAGCAATCCCTCGATGACGCTGGGTACATCTCAGAAAGGGAAGAAGACGCCATGGAAAATTTTATAAATGATGTAATCGAAAGCGGCGATGGTGAAATTCCTCGCAATGATTCAACGGTAATGTCCGAGATGACAACTTATGAAAATGGACGAGAGATGTCAGAGAATAACAACGTCGATGTCGGCGTCGACGAAGCAGAAGAGCAAAATGTCACTGTTGACTCGGAGCTTGAAAGCTATAATTTGATGGACTATGGAGAGAAAAAGGATGAAAAGACCGCTGAAGAAATGGTCGAAAATGCCGAGTTTATGGATGAAGATAAAAGCGTATGGAATGCGTCAGAAACGCAAGATTTTCAACATCCAAAATCAATGAACACTGTTGTTCAAAGTCGGGAATAGTTGCCTTCAACGGTAGCGAAGCTGTTTCATTTAAGTCAAATAATTGTAATGTGCTACGTAGAAAGTTTGCCAGTGTAAAGTGTGTAGATTTAACGCAATCATGAGCAAGTATATTAAATAATTCATAAAACATAAATTTTAATATAAAAGCGAAAGATATAAAACTCAAAATGACGTAAGTGCAATGTAGGAACAAAAGAAACGAATTTCTTTTGTTCTTGTTTATTATGCTAAAGTAAAAAGAATTCATTCGATTTCACGGCTTTTCTCAAACCACTTGTAAAAATACGAAACTTTTACCCTTCAGTTAAGGTATAAAACTTTATCCACACAATATTACTCAACACTCCTACCTTATTTATCATTTTCTTTTGACTTCAGTATTCAAGCAGACTTGCACTGACTGTTCCTTATGAGTTTTGATCTTGCTTATATTCAATGAAGGCTTGACGGCCATAGTCAATTAGCAGTTTAGTCTTTGAGCTAAAGGTAGAGTAGTTTTAAAATTATTATACTGAAGTAAATACAGTGAAATATAAACATACAGAGTACACAAATAATTATACATAGAGTTAGAGCTTCGCAGCGAATAAGAGTCAAAATAAATGATTTATCGGTCCTGAATAAAAGTTAATGTAAATTTAAGTTGATATATCAGATTTTATCGTTGCATTCAATACATATTGTAGCATTCAACTATTTATATCGAAACTATTGAAAAAATAGCATCAAGAAATTGAAGAAAATGGTCGTAGCTAGTCGAACTCACCGGACAGCCCCAAACAGAGTTTGTCTTCAAAGTTCAAATCGGAACTAAACGTTTGGCAGACATGTTGAAAAGCGCCTTTCGAAGCACATTATAAACATGCCAATCAAGTCAATAGCCTCAGCTTGCTTATTAACTACTCGCTCAAAGAAAATAATTCTAAGCTAAGTGGTGAAATATTCAGCATAATAATGGATATCTCGTCTTTTCATGGTCGTATTTTCACCACTTTGTGTAAAATTTGCTTCTAAGCTTGACTTCACGGACCACCGACGAAAAAAGCTCAGCAGTTCAATTAAGCCCCGCGACAGACAACGCGAAACAGTGAACTCGCGTGTCTGAGTGTAAAAACACGCGTGTTTGGGGATAATGATTTGGTGTACTTAAATTGGGATTACAGGTATTTCTCTTGAAGGTGGTATTCCGTTTAATTCTCTTCAATATATTGCTTTCGTTATGAAGTCTTCACAGTGAAGATAATTACAAAACAAAGTAAATAACTACAGCTATAACTGGGACAAACTATTTATTTCTTGACACATAATTATACACGGTTATTTAAGAACTAAATTTACAGCATACGTTAGACGCAAACCGCTCATATTTAACAACTAATGTATACATATATATATATATGCATTGAAGATCAAAATTATACTGAACACGAGCCTTGATCTATAAACAGCATTCACAAAACTTTGATCCATGCCATGAGAAAGCGGAATTTTAAAAGAGTTGCACGAACATTACTGGTCTGGTGGGTCATGTGAGGCTAGATCCACCACCATAAAATCGCAAATTAACAATTTAAAAATAACAAAATCAGTTTTTCAAGGGAAAGGCTGCGGATAAATAAGGCGAAGATCAATAACATCAAATAATGAAAATTTACAAGCTATGAAGTATGAAATACATCTTCCACGAGCCTTTCCCGCGTAGAACTGAAGATCTCTTCTCTCCCCAGTTCTTTATCTTGGGCGTAAAATATCAACAAATCGTACCCAACTTTTAAAGTAATTACACAACATTAATTAATTTACAGATAAAATTGAGCTTAAAATTGGTGTATATATAACCTTGCCCATAAATAAAAAATATGTTTCTTCACGCCAGCACCTGCACATGCGGGGAAAATTTCAAGAGAGGTGATAGCGTGTTCTTAAACAGTATTCATGCAACAGTGGTTGTTGATGTTGCAACAGTTTTGTAATTGCAACACTTATAATGGAATTTTTACAGTCGTAACATTGTTGGAATTGGATTTTGGATAATTTTAAACAAGATAGAACACAGACCCGTGATTAATTAGAAATTTGCACTAAACACAACGATCGGAACTCTCTGTATTTATCATCAAGGCAACAAAGCATTCGCAAATAAAACTAAAATATGATCATGGCGTAAAAGAAAACATAAATCAGTCCTAGAATAAACTAAAAACAAAGCGAGCTATACCCAGTGCTGTAGAACTAGGGGGGGGCTCTCTTGACGTTTTTGTCAATAGTGCCCTTTTAAAATTACCCATTTCAAAGAAAGAAGGGGGGCTCCTCCCACAAGCGCCCCTCCCCCACTTCTACAGCACTGGCTATACCGAAGATAAAAGTTAAACGAAGTAATCGAAGATAATGTTGCACTTAATCATTTAACATGACTATCCCTCGTTATTCTTTGACGCACTCGTTAAAACATCTTACAAAAGACAAATATGTCAAATGACCAGAGCACAACGACGACTTTTGACTTCATGTAAATGTCTTGAACAATAGATTGAAAGTACTAATTCGAACTGTAAAATCTTCTACAAACATACACGACAGTAAACGCCATCGCACACGAAAAACAAGCAAAACATTTCCATGAAGTCAAAGACATGAGAAAAGTTGGACGATTTCTCAATACATTATCGTACAGTATATAACTGTATATATGGTTTATTACCATACGTTATGGGATAACGTAGGGTAAACTGTGCAATGACCCCACATCTCCCTTACGTATAAGCAACTTTCCCGCCGAATTTTGCACGAGTAGAATCCAATTTCTCTCTACCATCTTCTCATGACAGCCGCCAACCCTATAGAACTATATTCAATCCTCGAAGCAATGGTTTGAATTTTGATTGTTTTCAAACAAAAATCAATAAAAAGTTTCGAGATTTGAAATAGTTACGCAATCGATATTACACTACAACACTGACTCGCGCCCAGATTCTTTGTGATTGTTTAATAAAGATTTTTCCTAAAAAAAAGAAAATACTTTATATGAAGCAATGCAAAAATCAAAGATCCAGACACGCTCAATCAAAGAGTTTTGGGCATTCATTCACACACGCATTTCAGTTTACTGCGGTCTTTTGAACTGCATATGACTTCCAGTTATATCAATTCAAAACATACAACTGCTGAGGACATTGTAACTAACTTTATGGTTGTTTAAGTAAGGTCTCATAAGACATTTAAAATAGACAACAAATTTCTTTATAACATGTTTCGGCACACTTTATGCCATCTTCAGCGCGAAGTGAATAAATATAGGAAGTTTACATGATAATATGTTATTGGCGTATGCGTCTGACGTTGCTTGCAAAACGTATGTAGTCGTTAGCAAGTTGTTCGCTCTGTCGTCCAAATGATCGTAATAAAATGTTATAGTGATAAAGCGGAAGTATCAGTAGTTATGAATAACTATTTACAGTTGAATAAGGTGTTATAAAATGTTTGTGTTAGGTTTTGTAAAAGAAAAAAAAAACTACAAAGAAAATGAATAATACCTGATAAAGTAGTAATTGCTATTTACAGGTCAAAGATAGTGTTAAGATGTTGTATTTGTTTGTCGAGGTTAGGTTTACGCTTCTTGATATAAAAGGCTTCTTTATGTTTAAGTTTACTAAAGTATGCCGAAACATGTTTGCTATAAAGAAATTTGTCGTCTATTTTAAATGGTCTCATAACCATTGCGCTCTCACGAAATTATGGAAAGGTCTCATAAATTGGAAAAATATAAAATAAGAGAAATCAAGAAATATTACCTTAAATTACCTCATCGCTATCGTCCTTAGTGTCGGGTGCTTCTTCATTGCTCGTCAGAGGAACTCGAGAAAGGTTTGATGTGATAGTACCAGTAGCCTCATCGTCCACATCCACGTCGATCACTTCTGCTCCGCGTCTCTTGTACGGACAGTAACCGAAATACCGTACAATTGCGACGCCGGGAATACATGCCAGCGGTACGAGGATCAACAAGACGATGACAAAGTAAGCCAATCCAGAGAAATTTGTTGGATTTCTTTTATTCTGCAAAAATCAGATATCGGAGAATACAATTTTTTTCCATATGATAACAGTGTTGTACTCATGGAGTTGAAATGAAAGACGATCTTAACCGATGTTTACAGTCGGGGAGTGGTGGAAAAAGTATCGGAACCTGGAAACATAGTTCCAGCGTGACCATATATGGAATTTTTTTTCATTAGATTGTTGGATGAGCTTTAACACTCCCCCCCTCCCCGTTCTGAACTTTGCAACTGTAGTAAAGCGGGTGAAAAATTTCCCAGAAATTCAACATTTTTAAAGAACCATGTTTATTAAACTGATTAACAAAAGGACTTTTCTACATAGTGCGAGCAGTGCATATAGCTGTATATACTGTACAAAGTACAACTTCAAACAATATATACATACTATTGACACTACTACAGTGAGCCTTAAGTGTCACTCTTCAGTTTTGCTCCCAAACAGAAAGACAGAGTTTAGACCCAGTACTATTATCACAGTGCCATAGTACGTAACAGTTTAAAAAAACGCATAACCTTAATAATTCAATAATTAATAATAATTTAAACATAACAGATTATAAAGACAGTGATTTAGTGACTGCAGGTGATACAGTGAACTGTAACATTAACTAGAACGCTAATTGCGCCACCATCTTTGAAGCCAATACTGATGCTAGTTTTTCTGCGTTTTTAGAGAAGTCCCACGATATCATTTTAACAAATAAACAAAAATATACATAAAATACAGAAGCAAAAATGGCGATGATAAGCTTTACCTCACAAGATTGGGTAATATACATAAAAACGCAGATAAAAAGGCATTATAGCTGGCTTCAAATTGGCCTCTAGCCCTAGTATAGGAGTTAGCGTTCCAGTTGATGTTACAGTTTACTGGTGTGACCATATAGATACGCAATTATTCAGTATGAGCTTAAACACCCCCCTGTTCTTAAATTTTCAATCATACAAAGCAGGTGGGAGAGTAGAAGCTCATCAGATAAAATCTAGTAAAAAATCGGCATGTATGGCCACACTGACAAGAATAACAAAAAAAAGCCCTACCGCAGCGTAGTCCCATCTTTGGTACCTAATGCCATTCACCGCCATTCCAATCAAACTGGCAATGAAAACGACGATAAGAAAAACTGGTGCGAGAAACTTCCAACAAATCTTCCAATACCAAGATGGCTTTTCATCTAACATATACTCAATATCGCGTTCAAACCTAAATTGTTAAAACTACCCATTAGTACCACTCTCCAAACATATACTCAACATTACGTTCAAACCTAAATTGTTAAAACTACCCATTAGTACCATACTCCAAACATATACTCAACATTACGTTCAAACCTAAATTGTTAAAACTACACATTAGTACCACTCTCCAAACATATACTCAACTTTACGTTCAGACCTAAATTGTTAAAACTACCCATTAGTACCACTCTCCAAACATATACTCAACTTTACGTTCAAACCTAAATTGTTAAAACTACACATTGGTACCACTCTCCAAACATATACTCAGCATTACGTTCAAACCTAAATTGTTAAAACTACACATCAGTACCACTCTCCAAACATATACTCAGCATTACGTTCAAACCTAAATTGTTAAAACTACACATCAGTACCACTCTCCAAACATATACTCAACTTTACGTTCAAACCTAAATTGTTAAAACTACACATTAGTACCACTCTCCAAACATATACTCAGCATTACGTTCAAACCTAAATTGTTAAAACTACACATCAGTACCACTCTCCAAACATATACTCAACATTACGTTCAAACCTAAATTGTTAAAACTACACATTAGTACCACTCTCCAAACATATACTCAACATTACGTTCAAACTTAAATTGTTAAAACTACACATTAGTACCACTCTCCAAACATATACTCAGCATTACGTTCAAACCTAAATTGTTAAAACTACACATTAGTACCACTCTCTAAACATATACTCAACATTACGTTTAAACATAAATTGTTAAAACTACCCATTAGTACCATACTCCAAACATATACTCAACATTTTTCTATTCAACTCATATCTAGACTTTGCAAGATATCTTTGTTTTTGGGAGTATGTTTTATCATAATATTTTCTGAAATTGTCTTCTGAGAAAGAAAATCAACTTTCTCCTTCGCATACAGTGAATTTAAAACCTACTTGTCAAGTCCATAAACCCAAGAAACGCCTATCAGCTCGAAAAAGGCAATTGTGAGCAGCGGTATTGTTCCCGAGTAGTCATTGAACAATTCCAACCAATAAACGCCAGATTTTGTGCAGAACGACAAACCAATCAAATACGAGATGAGACAAACGGCAGCTATTGAGTCCGAATACATAAGAGCGCATTAAATTCAAGAAATGCATGTAACTCATTGCGTGGGAAAGTTCTAGAAATTGTCATAGAACAACATTACAACAAACCTGTAATGTATTCTTTTCTAATATTGAAAAGTTTAGCGTCAAAGAGTGGCGTTATGACACCTTCCAATGTGCCAAACATACTTCCAAAGCCCAGCGTAATTAACATCATGAAGAATAAAATAGCCCAGATGTGAGGGGCCGGCATCTGAGTGATTGCTTCCGTAAATGCGATGAATGTTAGACCAGCACCTGATCCAGCCTTAAACAAGCATGTAAACAAAAAAATCATTAACGCAAGCCAGCAGCCATGGGATGATAGATTTCGTTTATAGTTTCACCTCCGAGCATGCGCAATGTAAGATGAGAAAAAAATATTTACACAAAGTTGTGGAAATGAAACACATGAGATGAATGATTGAATGCTTACTTTTTCCAAATCCCCCTCAACGGTACAATCCATTTTCTCTGGATATGGACAAGACCTTGTAGCCTAGAGAAAACACATTCATATTATACAAGTTGATTTCACGACAAGCAAGGCAAATGAAGACATTACGAAGTTTCATAAGACGTAACTTGATTTCATGAAAGTAATTAAACTACTTTTGGAAGTCGGGATGCATTAATTTAACTAAGAGCAATCACCACAGCAATGATGGTAGTGTATGTCATAGTGAGGGCAGTCGTTTGAACATTAATTAGGAGAAAGGTTGACTAGTCCTCTATTCTATTGTGCCCAACTTATGTCTTCTGAAAGTGAATTGGCTTACGAAAGAAGTCAGTTGGGCAAAATTAAATATATAAATAACCACGAACCCCCCCCCTCTCAAGAAATATAAGAAACACAGATGACGCGATTATCCTCGCTGAAGAATACTCACCTTAAAACCAAGGACGGAGAACACAACAATTGACGCAAGCAAGGAGGTGAAAGAGTTCACCAATGAGACAACGACAGCATCACGACGACAGTTGTTGTGCACGGGATTGTAACTGGCCATGGAGACTAGGCCACCAAACGCCAGACTGAGAGAGAAGAAGATCTGAGTTGCTGCTTCCAGCCACACGGTGGGCTCTCTCAACTTTTCAAACTAATGAATAGACATAAATGTAAATGAGAAAATCTTGATACAGAATTGCAAAGAATCCAGCCTTCATCTAGATAAGATTTCGTGTTGTATTTACATCTTTTATTTCCCACTCTACATATAATTGACACGTATAATGTAAGATTTAGTGTTTTATTCAAATCTCTTATTTCTCACTCTACATATAATTGACACGTTTAATGTAAGATTTCGTGTTTTATTCAAATCTCTTATTTCTCACTCCACATATAACGCAATAAACAGGCCAAGAACTTACCTTTGGAGTAAACATGTGTTTGAGACCAACTCCAGCACCTTTTAACGTTGTACCGCGGATTAAAAATATAAATAAAACCAAATACGGGAATAACGATGTAAAATACACCACCTAAAAGACGAGTAAACAGGTGATGAGAGTGACAATGAATCTATATTCAACCAGGGATGGATTTAGAGGAGGAATGCGGGGGCGTATGCACCTCCCGGCCTCGGCTGCATTTACATAAAAATATCTTCAAGCGAGCCACTGAAATCAAATCCAAACTTTACAGACTGACTGACATCTTATAAAAACTAGACAACCCCTTACATTAACAAGAAAATCATGCTGAGTCCATCCCTGTGTTTAACTATGTGGGATTCATTTATTTGGAATTTACCACAATACTTCGGTCGGCGGGGAGGGGTAGCTTTCTTTTGGCGTGGTGTTTATTTCTAAAGCCAAACTACGGCTGCGTTTACACTATGCCAGAACCGCTGACACGACATCTTCATTTGCTTAAAAGGTGTAACTGTACGGCGTAAAAACTTATTAAGCTGATAGATTTAGTCTATTTGACTGTGTTTCTAACGTTGAACAGTTTCACTTCCTTTTAATATAAAGAATATTCAACCTACTACAATAGAAATCCGGTATAGTGTGAACGGGGCCTAACTGTTTCTTACAACTGCAAAAGCGAGTTTTCCGAGGTTTCAAAGGGTAAAGCCGCTAATAGACGAGCAATTTTTTTTTTCGACAAATTTGGATGTGGCAAATGCCAATTGCCCGTCTGTATGGGACTTTCTACCAAAGTTTTCTTTGACAAATGCATTTGTTCAAATGCTAGCATGTCAGCTTTAGAACAAATGCATTTGTCGTAGAAAATTTGCCTCATGACTGATTTTGTTTGTCTGTAAGGTCTACAAAGATTGTATGACAAATCAACCAAATGTGATATGTTGATACGTACAAACATATGTTGATTCGCCACATAAAAACTAGTCGTATAAAGTTTGTTGCCTGTACACACGGGCTAGCATTTTTCATAGAAATTTTTTTGTCTGTAAGGGTGCTTAATCGTTGCTATACCTTTCCTGCAGCTGCAAAGCCTTTCATCATGACGAAAAATACGATAACCCAAGCAAAGAGGAGAACGAGACATAGATGCCAGAGGAGAGCACTACTTCCGGTCATCTCCTCGCTTATCTGAAGATTCTCATGATACCAATAGTATTTGGTGGAATCCAGTCGCTCGCAAAGAGTCTTATTCGTGCTATTCACTATAAGATGAGATCACTTACATTTTCATTCACAAAAATCATTTTAACGTTGATTCTTATTTGCGCTATTCACGATGAGATCACTTACATTTTCATTCATATAAAATCATTTTAACGTTGATTCTTATTAGCGCTATTCACGATGAGATCACTTACATTTTCATTCATAGAAAATCATTTTAACGTTGATTCTTATTTGCGCTATTATCGATGAGATCACTTACATTTTCATTCATATAAAATCATTTTAACGCTGATTCTTATTTGCGCTATTCACGATGAGATCACTTACATTTTCATTCATATAAAATCATTTTAACGCTGATTCTTATTTGCGCTGCTATTCACGATAAGATCACTTACATTTTCATTCATAGAAAATCATTTTAACGCTGATTCTTATTTGCGCTATTCACGATAAGATCACTTACATTTTCATTCATATAAAATCATTTTAACGCTGATTCTTATTTGCGCTATTCACGATAAGATCACTTACATTTTCATTCATAGAAAATCATTTTAACGCTGATTCTTATTTGCGCTATTCACGATAAGATCACTTACATTTTCACCCATATAGAAAATCATTTTAACGTTGATTCTTATTTGCGCTATTCACGATGAGATCACTTACATTTTCATTCATAGAAAATCATTTTAACGTTGATTCTTATTTGCGCTATTCACGATGAGATCACTTACATTTCATTCATATAAAATCATTTTAACGCTGGATTCTTATTTGCGCTATTCACGATGAGATCACTTACATTTTCATTCATATAAAATCATTTTAACGCTGATTCTTATTTGCGCTATTCACGATAAGATCACTTACATTTTCATTCATAGAAAATCATTTTAACGTTGATTCTTATTTGCGCTATTAACGATAAGGTCACTTACATTTTCATTCATAGAAAATCATTTTAACGTTGATTCTTATTTGCGCTATTCACGATGAGATCACTTACATTTTCATTCATATAAAATCAATTTAACGCTGATTCTTATTTGCGCTATTCACGATAAGATCACTTACATTTTTATTCATATAAAATCATTTTAACGTTGATTCTTATTTGCGCTATTCACGATGAGATCACTTACATTTTTATTCATATAAAATCATTTTAACGTTGATTCTTATTAAAGCGCTATTCACGATGAGATCACTACATTTTCATTCATAGAAAATCATTTTAACGTTGATTCTTATTTGCGCTATTCACGATGAGATCACTTACATTTTCATTCATATAAAATCATATTAACGCTGATTCTTATTTGCGCTATTCACGATAAGATCACTTACATTTTCATTCATATAAAATCATTTTAACGCTGATTCTTATTTGCGCTATTCACGATAAGATCACTTACATTTTCATTCATAGAAAATCATTTTAACGTTGATTCTTATTTGCGCTATTCACGATGAGATCGCTCACATTTTCATTCATAGAAATCATTTTAACGTTGATTCTTATTTGCGCTATTCACGATGAGATCACTTACATTTTCATTCATATAAAATCATTTTAACGCTGATTCTATTTGCGCTATTCACGATGAGATCACTCTTACATTTTCATTCATATAAAATCATTTTAACGCTGATTCTTATTTGCGCTATTCACGATAAGATCACTTTACATTTTCATTCATAGAAAATCATTTTAACGCTGATTCTTATTTGCGCTATTCACGATAAGATCACTCTACATTTTCATTCATATAGTAAAATCATTTTAACGTTGATTCTTATTTGCGCTATTCACGATGAGATCACTTACATTTTCATTCATATAAAATCATTTTAACGTTGATTCTTATTTGCGCTATTCACGATGAGATCACTTACATTTTCATTCATATAAAATCATTTTAACGCTGATTCTTATTTGCGCTATTCACGATAAGATCACTTCATATTTTCATTCATAGAAAATCATTTTAACGTTGATCTTATTTGCGCCATTCACGATAAGATCATCACATTTTCATTCATAGAAAATCATTTTAACGTTGATTCTTATTTGCGCCATTCTACGATGAGATCACTTTACATTTTCATTCATAGAAAATCATTTTAACGTTGATTCTTATTTGCGCTTATTCACGATGAGATCACTTACATTTTCATTCATATAAAATCATTTTAACGCTGATTCTATTTGCGCTATTCACGATGAGATCACTTACATTTTCATTCATATAAAATCATTTTAACGCTGATTCTTATTTGCGCTTATTCACGATAAGATCACTTACATTTTCATTCATAGAAAATCATTTAACGCTGATTCTTATTTTGCGCTTATTCACGATAAGATCCATCTACATTTTCATTCATAGAAAATCATTTTAACGTTCTTCTTATTTGTTTATTCACGATAAGGTCACTTACATTTTCATTCATAGCTGCAATCATTTTAACGTTGATTCTTATTTCGTGCTTATTCACGATAAGGTCACTACATTTTCATTCATAGAAAATTTCATTTTTAACGCTGATTCTTATTTGCGCTATTCACGATAAGATCACTTACATTTTCATTCATAGAAAATCATTTTAACGTTGATTCTTATTTGCGCTATTCACGATAAGGTCACTTACATTTTCATTCATAGAAAATCATTTTAACGTTGATTCTTGTTTGCACTATTCACGATGAGATCTACCTTACATTTTCATTCATATAAAATCATTTTAACGCTGGATTCTTATTTGCGCTATTCACGATGAGATTACTTTACATTTTATTCATATAAAAATCATTTTAACGCTGATTCTTATTTGCGCTATTCACGATAAGATCACTTACATTTTCATTCATATAAATCATTTTAACGCTGATTCTTATTTGCGCTATTCACGATAAGATCATTTTACATTTTCATTCATAGAAAATCATTTTAACGTTGATTCTTATTTGCGCTATTCACGATGAGATCACTTAGCATTTTCATTCATATAAAATCATTTTTAACGCTGATTCTTATTTGTTTTATTCACGATAAGATCACTTACATTTTCATTCATAGAAAATCATTTTAACGCTGGATTTTATTTGCGCTATTCACGATAAGATCACTTTACATTTCATTCATAGAAAATCATTTTAACGTTGATTCTTATTTGCGCTATTCACGATGAGATCACTTACATTTTATTCATATAAAATCATTTTAACGCTGATTCTTATTTGCGCTTATTCACGATAAGATGAGATCACTTACATTTTCATTCATATAAAATCATTTTAACGCTGATTCTTATTTTGCGCTATTCACGATAAGTATCACTTACATTTTCATTCATAGAAAATCATTTTAACGTTGATTCTTATTTGCACTATTCACGATGAGATCACTTACATTTTTATTCATATAAAATCATTTTAACGTTGATTCTTATATACATTCACGATGAGATCAATTTACATTTTCATTCATAGAAAATCATTTTAACGTTGATTCTTATTTGCGCTATTCACGATGAGATCTACATTTTCATTCATATAAAATCATTTTAACGCTGATTCTTATTTGCGCTTATTCACGTATTCACTTACATTTTATTCATATAAAATCATTTTAACGCTGATTCTTATTTGCGCTTTCACTTTATAAGATTCTCTTATGCATTTTATTGTAGAAAATCATTTTAACGAGATTCTTATTTGCGCTATTCACGATAAGATCACTTACATTTTCATTCATAGAAAATCATTTTAACGTTGATTCTTATTTGCGCTATTCACGATGAGATCACTTTACATTTTCATTCACATAAAATCATTTTAACGTTGATTCTTATTTTAGTATTCACGATAAGATCACTTACATTTTCATTCATAGAAAATCATTTTAACGTTGACATTCTTACTTTGTTGCCCTACGATAAGATCACTTACATTTTCATTCATAGAAAATCATTTTAACGTTGATTCTTATTTGCGCTATTCACGATGAGATCACTTACATTTTTATTTATATAAAATCATTTTAACGCTGATTCTTATTTGCGCTATTCACGATAAGATCACTTACATTTTCATTCATAGAAAATCATTTTAACGTTGATTCTTATTTGCGCTATTCAAGATGAGATCACTTACATTTTCATTCATATAAAAAATTTTTAACGTTGATTCTTATTTGCGCTTTCTATTCACTATAAGATGATCACTTACATTTTCATTCATATAAAATCATTTTAACGCTGAGTATGAAGACTATCGCACATATGAGGGCAGATTTGCAGTCCTCTCTTTATGATTAGTTAAAAAGAATATCCAAAATCAAAACAGCGTAACGTAATTAAAAACCCCGAAATGAATTTGAGACGAGAAAACAAAGTTCGAAGCACATCGGGTGAAAATACAAACATGACTTTCTGATGTGTTCCTGATTGTCTTTTCCTGATATTTTGAAACACAAAGTAGTGAAAATATAAAATCTAAACGAATACATTGAGCTCAGACAGAATGTCACAACTACCTGGAGAAACATCGTCACATTTTGCATAGGGCAAATCTTCCTGCATCGAGATAAAAAGATAGTAAAAACTCCAGCCAATGATCATGTTGTAATAAACAGCAACGAAGAACGACACGAACAGGCAGGCAATACCAATACCGCCAAGATACGGAGAGATCTCGTTCCAACATGCGACTGAACCGCGGCGAAGACGTTGCCCAATGCCCAATTCAATGAAGAAAATTGGAATGCCAGCGATGAAAAGACATAAGAAATAGGATGAGAAATGCACCTTGAGGATGAAAAGGAGAATTGGTAATGACTGTGTTTTTTTCACCAGTAAACATGGTGGGAAAAAAAGAATATACGTTATACAAAAATATCAAATTACGAATGTTGAAACTAGTTGCTAGTTCCGTATGATCTCAATAGCTCTGGACTAATTAAACATTTAAAATAAACGATAAAATTTTTTAGAACAAAAACATGTTTCCACTTAAGACGAAGTCATTTTCAGTATGAATGAAGTAGATATTTACAGCACAGAATAAAATTATACAGAAGGGCCACACAAGTGTGCACTCGTCCTAGTTCACCATTACATCCAGCAAGATACTTAGGTTTCCTACTTTCCAACCGCTGCATTACAAGACGTCATTTCTTCACAATGAAATCGAAAATATTTCAATATAAGAAATGACGTCAGATCATTTTAGTTGTTGGAAACAAGTGAAAAGGCCTAAATATCTTTCTGGAATAATGGCTGCCGATATGCGCGGCACAACATGCGCGACGACAAAAACATCAAAGGCTCCGACACGAGTGACCTTCTGTATATTCCATTTCTGGGTTTACAGCGTTATATGATACGTAGGAATTAATAATCAGTGAATGAACAAAGTGTACAAAAAAGAAAATATAAGCCATATTTCCGTGGAAGATGGAAGGTGCCTTGTTAACGATGATGTTTATTCACCACGAAACATAATATGGTGGTGAAAAATTTTATATGTCATACAAATGTCGAAGTCAGTAATAATCTCAGAGATACATTTAAGAGAGGGATGTGTGGAGGTTTGTACCCTAGCTTCTTTAGAAGAGAGGGATGTGTGGAGGTTTGTGTAATTCCTAGTTTCTTTAGAAGAGAGGGATGTGTGGAGGTTTGTAATCCCTAGCTTTTAGAAGAGAGGATGTGGAGGTTTGTACTCCTAGCTTTTAGAAGAGAGGGATGTGGAGGTTTGTAATCCCTAGCTTTTAGAAGAGGGATGTGTGAGGTTCGTAATCCCTAGCTTTCTTTAGAGAGGGATGTGTGGAGGTTTGTAACTCCTAGCTTTTAGAAGAGAGGGATGTGTGAGGTTTGTAATTCGTAGCTTTAGAAGAGAGGGGTGTGTGGAGGTTCGTACTTCCTAGCTTTCTTTAGAAGGGGTACAGAAGGGGTGACAATTTCTGCACAAAATAGTAAAATACCAAACAATTCAGCAAAAGCAATGGTGACAAACGTTTAATGGGAGCGCACATCTAAAAATCTCTGAATCTTAATGGTAAAGTGGCAACAGTATATGGCAACAAGTGGCCGCTGAAATCTTATCCAAATTACTGGGTGTATAAAAAAAACCCAATTAAACAGTTATGACAAATTTTCAATATGAACATAATAGCCCAACATAAGACTTTTAGGAAGGTTTCCCTGTCCTGAAGATGTCCACCACCATCTGCAGTTTTTTCTCATATAAGAAATACATCTCACTCTGCCAATTTTAATGACTTCTCAATTCTCTCTTTCTCCTCCGACAATTACGACCTTATGATTCATGAAAGCCTTCTTATATCCAAACTTAAACCTCTCTTAACACCCAAGGCAACTCAATCCCCTTCACTTCTTTTTAATATACCGCCATTCTCATTTAATTCCGTCATCTAAACTTCCTACTCCCTCATATGTAATTTAACACCAGTAATATATGCTTGTATTTAAGACCTCATGTATGTAATTATCTCAAATAATCTGAAGATGTCTTAAATTAAAGACGAAACGTTATTAATAAATCTTTCTATTTTATTATTGTGATGGCTTTTAAAAGTCTTATGTTGGGCTATTATGTTCATATTGAAAATTCGCTTTCCGCCTGGCTAATCTCTCACCACGAGTTATAAAGTCGTTAAATAATCAGATCGCAAAATTGCAAAATTTATGGTGGAAATAGTTGGTTCGTCTTGGTTCTTTTGACAAAAAAAACTCGCAAATAGCAAACATATTTACGGTGAGAATTGTGTTACCGAGAAGCAGTTTTGAAACAGCTTGTGAACAAAAACAAAAATGACAAAGCTAAAAGGCAACTGGAATACACAGGCTTGAAATATGGCACATGTTGTTCAAGCAAAAATATGTCTCAAGAAATTTAGCTACTGCAGATGCAAACGTTCTATATCCAAATCTTGGGTCATTTTGGATTTTTCGTTTTTAAATGCCGTTTTGTCACAATATGTATGCGTGAATTTGAGCTCCCCCCCCCGTTTGTCTGCAAGCATAAGCCAATTAGCCCGATTCAAATTGACGAAACAGGGTGGTATTCTATTTATTCGCAAGACTACGTCAACTTAGGAGTCATGTGATGTGAAACATGCAGTGTCAACACTGCATGTTTGTGAAAATATGGACTGGATTCGAAATCCATGTTCAAAAACAATTCAGCGCAACTCAGTCGCATATTCAGCACCATTCAGAACCAATGAAAGATGACGGAGCAGTTGTTTAGTACCAAGACAATATTGTAGAAAATCTCATGCTGTTTTTTTAAAGAAAAAAGTTTTTGTTCAAAAAGCAGCATCGTCTACGAAGGAAAGAGTCCAATATTATATAATTGAGATATGAATTACTTTCACTTTCAAAAAAGCCAAAGAGTTGATCCCCTCGTTGAAATGAGAATATACAACGACGCAGTCAAGTTACGCTGTTCTGTAACATGTTCCGTGTAATACAGTTCTCAGTTACACTGTTCTTAATTACACAGTTTTAAGTCACACAGTTCTGAGTTACACTGTTCTAAGTCACACAGTTCTAAGTCACACAGTTCTAAGTCACACAGTTCTAAGTCACACATTTCTAAGTCACACTGTTCTAAGTCACACATTTCTAAGTCACACAGTTCTAAGTCACACATTTCTAAGTCACACTGTTCTAAGTCACACATTTCTAAGTCACACATTTCTAAGTCACACTGTTCTAAGTCACACTGTTCTAAGTCACACTGTTCTAAGTCACACATTTCTAAGTCACACTGTTCTAAGTCACACATTTCTAAGTCACACTGTTCTATGTCACACATTTCTAAGTTACACTGTTCTGTCTTGTCGTGGAAATAATAAATGAATGGGACTAATTCTTGTTAAAACTGAAATATGTTATGAATAGATGGGTGTGCCGTATTCAACATCCAACACGCTGGTCCATACACCTCCACATCACTAATATAAAAACCCAGGCTATCCTTCAAGTATGTCTCCCAATACCTCCACATCCTTAATATATCCTTCTAGTATGTCTCCATATACCTCTACATCATTAATATAAAAACCCAGGCTACCCTCCAAGTATGTTTCCCAACACGCTAGTCCATATACCTCTACATTATTAATATAACACCCAGGCTATCCTTCTTCAATGTACTATAGCCCAAACGCGGGAAATGGATGAACAACATTATTATGACTGGTGTTTGGCACCTGTGAAAAGCGTGATTGACAAGATTTCATATGAGATATGGAAATGATGCACATGTAGATTCGAGTGTAGACGGATTATTGTGTACATAGTTCGAGTACTTTTCATTTTATGTAAATAGTACAGCAGACCTTTAAGGCAAACAAAAGTAAAAGCAAACTGAATAAGAATTTGAAATATTTTAATGAGAAGGATAATGACAACAGTCAGTTATTGGGATTTGAAAAACAAGGTCTTCGATGAATATGCAAAAAAATTGTTAAAAAGAAATCGGCGATGCGGGGGCGGTGTAGGGTAAGGTGGGGGGTTTGGTGCGGGGTGGTGTGAAGGATAGTCGAGAGTTTCGTGGGAGGTAAGTCAGGAAATTGATGAAAAAGAGTTTGTTTAGATCTTAAAAGTTGTCTTAACATGCTCAGACAAGCGCTCTTCATATTTACTCAACGGTGTTTATTTGTAGTGGAAGACTAGAATTCATATTCAACCACAGCATGTATGAAAAGATACACTGCTGGCTATGTAGGTATTCATAAGGATGACAGAGAAAAATGTTGAAAAACACACAATCACAAATATCTCCAATAAAATATGAATGACATGAATGGCATGTTACACGCGGTTCAATTGTAACAATCACGTGAAACGTAGCACAAGTAATGACGACCTTTGTACGACACGCTATCAGGTTATTATTCTATTCTTATCAAAAAACAGCATGACCAGTAGGATCTACTTCCTCAAGAATTGTATTTTCTCAGGCGCCTCGTGTTTCACGCCAAAAACTGTTTCACTTTCGAAACTGTACATTATTACTTTACAGTTGTACAATATCATTCATTGACGATGATTTGATCGATCAACGGTTATTAGAAGTTGTACATGCGGTTGCCAGAATTCTAGCAAATTCCTTCTGGAGTCTTAGAGTTTTTATCTCAGTTTCGCAACGTGTTCTCACGTGGCAATTGAACAGTGCTCATACTTGTGTTGTGAAAGGAACTTCTAAGAATCGTGGATCGATCATATCGTTGATAATGGCATAACAACGCTGGGAGAAATAACCATTGTTCTTTAAGTTAAAATAAGCCATGACATGCCTTAAAAAGACAATAGTCGACCCTACGACCATTGTTCCATAAATACATTTACTGAGAACCAATGAGATTCATCTTGGCAAAGCCATTTTTCACAATGAGCAACTGAGAGAAGTTTTGACGTGCTGAGAGATTCGTTGTGACACGTGTGAGCAAGTCGTTCGTTACACAATTAAAGACTTTTAGTCATTTGGAGGAAAGAAAACCTCGAATACTTAGTTGGATACGCCGTAATTAAACTAAGTTTTCAAATCGATTCGTCGATTTTTTACAAACACAAGAGACTAACTCGCCGTGATTGGAGGTCGAAAAACAACGCTATTTTTTATATTAATCTCTAACAGGAAATTGGGAAGGCTAAATTTAGTAATTCTAAATTAATTGTAGTCACGACAACAATTCAACAAGAATTTCACAACTGTAGTACGAAAACACTCTTTCCCAAAAAGGGTTCATAGCACGGTAAATAACAGTCGGTAGAAAATATTTCACAAGGGCGCGGTTAACCCAACGATAACAACCGAAATATTAGCATATTGCATTACTTACAACGCATGCATAACCTTACTATTTATATTGATTCTCGCATTAAACATCTGCCTGGCTCTACAAAGTTACTAAACAAAAAGTTCAATCGAATTTAAATAGTAATGCCGGCGTTTCCCGTAGAAATAACCTAGCCTAAAAATCAGGAAAACACTTGTGCTCTCGTGCACAAGATCTTTTTCACAGACAGGGCAACGCTTCATTAGTATATAATACAAAACACTTTATGGAGATCAAAGATTGCAAGCGACCCACAAAAAAATATGAGGTTGTGAAAGTAATAATAACATAAGAGAGCTTTCAAATGACTGAAACAGGAAGACTTTTAATCCGTTAGAGATTTTAATTGGCACTCGAACAATACTTCAGTTATTTCATAGTTCAATGATCAAAACGACAGAAGAAATAGTCACGGTTTTCATATTCAAGCCCTTTTGTCGGCTATCAGTTATCATTTTCGTTTTAACATGACTTCCCTACTTGAAATGGAAAGGAAAAGTTGCTCGAATACTAACTGCTCCTCGATTGTATTTCCTAGACAACTTAACGGAGGATATTAAAAATGTTAATTTACAATAAAATGAATACGCGACTGCATACTACGCAATGGATATTTGCTCGTCGCTTAGAATTATTTTTTCTTTAATTGCGCGGTTAAAGAGAGAATTTCGCCGGTAATAGTTGAGTAAAACTCATTCATACTTCAAAAATAGTAAAAAACTAGATGGAAAACTGATTTTAAGAACAATTGTTTACTCCGTGCTCGCACGTGGTCGTTAAGTATTATCATGACAAAATGGTGAAACGTACAAATATTTTAACGTTTTCATAATGTACATTGGTTAAAATCTTACTCGTTTAAAAAAAGCTATCGAATATATGTGTTAGAGGTCATTTGACAAGACATGTGTACGCTATACATGAAGATAGTACATACAACAATAAACATCTACACACAACGAAAAATGACTTAAACAAACCTCCTCCATTCTTCTGAGCAAGATATGGGAAACGCCAGACGTTTCCAAGACCAACAGCAAATCCAATAGTCGCCAAAACAAACTCGATGTGTCGACCCCAGCTACCTCTTTCTTCGTTGTCCTTGTCATGCTCGCCGGCCGTTTCAACATCGTATTTCTTCGAGCTTTCGTCCAACTCCATCGCGTTTTTAGGAATTGGAATATTTTTTTACACTTCGTAAACGTATAGAGAAAAGGTGAAGAACAGGATGTACTTGATATAGAGCAACGTGGCAGTCCGCTATGTACGACGTCTTGATCGTTTAATTCATTTGTACACTCAATGCAAACGTAAACAAAGCGCTTGAATTACTATTTAGTCACATGACTCTTAGGCGGGAAAATGCATAACAATGAAGTAAAGGCAGGTGCTTCCTTTTAAGGTACGGGGACCCTTGAATGATAACTTTTTGATATTTCGACTCGGGCAACGAAAAGTGGTGTATAAATTTTGTAAAAGTAAAGCTATCCATCACTGTCAAATCGAATAAAAGAATTATCCCAAAATGATGCATATTTTTCAACAGCGTTCATTCATTGATCATTTAATTTAGCAGTTTATCGTTTTCGAAACAAGTTCATTTGCGCAACGTACGTTTGAAATATTACTCTGGGCTATAATATATAGTTGCACAATATTGCGAAAATAATGTTTATTTTAATAAATACAGAGCAAAGAAGCCACAAATTAGTTTCACCAACCACCTCTGTGCCCTGTGGAACCATATTTTGGTTTGCATCTTTGAGAAGAGCTCCAACTTTCCTTTTTTTTCGACATTCTGTTCTAAACGTAGTCTCAACAAGTAGCAACAGTCAAGAAAATCGTCGTTGAAACCCGCCTCAAATTATTCACTATGATTCAAGGTGTAATTACTGTATTTAATAAATATAAATGGCAAATTCACAACTCGTAATATAACAGATATATCGTTCGTGTGATAATCAAAATGCACGAAACAAATAAACATGTTTTGCAAACAACATTTCGCAACCGAAGAAACGACACATGAAATAATTTTCGATTTATTTTTGCTTGGGAGGAGTGCGTCGTTCAAAATGATTGCATTTAGTTTCTGACTACAAACAGTATAAATATTTTGATGCAATTTTTTCAGTACGGCGACAATAACGGCTTGCAAGAGTGGCAAAAGCACATGTGTTATAATAACCACCAAACAAAACATTTTTTATCCACGTGCGATAAACAAAAATGTGACCTTTGGACTCAATAATGAAACGTTTTATCCAACGATGTACTTTCAATTAAACAAGACGTTAAAAACTCTTTTTATAGGCCAGTAGCTAAAAAAATATAATTTTTGTTTAACTTAAATCGACCCGGTTTACGTTTTTGTTTTTTGCACTCCAAATGTATATTAATTTTGACAAAAGATCATTTTAATTTTTAAATTGTTTCCTAGTCATTGCGCATGCGCGTACGTCACAATAGGACGCTGTGTACACGACCCCACGTAAAACATGCATTACATTACCATTCACCAAGAGTTTATTTCGCAGTTCGTATTCGCACAAGATATATTCTGCAGAAAGCCCTTTTGCAGTTTATGGTCAACTAGGAAGCGTAATTGTGAAAATAGGGAGGTTAGAATCCAGGACACATTTAGCGCGCATCTTTTGGATGGTGGGAAATTGAGAAAAAATTTTAATTGATCTGAAACAAATCATCCAACTGCTTGTCTTTCACTTCCGCAAATTGTCAAACAGAGTTCCTATGACGCAATCATTTTGACGATGAAAAGATCAAAAATGTTTATGCCAAAGTTCAAGTCTACCATTACAATGGACATGGTGTAATGCCGTGACTGACACTTGACCCTCAAATAATATCACTCTTTAAATGTTTTGAGAACAATAGTCATAAGACAATCGTATTTTCGACATTAATGTATTGAAATCAAGTTCACTTATAAAGAGTTGGGTAAATAGGAGTGAGTCTCAGGTCTTGTTTAAGCCGTCCCCTTTTTTCCAATAGATTGTGCAACGAGGACGGTTCGCTGGAGTAACGTACAATCTGCTTAAAAGAAGGAATGCGAGACATTTCTCACACACAGTCCCCTTTTGTACATTACATCACTAGACAATTTGTAATGCGCTAATACGCTACATCATGATGTCAGCTGTAAATTAGTTTAGCTTAAATTTAAAATATTTTTCAGCGTCTGCGCACTAGTTTAGTCTCTCCCCAATAATCGAAATATAGTCGACCCCGGCATTGCATACATTGTAACATCATGTTTTCACTCGGTATTTACAATTGAAAAGTTTTCATAACTCAACCGAGGTTTTCTATTTTCGTTGGCCAACCGAGGGAGCCGTTTATGTGCATCACAAATATAAGTGTTGAAGTCTTTCAAAACGTCAGAAAACAAATCAAGTTAATTGTATCTGAAAGTGAAAGGGCTAGGCTACCAAAAATAGCTTGCAATGAAAATGTTTTCGCCATCATTAATGGGACAAAATCGACATCACACCATCAACTTTCCACGTCTACCACGAGCTAGAGAGGATTAGATGCAACTCAACACGTAAGGTTTGATTTCATGTGAATTGGGTAGGTGATTAGAGGCATAAATAAACGTCGCCCGACTTCCTCAAATAGAGAACGAGCTTGCGCACAAATACGAAAGACACCCACGATAGCTTACGGCCAGAGGCGAAACTAGGACGCTTTTTAGGGGGGTGTGAATATTCATATATTCAGCTCTGCCCAGCTGACTACTTTTGAAATTAACTCGCAAACAAAGAATTCAGCAGAGCAGAGCAGAGATGAATATATGAATGTTCACCCCTCCCCACACCACCAATTAGCGTTCTAGTTTTGCCCCTGCTTACGGCTGAAGCCGGTCGAGGATGAAGGAAATTACCTGATTTAAGTAAGGGCAGTCTGCTTGGTAACAGTGAAAGGTGACACAGAATGTTCATATGTGAATTCCAAGCGAATTAAAATACATCCGCAGAGATTTTCTTTAATCCAACATTTATCAACAAACTATTTATCTTGCAAGCGACAAGATGGCAACACAATTGTTTTCATGATGATCAAAATGGTTTAATGGTTACGTTAAATCAATGTTTTGAATCGCATTTTTCAATCATATTCATGGTATTTCATGTCGCTCGAACTTCATAGCTACTGTATATGCCGTGACATGTGTCGTGAGGACTTGACGCTTTCTGTTCTTTGAATAAACACAATTTTAACCGCACCTAAAGGCCTATATACCTTCAACACTTAAAATACCTTCACAACTCGTTATTTAAATACCACGATTGTTTGTCTTTACTTAAAAGACACAAAGAAGTCAAACTATTTTCAAAACTATCGAAGCAGATTGACCCACAGTAACAAAATCAGTCGTTCCAACCAAAAGCACATTGTGCAATAAAACCACGCAGTTATACACTACAGTTCGGTGAGCAAATTTGCGATGCGTGCAAGCTTGCACTTTGCAATTATCAGCAACTCCACGTCTGGAAGCTTTATCATCTCTGCCAGTGCTGTCAAAAAAGCATTTTACGTATCTCACTTACAAAGCCAATTATCACATTTTAAGTGTTTCTGCCGTTATTCACGATGGCGTTAAGAAAATATTAAAGGCGTGTCCATGCCATTATCCTGACGTATGCTTGACAAGGAAGCACGGATGACGGAAGGACATGCCCAGCTTAGCATCCTTTACGATTTAAGTAGGCATTATGGTGTTTTCCTTTTCTTAGGGCTTATTGTGGGCGACAGCATAATAACAATATTACGTTGACAGCGAGTCTGTCGTTTATGTGCTGTTGAGTTGAAGTTTCGACGCTTGAAGACTTGTCTCGCAACTACGTAAATACATTATACCGTTAACTTGAAAATGAGTCCATTTGGAAACTCTTCCCAGTCCTTCAGAAGTACCGATGAGAACGAATCATCGCCTGATGGTAAGTTAAGTAAAACATATATTATTTGTTGCGTTTAATGTTTTAAAACCTTTTGAAGTCTATAAATACGGCAAGTGCTTGTGTCGTGTCCCACAAAATGAAACCGTAAACCATATCCTCACCGTAAAAAATGTAAACGCTGAAGTTTGGTTGAGGAAAAACAGTCAAGTTGTTTAATGTAATGACTTGATGCACATATTGCGTTATAAGTCGAATAAAAGAATAGTAACGCGTTTTTCATGTTTAACCTTTATCAAGACATCAAAAATTATTTTTTGTCGTTGTATTGTCGATCGATAGTTTTTGAAAAATATTTTTCGTCATGCAAGACAATGTGATAAAAGATAAAATATACGACAATAATAGATGATTCCTACTTCAAATAATTCACGCCAAAGTAGAGTAAGGCAGTTTATGTAAATCACAGTCCAAGCCTATACTGTAAATCGTAACAGTTTTCGTTCTCTTAAAACGTCATGTTTTTTTCTCGCTTGTGTCTATATAGTGCCTAGATAAGTTATATTGTAACATTAGAAAACGGAACAGTTTCTACACGTTCTTCACGCCCCCTCCCAAGCAGATCTTCACAACCCTCCCCTGCAGGTTTTCACAATCTCTACCCTGCAGGCATTGGAAAAGCTGCAATTTCCTATTGATGTGAATTCCATTATTACGAAGCTCTAAAACATTCACTTTTTCCAACTAAAATTTCAATAAACTTCCATGATAAATGTGTACAGTCAAACAACGTAAAAATTTGAATTTGAAAAGCAATCATCGAAAAATCTCGACCTCACATTTCCAATATATTAAAGTGAATATTTTCGCAAGTTTCGATTAAAATTTACGCATGCGGAGATTTCAAAATGAATTCTTTTATTCCTGAGAGGAAGATATTAGGAAAACACTGCGATACAGATCGAGATACACAGGACAAAAATAACAATCAAAATATGCGTCGAAACATCTATTGTCTGTACACAATCAGCGGGTAATTTGAATTCCACATTATCATTGCAAACCATCGCTAGACTAAACCTACACACAATAGCACGCAATAATTCCCTTTATAACACGCTATCCGTGTTCACCTGCTAAGAGTGAACTACTAAAATGCAATGAAATGCGAACGCAAGATAGTCACCCCAGCCATTGGGGGAATCAAGTACTAACATTCATGTTTTCCACATAAGTTCCCAGTCCACTGACACAATAAGATTACCTAAGGTGTGATTCGACTCACAAACAAGCTACTGCAGTTTGACTACTACAACAGACTGAAGAGAAAGCTTAAAAGAATTCGGGCAAGCTCCAAAAGATGGCAAGGAAAGGGTCTCATGAAATAAAATGAAAATTTCATATGCAACTATCGGTAAAACGGGACGAAATATGTTCCAATGAACAGTCGCCGTTCAGAGTAAGGCGAAATAAGCGACAAAGGCCGTTGCATGTTTGTAAATGTAGATCATCCAGGTTGGTATAGTCCAACTACCGCTAAGGTTGTCGAAACGTCAGTCAACAACAACAAAACAGTCCTTCTCAGGACTATACCAACCTGGACGATCTACATTTACAAACATGTAACGATACTCCCGGTTCAAACCATTTACTTTAAGAGGCCGTTGATTGATTTGAACTTATTCTTCAGAGCTTCATAACCAATGGCAGCGTTATGTAGGAATTTAACCGTACCCTTATTCAACTCATGCCAATGACGTTCATATTTCTTATGTATTGACAGTGAAATGTTTCATGACAACGTCAGTTTCTAGAGTGAAAACTATTATCATTAAAATAAAGATTTTTGTAAAGCTTTCCGAACGTCATTTTACGTAAACTGAGTTTGATAAAATTCCACGAACTAGCTAATAACCCATTTGAACTGAAAAAAGTTAGTGACTTTTACTGTTTCAGTCGACTCTCTCATACATCACAACTTCCCTACAATTTTACCAAAAACGAGAGTTACATTAAGGTATAAAGTAACAAAGCTGTTTCTTTTGGATTTGGAGACAGTCGTCGTATTGCTTTTTCTCTCGTCTCCGGCCATAGGAAGTGCTCCTGTGACGTCAATTTACATTTGTCTAAATCAGTTGACTCTCTTGTAGCACTGTTTATATTAGTAATATCTGAGATGCAATTTTCTTATTTGGTCTCAACAAAACACGACAAAACTTTACGCCACCGTCAGAGACGACGGGGACGAAGAATCATAAATCAAGGTATATGCTCCATTCTTTACGTCAAAACCATTACTACATACGTCAAAGACACGAGCCAATGATATTCACGCTGAAACTCACATAAATTAGAATTAATTTCAATAGCAGTTGCTAATGATCGCGACGGGTCTTTGCAAAAGTCACGCAAAATCATAACACACCATGATGAGGCACGTTCGCACTTTTCATCAACAAATACATTCAAATTTGACTCTTTAAAACGCTGCAGGGCTGCAATGGAGTGAATTTTGACATATTTAAGCTAATACAGCCTCCTAGGTGAGTTTTTTTTAAAAAGAGTTGTGGTAAGTCATTCGAGACGTAACTTTCAATGCGCTTTATAATTGTAATATTTTATGTGATTCGCTGCGAAATTCAATATTAATCCGCGAAACTGTTCCGTGAGATTTTCAAAAATTTTGGAGCTAGTTACAACTTAAAGTCACTGAATTTTTGGCCAGTTCGGGAACATTAAATATTTATTACACTATTCTATCAGACAATAGCTTAGCTATATATGATGTTACCAGCAAGTTAGCTTCAGTAATTCATACGTTCAAACTTCAAGATCACTTCTTTAGCAAACACATCATACGAATAAATTTTAGGAATCATAATCACTAGCAAGGAAGTTTCAATTTTGATAAAAAAAAAACAAAAACGTTTCGTGTTTCACCGTTATCGCTTCTTATTGCTGCTGACAAAATAGCATGTTTTTCAAGTGATAGACACGTGCTTATCACATTTTTGTGAACAATATTGAATAGTCTCCGAAGATTTATATAGTATCTATATGTTGGTAATAAAAAGGACATCAATTTGTTACTTATACGATAATACTTATATCAGATAAGTGTATGAGGATACGCGTTATGTGGGCTAAGTATGATAATTATGTGACTTTCGATTGATGTCTCGTATAAATTTAGGAAAAAGTAATTGCAATAGGAAAGAAGCGTTTCAACTATTTCCTAATGCTTAAAGGAATGAGGAAATTTATCTTTCGAAAAGACTAAACGGCTACTTTTTCCTTCTAGGCAAACTAATCCCTTTAAAAGGAACATTTTGTATCACTGAAACAAGACAAAATGAATGAAACATTATTAAGATGCCAATACCCCCTGCCCTCCGGCTCTATGACACCGAGTAGATTGTCATAGTTCTTTATTGATTTTATGAGTTACGCAATTAAGTTGTTTCTCGTGGTTTGTTCACGTGTCATGAGCAAGGAGACTAGCAGCTAGCAAAAAGTCAATTTCTTGAAAACGTACGACATATAAAATATACCTCTGTTATTTCGACATAGAATACGATTTTCAATTCCTGTAACTTGATCAATACTTCGACATGTAGCACGATAAAAAAATTCAAGAGTGAAGGAAGTTTTTTTTAACATACATTCAATATAATAATTCTATCCTCGAACCATTACCAAGAATGGCAGACAGGATACGCACTAATATCGACACCAAAAAACATTTACGTGGGCTTTTCACAAGACTAGTTCAATGTCCAAATTATATTATATTATGCTAAGCAAGCATTGATGCAATTTCGTTACGCGACAAAAACGTGCTAATCTCTATGGTATGCATAAAATAATACACAAATTAGGGCATTTTGCGATTCATAATAGGACAAGTTGGCGGACTTAGCCGTGTTTCCACTTAAAAAATCACGAGAGAAAAGTTCCAGTTCCTGTCATTATGTATTTTATACAAATATGCCCTTGTATGAACTTGTAAAATTTCACCCAATATTCACAATTCGAGATAAACATAATTCGTAAGACGCCTCGTAACACGGACAAGTCGGCATCTCATAGCAAGTTCAGGTATTTTCTCTGTTTAGCGACGTAATAATATAAAGTAATAACATAAAATATATTCTTTGAAACAGTTTTAAGTTCTAATATCTCTTCATGAAAGTTAAACTAATCAGGCAAAACGGTCATGTTGTCGCTCATTCAATACACGGGAATCGGTACGATGTGAAATAAACATAAAATTAATGAACTTTCGCTATTTAATATCGAAAACAAACAAAAAGATAGTAATCAATAAATCGAAACCTCAGCGTCTAATGCGCATGCTCCATCCTCATTACAGTTGCCTCCGAAGACATCTTACTCGCTCAAATGGAGATATTTATCATCGTTGTCGCAATAGTTGCAGTCGCTGCAGCCCTCGTTATACTGGCATTACTTCAACTAAGAGTAAAAAGACAGATCGTTGTTGGGAATGCCGTCAGAACTCAAAACATCACAATTGAAAATGCAATTTCTGATAGCGTGGATGAAGTCGCGTTGGACTATCCAAATGATCTTATTTTGAAAAATGGCCCGCCACCATACTTACAAGGTATGAATCTAAGCGTTATATTTGACGAAAACTTTGCGAAAAAAAAGACAAAATATCTTCCTTAATACGTGAATTGAACGTGTGATTGAGATCTCTGTGATAAGCGTTAGTCTGTCGGACTCTCGTATAGATAACCTAAAAGCGATTTGAAAAGTCGAATATCGACGAAAAGGCAAGGAACAAAAGACCTTATCGTATAAAGCAACGAGTTTTCACTGTAGTATGTAGGATTTGAAAATTTACTTAGGAACAGTAAAACAATGTCGATCAAGGTTTTTTTTTCACAATTCGTATGTGTGCATTAAAAATGGCTGTCTAGCAACGTTATAACACGGAAATAAAATGCACAGTATGCCTACTGTTCCACAAGAAATTCATGAATTCAGCTGTAATTCACTTCTATTAATCAACATTTTACTGCTTTTCAATGTATCAAATTTTATTACTTCAAATGTATATCCATGTAATATGCATCTATATTATAACATATATCTATAATCTATAAAGTTATTCTTGACAAAAAGACGCCTTCAAGCGTTGACGACAACCTAGTTACCGCAATAAAACATACATAAATAATGCGATGAAAGACTAAAACGTTCTTTGTCTTTCTAGTTATGAAAAGCCCCGAGTTATATCCGTTGTCGTCTACAGTTGATCTAGCGGAGATTGACGATCGCGACCGAGAACGGACCGATGTTAAAATCCGACTTCCAACTTCACCAGTGCACAACGAACGCACGAAAAGAACATGGAATCTTTTTCTCAATTCGGTACTTCGACATGACGACCATATTGCCAACAATTCCCAAGAGGAAGTCATTAAGACCAGCAAAACATCCGTATCACAAGATCATTATACAATAGACATGCAAACGGCATCGCACGACGTTTTGCCGACGTATGACGAAGTGAAACCGAAAAATTCACAGGAACAAAAACCTAACCCAAGACAACCACTAAAGAAAGTCAACTACAACACTTTGCCGCGACTAAACTTTCGTGCGGAAGAAAGAAATCTTCCAGTACAAAATAACAATGCGTTTACCGTATCAAACACGATACGGGAATACTTTAGAGACGATCCCGGAGATTTTCAAGAGAGCGCAGTGGAGACTGGGTCAAAGAGGCCACGTTTCGCAACATTATAGGAGCGAACGAATGTCGATTGAGGTTGAGTCAAAAGAAGTGAACAGAAGTTCACGTTTCTTTGAATGAGAGACATTCTTCATTCACAGATACAAACATTGAAACACGCAACAAAGACTCTTTCATATAAACATGAACCAACAGCGGAAATGAACGTAAACTAAACAAACTATTGTGACAGAAACTCACAATAATAATATTCTCCCCCCTAAAATTAAGGACCAATGTAATATATATATATATATATATTTTATTTTGTATATAAAGTGCTTAATAATAAGAAAAAGAAAACTTTGGAAATCAAACCGTCGTTTTTACTAATTTACTATTTCACAAAACAGCGAATCGGGCAAAATAGATTCCAGGAACCTAACACTGATAAAAACGATGGAATTTCGTATTAAATTACAGTAGCGAATCCAGGGTAGGTCCGAAATTTAGAATAATTACTAAAAACATATTCCATTTTAAAACAATTTGGAGCAAATCCTATCGTGAGTATTTTAATCTCAAATTTTTTTAGAAATTACGAACCAACAGCGTCGTTAAAAAGTCTTGTAAATAAATTTAAAATGAGCTTCGATAAATTATTTTGACCTTCACTAGATCACCCAAATGATCCGCCACTGGATTAAAACTCTGTGGATTCGGATTTCACCAGATCAGTGGACCACAAAGTCGGTATGTTCAACCGGAAGCTGTTGTATATTTATTCAATTGCGAATTGCGACAGTATAAACTATAGAATAACTGGAACTCGTATAATGAAATTCGAAGGTGAAAGAGGTTTATAATCTTACTTTTAAACATTGACCGGTAATGACAAAAACACGATTTGTTGACTGCTTTTGGGTAAGTGCAATGCTTACGGATTTTAATGTATACAACAACGTATAGAAAAATATCAAAAAAATACCTTAGATGGTATTTATACGTAAAAATGCCCCTGACTTTTCAAATCAGGAAGTAATTCCAAATATTGCTAGACGTTATAACTGGAATTCCACTATTTAGCTTTATTTAGTAGTATTTGAGTAAATAGACGTAAAATTGTCAAAAACAGGGGAGAGTAAAAATGTACATTCATATATTGCAACAGCTAGCATAATTATGTTGATAATGTGAAAATTGATATGTATTTTAAACGACACTAATTCGACTTATGTTTACAGTGGAATATTGTTAATGTTTGACAACGGACCGAGTGAGAGAATCTTTAGGACAAAGGGTTGAAAGAGCAAGCTTCAAAATCTAAAATCATTCTTTGTCGTAATTCGATATTCCTCACTTGCGTATTTTACTTCCTTATTATCGTGACAACTTAAAAGGCGTACTTTGAATTTCAAATGAGTGATTATAGCTTCAACCATTTGAAAGTAAAATTAGAGAGCACCACTTAGAGTGTGCATTTTACTGTCAATTTTACAAAATTCAACCATCTGCACACAGGAAGTTGAATATTTAGGATATTGCACATTTCTACCATGGTATCCTCAATTCTTGTTCCTCTAACACTGTAGGGCAATGAATTCAACAGCACGTTGGGATTTGATGTCCTATGTAAACGCATGAGAGATGGCAAGCAAGTCTGTACAGATTTTGAAGAATTTATGAAACAAAGGTATATAAATATGTTATAAAATTGAAAAGGTTATACTGTGTCATATTTATACTTTATATATATTTATTACAAATTGCCTTTTTCTACAGAGCGGAGGCTGAAGAAAGATATGGAAGATCTTTGATGACTTGCAAAAGTTGGAGAAAATGGGCCTGAGATTGGGTATAGGCTTGTGATTGATCATGCAATGCAATAACCAGCTTAACAACTATATTAAACAACTTTTTTACCATTAGAACATTAAAACAATCATGGGATGTACTGCGACAAGGTAGGTTAAAAACAGTAGTTTTGTCAGTGGGTATTGAAAGGCCAATATATATGTACCATGGTTTGAGGTAACAAAATTTAGTTGGCTACTGTACCCCCAAATTATTGAAACATGTTCAAATGATTCCACATAGAAACAGAGCATATTGGCCATGCTCATTTGCAGCTCAGTCAACAATTGACAGAGCAATTAGGAAAACTTCATGAGTTCAAAGAGAGTCAAAGGACTAAACGAAAAGAGGTATGAATGAAGTGTCTGTCATTATGTTTTCACTTTTAACTTCTTAACTCCCTCTTGCTTACATGTCTTTCTCCTTCCTCGATTTCACACTGAAGATTGAAGATAAAATAAAGAAATGCCAGAAAGATAAAAAGAACTGTTATGATAGAAACTTGACTGTATGTCTTTTTCTTCTATCTTTTCCTAATTAGTGAATTAGGAAATGAATACAATGAATGTGCACTTTTCAAACTTTTGTTTCACAAAATGAACTGCATCCTTTATGTGCTCACTTTAAGGCCAAGCGAAATTATGAAAATAAGTGCAAAGAACACGACACTAGTGAAGATAACCACAAGAAATTGGTATCCGCTCAGAGCAATAATGAAGAGAAGGTAAACTCAAATTGAGCCACAAAGATGAGTTTGCGCATAAAATGTCTCAGTCACAAAACACACATGTTTGCCATGAAAGAGATAAGTTTGAGGTATAATGTAAATTGCAAGCTTAGTGATAACTTTTTACTTCAGGCACGGATAAAGTTATCGAAAGCAAAAACAGCAATGGAAAATGCAGGTAGGTTTCTACAAATAAAATTCTCCTCAGTTCTTTCATATTCTAAATGAATTCTTCATTCCAAAGATACCAACTATCAGACAACAATAAAGCAATTAGAGGAAGCACGCAGAGAATGGGAGCGTGAAATGGAGATTTGTTGCAATGTATGTACATATTTAAGTACTTAACAAAGTGACTTGTACAGTATCGAAGCAACTGAATAAACATTACCTGCTTTAAGGTGTTTCAAGAACTTGAGGAGGAAAGAATATCATTTCTCAGGGAGAGTATGTGGACATACACAAACCTTGGATCAGGAAACTGTGTCAAAACAGACGATGTAAGCCATCATCCAGAAGTAATTTGGGCTCGAACTCAAGCTCCCTAGTGTGCTATTTAACTGCAGTTTTGCAATTGTAACTAAAAGTTGTGATGCTAAAATATAAAGTCATTGTTGTTTTAGATCTATGAAGATATTCGTAAATCATTGGAATGCTGTGATATTGACAGTGATATATACTTTTTTGTCAGTTCCAAACAAACTGGAAGTGAAAGGCCTGGTACTCACTCTTGTACATGCTGTTTTGATGCACTGTTGTAGAACAGAAAAAATTTTATTGCTATAAAATGATTTCATTTTTTTTACAGCTGAAATTTTTTATGAAAACTTCTACACTGCACAAAACGATCAAAAAATAGCCCTGCCCACACACCAACGAGCTAATCATCATAAGAATGGAGTTGACCTGCCACCAATACCAAGCAATTCATCAAAAATCAACGGTAATTTTGTAATCACTTCAGGAAAATTACCAGTTGTTGTCGCATTGACAATCTTTATGGATATTAAATAGATGATGACGAGGAAGACCCAAACTACTCAACAGTGAGTGACCTCAAGACACCCAAACGTGCAAAGTGGGTGAAAGCTGACTTTGATTACAAAGCACAGGGTGATGAAGAACTTAGTTTTCAACAAGGGGACATGATAAAAGTCTTACATGAAGAAGATGAAACATGGTGGTTTGGGGAATGCAAACATCGTAAAGGGATGTTTCCAAAAACGTTTGTGTCAGTTGCAAATAAATGAATTGGTAATAGAGGCAAAAATTTTTTTGTTGAATTGGCCTTCGCTTTTGAAAATCATTCGTAACCATTCATTATAGCAATTGATAAAACTAACATTGTAAAACATCACCCAAAATCATGTAAATGGTAGAGTATATCACCATGCATGCATTGTGATCTTATACAATAACTTCATAAATTTAAATAATAATTAGATCATTTTAAAATTGAACGTAGTTAGGTATTAATTATGAATTGAATTTTACATTTTTGCAAAATTCAATTAAATGTATACTCGAATTGAGGAATCAATACCATATTAAAAATGTTGACCTACAAACTAAATACATCATACTTGTTCCCATCGTGGAATTTATAAAGTAAACACACTCCAGAAATCACGATTAGGGACGGATCTAGTTTATAGAGGCATGCAATTTCCACTGCAGACTTTCGATATTACTACCAACTTTGAACTTATAAGTTCCACTTTGACTCAGTCCTATCTGCACAATTTTCTACCCAATAATATTATTATAACAGCCTATTGTATATGCATGCCTTTTTCATTTTTTTTGAAGGAAGACTTGTGTGAAATCCTCCCCCCCCATGCAAATGATAATGGAGATTGATTTAGTAAAAGAATTCAAATTTATTATAATATTAAACAATGATTTAAATTAAAATTCTTTCACTTTGTGAGAGAAAAGACTCCTTCCACCAAAACAAAGGTTTTATGAAGATGTTTAGGGTTAAAAGTAGAAATCACAATCCATAGTTATTTCAACTTGCATATCGATGTTATCAGACTGCATACAAATCGAAGCGAGGTGCGGAGAAGTGGTCATTTCACTATATTGGTTTAATCTTGAAGTGCAAACCAATAAGTGAAAAGACAAGACATTTAAGGTCCTGAACTAGATAGTATAGACACCTCAAACCATCTGCATCGCTAGAAAATTAAAACTGTGTTTTAGATCCTTGTCTTAAAAGGCAAAATTCCTATCAACTTATGTGTGAAAGTTTTTTGCATCTCTATCAAAGAGTGCACAACGATTTCAATTTTCTGTCGACTGATAAAACACAGAATTTGTTAATTTATCAAATCCTGCATATTCATGATCAGCGTGCGAATTAGTTCAGAAAAAACGATGTGCAATTTTTTTGACAAAAGGGTTTCTTTATAGGCATAATCAAATCGATATTACAGTAATTATTATACAGTGCTAATTGCTAAATTAATATTTTTAAACTTGAACAAATTCATATGATTTACGACAGTGTTTTTCGTTAAAACCGCTGATTTTTGCACATCGTTTGAAAAAGTGATATGCAATTGTTTTCATTTTAGCTAAAACGATGTGCAAATTGCACACCGTTAATTCGCACACTGTTCATGATGTGTGTACATTGTAACAACAATTAATTATCGCTTACTTGCACTGATTGACATCCACCAGGGAACCAATTTTTGAAGTGTTAAATGCGATGTGTAAGCCATCCATGACTATTTCTAATTCCTACAACAACAAATGATTCAATAAATCAATTATAAGACAACACTGGACTGAAAAAGTTAATCTACTTAAAAAAGACTAATAACCAAAACATAGAATAAGGAATACACAAAAGGTTGCTCTAAAGTTACATGTTTTTAGATGTAGATCGTCTAGGTTAGTAGAGTCCTGAGAAGGAATATTGGTGTAGATGTGCAAGTTTTGACAACCTAACAAGTAGTCATGTTCAGAGTCAAGTGTTGCTCTATTGAAAATTTTTTGTGCCATTGATATCTTACTAAAGACAGCTAGTCAATCTTCTTTTTTAATAAATAGGAACCATTAAATCATGGCTAACCACAGACAGTTATCTAATTAAATATACAGCACCAAGTTACACAATGAAGTGCCCTTTCATATAATGTGTCATTACTAATTTTTTTTGCCTCGGTGGGAGTTCAGAGAAAACAAGAAAAGTATTGATATGATTTTAAAAACAGTTCATTTTTTATTGAACATGATTTTAAAAAAAAATTTATTAAGTCTTTTAAATTGGTCAATTTGACTTTGGCTATAAATACAAAACACTTGGGCAAAAACTTCAATGTGATAATCTACTTATTCTATGACAATAATACATGACATCCATCTTTAACTATTAAGTCACACACACACACATACCTGTCGGCCAACTCGATCAGGTTGGGGCCAAAGGGAATCATCCTCTTTCAAAATCTGGAAAGACAACAAATACAATAAGTTTATAGTCAAGACACATAAGTTTATGGTCAAGTGGGATATAAATTTTAACTGTTGCAAGTGGTTGAAAGGAAGTTACATGCATTAAAGTCATTTTCTTAACAAAGGAACAACAAAAGCATGTCATAGTTATTTTTCAGCAGTTTCAAAAGGCCTTAGTAATGGCAATAACCTGAATAATATAACACATGTAAATGGACTGCACACAACTGTACAGTTTATACAAGTTAAGGGAAGGGACAAATATGTTTCTGCCAAAAAGAAGTAATATGACATCTGGGAGAGAGGGGCTTTTCAGACATGAAGTCTTTTTTCTCTCGAAATATATGCACATAAACACTGAGTACTAAGAATTTTGAGAGCCAATATGACAGCAAATATGAGTTAATTACCACAAAAAAATGTAGTTGATAAGAGATGTTGAGTGCTGTGTTTGTTGAACAACTTTTTCCAGTTATGAGTGTATTGAATGCACACAAGCAATTGATGTAATCAGTGGCAAACGATAAATAATTATAGTGGATAAAGTCAAACAATTATCACTATCGTAGCCCGACTTCTTTGGTAGGGGGTAGGGGGGTTTGTGAGAGATGTCATATTGATGTCTTTGGCAGAAACATATATTTCACCCTCCACTTACCTTGGATATGTAAAAAATTTGTCAAGATATAATACAAAACAACTATACAAAAATTTGTCAAGATATAATACCTAAAATATGATTAAAATTGAAGCCTTTGTGTAAGCTAGGAAAGGATAATATAACAACACTGCAACAAAAATATATTTACTATCTGAAAGTAGTTTTCTACTTACTTCACTGTCTTCAATAATACGTTTCAATTCGTCCATCACACTTTTGGAGACATAAGCCTAAAAAAATTACAATTTATTTCACATTAAATTCATTCAACGTTTCTCCTTCCATTCGTTTATTTACTAACGACTGAGTAATTCAAAATTGAACTTTTAATATCGTTTCTACCTCTTTTTTTATCATGGTGTCGTTTTTGTAGTTTGAATTATTCGCGTATCTCAACTTCCCTGAGAAAAATAAAGAAGCAAAATTATTGAAGCCACGACGGTTTTGAAAAATGAAATAACTCCAACTGAAGCACTACGAATTTAATTTCATATTACCGTCGGGTCTGAACTCAAATTCGAGAAATTCATGACCAAATTTGCCTTTATGTCCAACATAATATCGAACGTAAAAATCCGCCATTGCACTTGTTTGTAATGCCACGTGTTTCCAAGTCGTTTCCAGTCCACTTTTACCTCAGTCGAGCAACGTGGAACTCAAAAGCGAACGCCCACATAAATTATTGTCGATTTCAGTTAACTTTTCAAATGGCGGTTGCCAAGTTACTTTCTAATGTTGCCAACTACATTTCCAAATATGGAATATTCGTTATGAACTTGTCAACTCGAATATCCCTTGCTTACTGAACGGATTCATTGCCAAATGTCTACAGGGTACAAAGACCTTTCGCGTTTGCTTGTACTTCGCAACTTTAGTTCACAACTTCAGTACTAAAGTTCCCAACTTCAGTACTCAAGTTCCCAACTTCACTACTCAAGTACACAACTTGTCAACTCAAGTTGACAAGTTCATAACGAATATTCCATATTTGGAAATGTAGTTGGCAACATCAGAAAGTAACTTGGCAACCGCCATTTGAAAAGTTAACTGAAATCGACAATAAAATAGAATTTTCTCATTTTTCACCGTTTCATTCGTTATTTTGTTAATAACTTATTTTGTTAATAATCGTTTTCATTCGTTATTTTGTTAATAAACTTGTGTTGCTTACTTTGCTTTGTTGTTTTTGTGCCAGAAACATATGTTTACTTTTTCATTTCAAATATTAACTATCCCAATTGTCTGTGTTCCAGGGGGGAGGTATCACTCAACTGAACGAAGAGTCTTTTTACCCCAGGACCGAGTGACCTGGTGACCAAAGCAAATGCAACCATTAGCTAAACAATGTCATACGCAATACATCCCATCACTTCCATCACCAGGCGTTTGTTTGTCACAACAATTACAGCTGTAAGCTACATACCACAAGTTGTGAAGGCACAGAAATTTTGCTCAAAACAGAATGAAGGATTAAATGGTAACATCAAATTAAAGATACCAATTGACAACTCCACAGAAGGGAAATATAACACTGGAGATACAATATTTGCTAAAATACTTCGGAAGGAAATCCCAGCTGATATTATTTATGAGGATGATAAGGTATAATGAGACAAAGATGTATCCAATGATATCCTATGTTCACCTTCACCATACAACAAGACTAGGACATATCCAGCAAGTGCTATGTAAATGTTTATTTGTGCATGATTGGTAATGAGGAAATGAAATATGTTTAGAAGTTTGCATGAAATGGCAATGATTGCAAACTGGCCATTCTCTGATAAGAATGCATTTTATCATTTTTTAGTGTATTGCATTTAAGGATATCAATCCTGTTGCCCCACATCACATTTTGGTCATTCCAAGAAAACCAATAGCTCGTCTTTCTCAGTCAACTGATGAGGATTCTCAGGTAGGCTTTTCACTTACAGTCAAACCTGTATTAATTGAGTGGACCCCCTTGGGGAATGAACTGGTGTCTGTTTAATGGAGGTTTTCTTCACCAGGCCTCTCCCAGTGAAAAAATAGCATAAATAGTAGAATCAACAACTAAATTACACAGATATAATTAAAAATGACGTCAGTTAGTAATATCAAAACTGAAAATTATCATCAGTAATATATAGTTATATCTCGTAAGTAATAAGAGGTTTTAAGAAGTTGTTGGTGTAATGTGATCTCATGTAAATCTTTTAGTCAACAACAAGCTTGATTTCACATGGACAAGTTATGTTTATTAATAATTTGTAAACACTTTCATGTTTTGTGTAATCTTTCATTTATCTTCAACACACTTAAATTATGACAAATGTTTTTATAATTGTTGTGACAATATGTTTGTGACTAATATTTATGTCTGTAAACAACATGAACTATTTTGAAAAAATTGTCCGTTGAACACAGATTTTTGTGTCCGCATACACCTAATGGAGGTATCCGCATGATAGAGGTTTCATTACTACAAACTATACGAGATATATTTCTGGACTTTACCAAGTGTCCATTTAACACAGAGTGTCCGCTTGATGCAGGGCCTCTTAATACAGGTTTGACTGTATTCTCATTTAATATCTAATAATCCTTAGTGATAATGAAATTGAAACAACTGAATGCAGGTGTATTTTGCCTTTTAGTTGCTTGGACACTTATTGATCACTGCAAAAAAAATTGCCAAAAAAGTGGGTTTGGCAGAATCTGGTTACCGAATTGGTAAGTTCTACGTCTACCTTACAATCCAATGAATAATGATTTCAAGATTGTGTATTTTGTTTTTGAAGTGATCAATGATGGTGATGATGGTGCACAGTCAGTCTATCACCTGCATATTCACATTATGGGTGGCCGTTTAATGAACTGGCCACCAGGATGATGGAAATTAGCTGCAATGTTATTCCTGTCAAGACTACTTCACAGGTCATATATAAGTAACGATATTATTCTTGAATCTTTGTAACTTCAAAACAATGTGATATAATTAGTATGCTATTCCACAACAATTTCAACGCCTTTACAAATACACAACGCCTTTACAAATACACAACGTCTTAAAAATTGGACTATTATGGTTTGTCATATTAGATATTAGTTATAAATAGATCCATTTAATAGTGCTGATTATATTATATTAACATTGTGAAATAAAATACTAACATGTGGTTGAAACAATTTACCTTATTAATAATATCAATTTCTCTTTAATTGCGTCTCCTTTTGCCTGATATATGAAAATGCAACGATTAATGTGAATTTTTTCTCTAATTAAAAAATAACAGCATGCAATAGCTCAATCTCTTGAGATAACATTTAAAACGTTTTGTACTTACGCAAAATGTGTTCGTTCCCTTCTACTCAGGTTTTTCCACATCTCAATCAATCTCTTCGTGATTTCGTAAGGTTTAGATTGAAGATTAGGATTATCACTACAAATAATACATTATACAGTAAAATGAGCATATATAGGATTATATAAGTTGATCAACATACATCAAAACTGAATTTCGTTTCTCCGTGAAAAACGACATTAATCCATTAGGTGTTGCATTCTTTTCGAAGCTGTTGATTTCAACATCCGATCTTTCTGCACGACCTGGCAGCATTTCCATCTGGACAAGATCACCCAACTGGTGGAACCAGTCACTTCTTGGTTTCGTGTTCCCTTCCATAGGTTGAGAAGCAAGTCTTTCAAATGTTTGTGACGAGGTTTGCGTGGTTTGAAGCGTAGGGACCATCTGAGGACACCCGTGTGAAAATCCATCTGAGACTGATGACAGATTGTCGTTATTGTATAAGACGTCATCCATAGTTGACCATGGAACCGAGAAAAGACAGCTTGGCAAGAGTGGCGTAACGCATTGGTTATTTGATGGAGAATAACCGTCAATGTTTTCGATAGGAACGTTCTTGCTTCTATATGAAGTACCACAATTTGCACAATTCAAATTTCTAGACTCGCATATCACCAGAGTGTGTTAGTTAACGTCCAAAAGTCCAGATCAGTTACCTATCGTTGTATGAGTCTTGAAAGTCGTTTTTCTTTTTTGGTTGAGTGTTTTTTCTCCGACTTTTACTTGCTTTCGTCGTTTTGGAATAGGTCCTAGAGCGTTTGCGTTTTCTAACGCTTAAATTTTTCTCTGGTTGGATCACCTCGAGGTCACGTAATCTTGGCATCCCTTCACAAGATACCCCAAGATCCACTGTCGAACTCAGAGTGCCGCTTGGTTCTGTAAATAGCAGACGTCCGTGTGAAATTTTTTTTCAAAGTCATTTTTCAAAAAAAATGTGGAAATCACTATTTTTGATTTGAGAAAACTCACTAACAATAAACTGTCAATTGGTCAATAAGTAGAAACAGGAAAGACCAAAAGTTAGTCAAGAAAAAGCAGGATTACTATTTGGCCATTAATACGATTGTACGTACCTTCTAATGGCTCCTGAGATATAGAATTCACAACATTGGTGAGATCAAGGTACTAAAGAATCAACAGATACAAATGTTTACATTTTACTTAATCGACAAAAACTGGTACTCAAACATCTCTATTTAGATTAGAAGCTTAAAAGCATTAGACTAGAAGTTTCAGAACTTTGAGAGCTAGTGAGAAAAAAGACAAGCATAGATAAAATGCACAAAATGTTCAAGCGCGTACGTTTAAAGAGTGACTAATGTGACGGTAATACATGGGGAAGATGGCAAGAGAGAGGTTAACAACAAACAGTAAAGGTAAACGAGAAAAACTATAGGTAAACAAGAAAAACTACAGGTAAACAAGAAAACTAGAAAGAAACACTAGAAGAAAAAGAAAACTAGAAGAAAAAAAGGTGGAGGTAAACAAGAAAACAAGACAAACTAGAGGAAAAAGGAAAACAAGACTGGTAAAAAGGAATGAAATAAAAGGAAACTAGGTAAACAAGATAAACTAAATCCAAACAAGAAACACTAAAGATAAGCAACAAACAGCTGTTTGTATACAAAACAAAATAATCTCAAATAAATAAAGTATACATGAATATTCACTAACCGTCTCGTAGTTTTTGTGATTATCCGAAGCCCCCGATTCGCTATTTTGTCCATGGGGAAAAGAAAATTCTTGTTCGCATAAAAGGCTAAAACGTATAACAGCAGGATTAAAAAAGTTGTTGTCAAGCTAATTTCTACACTGCCATGTTATATATAGTTATTTATACAAGCTAGTTACTGTAGTAATAGCTTGTATAAATAAAAGTTTTATCGAATTCTAACGACCTCACGATCACGTAGAAATCATGTGAGCTTAAAAATGACATGCCGCAATACTTAAACAATTATTTATGGTCGTGTATAAAACCATGCCTTTTCTCCTTTTCATATTCAAACCACATTGGATCCTCATTTGAGTCGAAAACTTTTCCGATATTCTGAAAATAATAAATGCAATAAACACGAATTTTGGTTGAATGTTCTGCGCACTACGATACGAGTATATGCACCCTATTATCAGTAAATGTACTTTATTATGAGTAAATGTACTTTATTATGATTAATGTACCTTATTATAAGTAAATGTACCTTATTATCAGTTGATTCATTTGCAGGAACTTCATGAACATCTTCGACACGTTCATCTCCTTTAAAGTAAACAAAACTTCTACGAGAAAGGATACGGATTGGGGTTATCTCTATTGCAGACTGCAAAGTTCTAGAATGATTTAAACTAGTGGTGTATGCAGGCTAAGTCAGAATACATTACAGTGGCATGTTTTATGTTCGAAATCACAACGCTATGGATGAATGAATACTTGTGTATCCATCTTGTTTTCGCAGGTTAGTCAAAAGCACAAACTAAGTCTGGCCGTAATTATCACACATGGTCACTTGAGATGGATTCAAAGATTGTTATTGAAGAATAAAGTAAGAAATGATGAGAAGTTGAGACGGATTCTAGGAATGTTATTGAAGAATGGAGTAGGAAATGATGAGAAGTTGAGACGGATTCTAGGAATGTTATTGAAGAATGGAGTAGGAAATGATGAGAAGTTGAGACGGATTCTAGGAATGTTATTGAAGAATAAAGTAAGAAATGATGAGAAGTTGAGATGGATTCTAGGAATGTTATTGAAGAATGGAGTAAGAAATGATGAGAAGTTGAGACGGATTCTAGGAATGTTATTGAAGAATGGAGTAGGAAATGACAAGAATCGGAAGATGATTTGATGTGGTTAATATTGTAGAGAGGAAGCAAGGTTAAGAGGGTATGGGCATGTAAGGAGGACAACCAGGGAGGAACATAATTACAAAGATAATGGAACTTAAGATAGAAAGTAACAGAGAACAAGGCAGACCTATGGTGAGATTGTGTACATCGTGCAAAGGAAGATTTAATAACAGATTGGCATCAGATAAGATTGGGAATCTAGTAGGAGGAAAATGCGAGCAGCAGACCATATGACAGTCTGGAAGCAAGGCCATGGGTAAAAGAAAAAGAACATGAATTCGTGTTGTCATTCTCTGATGATGGTTTTGGAATAAAAGAAAAAGAAAAAATAAATGAAAACAAATTACTTTCCTTTCTGCAAAGTCATCACCAGGCACAACTATATCAAAACGAAAGTTTATCAACTTAAAGTATTTACTTTTTCGGTAAACTCTTTGTTTGTTACGTGGCCGTTTATCTTTCATCCGACACGACATCCTTCGTGACTTGTCGTCGCTGGACGGAGATGGCGTCAGTATTTGGACGTTACCAGCACTGATGCTGTACTTCTTGAAATTATTGCAATCGTCTTCCAAAAACGTCGAACCATCCGGTGTTTTATAAATAATAGTCGGCTTTAAGCCCCAGTTTAATGTACCATATTGCGGAGAGTCCGTGATGACAGGTAAAGGTGATTTATACTGAAACAAATTCAACAGTTATAAACACACGATAGAAGTGAAAGTACATTGAATATAGAGAACAAACTTTTTTAACACAAACATGTTTTGTAATACCGGGGCAGGTTGCACGAAGCTTGGATAGCGTTATCCATTGGATAGTAAAATTTTCAAACTTGTGAAAAAAGGTGTTTATGTTTTCGTTACGACAAAGAAATTTTGTAATTTTAGAAGCAATATTTTATTTCAGTGATAGTTCAGTTCACACCTTTTATTTTTTCCTTTTTAAGAAGTTTTTTAAAAATTTGCAATCAAATGGATAGCGCTATCCATGCTTCGTGCGACCGGCCCCAGACATGTTTTGTAACATATTCATTCACACAGATGATAGTATCAGTTTGCCGAAATATGTCTGTATTAAAGTTTGTTCTCTATATTCAATGTATTATTTCAATTGTGCTTCTACGTAAATATAAAAGTAAAGGTAAAATAAATATTTCGTTCTTCCAACTCTGTACACATACCATACTTTCATCGCAACAATCGAACAACTCCAACTCCTGGCTGTCTACCACACTTATGTCGGGAGTGCACGGGTTGCTTAGCAACCTTATTGGTGAGGAGGGCACGACGCCATCCTCTCCAGCTGATCTCTCTATTTGTGGTGCAAGAAGATCGTGGTCCTTGTCATCCAAATACTTTGCAAAATCTCCGTCGGGCATGGCAAGGAGTTCGCTTTTTTCAAGATACCATAGGTCACGTGGTAACGAGGTATATACCTCGTCGTCATCAAAGTTATCTTGCATATGATCCATGGTATCAAGGTGGTTGTTGGCTGTGATAGGGTCATCTGTGGATATTGGAGGCAAACCGTTTTCATTGTTCAGATAGGAATTACAGGTCAATTTGAATATGTGACCTGATGGTGATTGTACCATATCAGTAGATAAAGAGCAACCAATAACGTTTGTACTACAATCCAGTCTATTGACTGTCGCAGAGGAATCAGTGCTTGACGCTACTGTGTTATCTGCTTTTGGACTACAGTATCGATTATATTTTGCCTTGAAGTGATTGACATTGCTTTCTGAAGTAGAAAACGATTGGTTCTTTGGATTGGTACCCCGAAATGATTGGTCAGATTCATTAGAAGAGCAATTTGAATGGCCACTTTCCTTGGGAGAGCGATATAATTGGTGAGATTTATTAGAAGAGCAAGATGACTGACTAAGTTGATTTTGAGCGAGAGACGATTGATCAGCTCGACTGCATTCACGAGATGATCGTACAGAATTTTCGCAGCGTAATGCGTCAGATGGCCTTTCTACGCAACACAAAAGAAAGGAATCTTGTCCATTTCCATTTTGTAAAAATCTAACGACTGAAATCTGCGATTCACCATTGGAGCCTGCTGCATATGTGATCTGTGGTTGTGGTAACGTCGTTGTTGGTTTCGAAGGAAATAAGATGTCCGTATACTTGGTTGAAGTGTTCACACAATGTCTATTTGTGACAAGGAAATATTGTCTTTTCTCTGTGAATTGACGATCAAAGTTCACGGAACCCCGAAGTGACAGGTTGCTGGGTGGTGGTGTCGAGGAAGAAACGTAATCAGAACTAGTCTGATCAAGTTGATTTTTCACAAGGTCTCCCTGCATTTCCCCCTGTGAAAGAAGAATTACGTCACAAAAATAGCTCAGCAGGATAAAATCACAAAAAATATTTTAGCAGATAAATATATCTTAACTTACATGACGTTTTATTTACTATATCAAAACTTAGTTTCTTCAATCTAATTTTACAACAAGAGTTCAAATGATTACCTAGCAATTTCCAATCAACACGTCTGTTTATTTTTCAATTAAATATCTGATTTTAAAACTATAATTACCAAGTACAAACTGCCAAAGCCAGTAAATTTTTTTTTTGTTATTATTGTTGTCACAAAATATTTTTTACCAAGTTCATGCATTAACCAATCATAATGGTTTTTCAATCTGAGTTCGCAATTTGATTGGACGATTTTTGATCTCGGAAGCACAAGTTTTGAATTAATTTGTCAACATAAGATGGACGACATTGACAGAAAGTTTTTTTTTCAAAGTCCAAGACCACTGTCTAGCCTTTTTTCTTTTTTTGTTCGGAAAAAAAATTCTCACGTAAACCTAAGTGAAACTAGGTCAGTTCTAAGTGAACACTTTTTCTTAAGCCGTTAGCCTTATAGCAAAGATGAATAATGAAGTACAGAAGACACGGAAAAACAAAAAATTCATTAGTTATATTTTTCGTCTTTCAGCAGATAGGAATGCACTCGAAACAGTAAAAACTAATCTCTAAAAACAACTAACATATCTTGTTTGAACAATTACAAGTTCCTTTGTATCATACCTTGGTAATTTGATGGGTTTTTTTTTATTTCTTTTCCACACGTCTTTGAACGATGACTTTATCTAAAAGTGATAAAAAGTATCCACAAATGTTTTTATCCAGGCGTATATTCAAGCAGCTGTTAAAAAGGAAGCTGTATTTTCGAAAACTCCACTCTTCTTTGTCGAAAACTTTCTTTTTCACATACAAATATTGAGGAGTTTTGTGAGAGCATGAACCACACACAAAGGTCATCGAAGCACAAGACACAAGGCGCCCAATGGCGCCAACTGTCCAGAAATGAATCATGTGATGCGAACGTGTTTCTTAAAATGTGACAACCATTGAGTTCTATAATATTACGGTAATACTATACGGTCAGTGGTGACAACAAATAATGTTGCCTTTTTTGCCTCGTATATACTTCAGACATCACATTTCCCCATTTTTTCCACTTGAGCAGGTTATTTCCATTGAATTCTATGTTATCTCATCCATTTTGTAATCTTTAATCGTGCTCATTTCCTGACATACGCCTATAGTGTATAATTTATATAAAAATGACGAAAAGATGTCTCTTCATGATTGAACCTGCAAGCATTGCAGTAATTTTATTCTTTATACATCATTTATTCTTTATGTAGTTTTAAAATTGCTGGCCTGTGTAGCCAAAGTCTATAGGAAAACATTTACATCGTCATTATTTTTCCCAAGAGCGTTTGAGAAGTTTTCTTTCAAAACAAAGAGCTCCCATTTTTATGTGGCTCTCTAAGATAGCATGAAATTAGTTTAAAGTTACATAAGTACCAACACATTAGAGGAAAGCATAAAAGAAATCAAAACCTGGCAATAACAAAATGTGTTAATGCTGTGCAGGGATGGATCCATGAAGCTTTCATAGTGGGCAGTTGGGGTGTTGTAGTTAAGATTATATTTTGACAGCTCCTTATTGCAGTATAACAGCAAACATTTTTGTTAAATTCTGTCATCTTTTTATGATGATTGAGAGATTGTTTTTGCTTTTGCACTAATCACAATTGCTTTTGCCTAATTTTTTGATATATTAATATTATTTGGCTAGGAAAAAGGAACAAAGTACCTCAAACTCAATTAATTGTACAGCATTAAGATTTTCCCTTACCAGTCGAAAAAGCTATTATAAATTATGCAGACATTACATTTCATACAAGAAACTATAGGATACATTATTCAAAGTTTATTTTCTACGATAAAACAACTTCATTTTTTCTAGCCAGTGACTTATCTGTTAAAAATGGATTTGAATAGTACAATTGATTTTCAGGCTTGTCCAGTTCTTCTTTTGCCACTGAAATATCATTACGAATGGCATCTATTAAGGATTCTAACAAAAAAAAAGCAACGAATGACAAAATATCAAAGGAAATTTCAAAATAATGGACGATGTTACCTAATGATGGATATGATCTTTCCTGTCGGATATAACCAACAATGCAAATGCGAAGTTCTTTTCCATAAAAATCCTCAGGAAATGTTTGCAAAATATGCGTCTCCTATCATAAGATAATTACATAAAGATCAAGGCTGTAAGGTTAAAAGGTCAAATGTTTTTTCTATTCAATAAATTGATTCAGATTAAGCACAATGGCATAAAACCATTAAACCAAATTATTTAGCTTAACTGCTTACATTTTATATAATTAAATGCTAACTCTGACTTTATAACATTGACTTTAATGTTAAATTGGAATGGGTAAAAATCCCTAAACTTGCTAAAGCCAAATTTCATCTTCAGACATCCATGTAAAGTTTCAAATTTTAGCAAAATGTCCTGAAGCACTTTTGTTAACCAATGGGTGAATTTAACTTATTGAATTGCTGGCTTCCAATTTAGACAGATTACCTACCATAGATTTTTTGGTATTTTTGAAGAATGGATTCCATCCAACACTTAACACCATTTTGTAAACCTCGTCTCCATCTACACTAGCAAAGCCATAATATGCACCGGTCTCAAGAGAGTCGGGCAGTTTCGAGATCACTTCATCTGGATAATTTGCTACAGTTAAAACAAGCAGTTGGCGTCACTTCTTAATTAGTCAATCAGAGTTGCATAACTTAATTCATTTCAAATTGAGATTTGGTCATTTGGATAGTAATTGATAATGGTTCTTGTACAAAACCTCTATTTAAAAAACATATTTCATCGTAATTCGATGGTTTTGGAAAAGTTCCGAGCACAGAACACTCATTTTCAAGTTTCGACTAAATAGTTCGCTAATACAACGAAGAGAACCAGAGAAATAATCAAATATCATTAATTTTCCATACCATAAAATGCTACAATTTCAACACACAACAGTATAATAACACAATATGCTCTTCTTGGGATAGGGAGATACTTTCATATACAGTAATGAATGATTACTCAAAAGCACAAGACAAGACATATTTAAATGAAATTTCTACCTGTGGGAATTCCTAAACTTTTACTCCCTCGACCGAATCCTTTGACGACTTCCCCTCGTACAAACAATGGTAGAACTCCATTTGGCATTTCGGAAGGCATAATACTGGAACTCCTGTCAGAAGTTAAAATCTACAACTAGCAAGTGAAAACATCATTAAAATTGCTCAATCATCCAATAATGTTCTAAATGTAAACATGTTACAAAACAATATCACACACAGCTATTTCCGGCACACTTGTACCGCTTATTAGAGCGCGATAGCAGCAATGAATGAAGACGTCACCTAGCACGTGACCACCTACTTCGCGAATATATATTTATCTTAATTAGCTAACTACAAAAGAAAAATAATGTTTTGAAATATTCACATTTGATTGACCCAACTGCTGGGCCAATATATCTACCTCTTCTAAACCTCAAAGTTTTACTGCCGAGGTTCAAAATATTACAAATTTTATACATATTTAAAATTCCGACGTACACAGTTTGGAGCAATTCGAGAGTGTATTTTGGATTTAACATGCACAGTATAATATTCTATTGATGCTTTAAATATCTCCTTCATCCACGACAGTCTCGTCAACATCCCCTTCAGTACCGGCATTTCCCTGTTGAGCAACTTGACTGAGCATGTCGACAGCATCAGTAGACATCAGATTACTTGATGTAAGACCCTATAAAACGAAAAAGATCAACGTTTCAAAAATGAGCAATTTCGAAAACATGCAGCTTCCGCTTACGGTTTATCGAAAAATGACAATCTTCAAATGTTTTCGTGAAGATCAGGAATGAGTTTAGGGGAGGGGTGCAGGAAGGGTGATGATTTCCGAACAAAATGCTTGCATACCAAACAAATAATTGTGGTTAGTGTTTAATGGAGCACCAATCATAATAATGAAGGTAACAGATTAAAGAATTCAACAAAGACCTCTGACATGCTTTGGCAACCAGTAGCCAATGAAGTTTAATCCAACCTGGCACACCTCCCCCCCCCAAAAAAATAAATCCCAATCAATGATCCCAAAAGGTACAACACGAATACCTCAAGACTTCCAGTTTGCAAAAATAATTGATGAGTTAATTGTTCGTTAGACCCAACACCGCTGTCATTGTGAGCGTTGGGCTCATCATCTTTTTTAAATGCCTGAAGACGATCCTTATAGGACTCTGCTTCTTTCTGAGCCTGCTGCAGCTCGTTTTGATATTTGCGGCTATCACGACGAGCCTGCTCTAATCTCTTCCAACTCCTGCGCGCGCGCATCTCCCGTTCCTGGGTTTCTACGATCTTCTGTAGATCAACCAAAACCTTTGGCTGCTGTTGAGGTTGAGCGGACGGGGACTGGGTATTAGTTGCACCTAGAAGAGCCAAATATCACGATCGATACGCGCACGCCCAGAGCGATATTCAAGCGGAAATATCAAGGCTCAAAATAACAGCCCAATTGTATTCGGTCAAGATGGAAACGTAAAAAAATACCTATTTTCGAAACTGCTGATTCTTACCTCCCAGCACATAATTACAAGAGCAAATACGGTTTTTCTGTACAAAAAAATTAACGCTCAATATTTCAAAAGAATACTGAAAGAAAAACCGATTTGTAGCTTTTGTGGAAAACCTGAAAATCAGGCCGGTCAAAATTACACACAAGGCAAAAAATCAGGCCGGTCAGCAGGCATTTTTAACCACTCATTGTCCGCTGACCGGCCGTCATTTTGAGTCCCGAATATTGTGAAAGAATCCATGTACCTTGTAAACTTTGACTGAGCAAATTTTGCAGCGCGGCCGTAGCGGGAAGTTGGGAACTAATGGTGGTCGATTGACTGTTCGCGTGGGCAGTAGTGACAGGAAGAGAATCAGTTGCTTGAGTGTTTCCCTGTCCTAAAAGTGATGAAATTGACAGAGAGAGTTTTTCTGCTTGAACTTCGATCATGATTCATTTTGAGGGCGTATTTTGAACACAAAAATATTTGCATGGCGGAAGTAAAAAGCCGAGCTGGCTACGTCACTGAGTATAACCTTGTAATAGTTGTTGTAATAGTTGTTGATGAGTCTTTGCGACGGGCTCAGATGAAGCATGCGTCGTCTGTGGTTGTGAATCTTGTTGCTGTGACGTCGTAGCCACCGGGACTGTCTGGATCTAGCAAACATTACAAAATGGTAGACCAAAGGGTAATAATTGTAATCTCTAATCCTAATCTCTAACGAATAAATCGGCCATAGCCAAATGCCATAAGATTAATAAGGTTCGGGTTACGGAATCAATGTCGCGTAATTGGAAAACACGGAATTACGTAGCTATAATGATGGGGAAGGTAATGAATGGACTACTAAATACTGTACGATTTGTGAACATTACACCAGTAAATACATGAGATTAGGCTTATAGGCGAGTGGACGTATACGCGGGTGGACGTATAGGCGAGTTGACGTATGCGCAGGCGTGGACGTATGTAGGTGGACGTAGATTGACGTAGGTGGACGTATAGGCGAGTTGACGTATGTGGACGTATAGGCGAGTTGACGTATGCGCGGGTGGACGTATAGGCGAGTTGACGTATGCGCGGGTGGACGTATAGGCGAGTTGACGTATGCGCAGGTGGACGTATAGGCGAGTTGACGTATGCGCAGGTGGACGTATAGGCGAGTTGACGTATGCGCGGGTGGACGTTTAGGCAAGTTGACGTATACGCGGGTGGACCTTTTTATGTGGGGCTTATGCTTATAGCGAAGGTTAACGGTATTAGCTACCGACTAAAACTCCATCCAGTTCACATTTGATTCAGCCAAGTTAGACAAACGAAAAACTTACCACTACTTGTGTGTTATGCAGTGTCGTGGGAGTCTGCGTCTGACTCGTGTTCTGACCGGCGAGTACCTGAGCGAGCGCCATTTGCAACTGACCAGGCACCTGACCAGTGATATGCAACGGCTGTGCCAGAATACTATGGACAACATTTGGTCGCGGAGTTTGTATATCTACAGTATTCTGGTTGAGCTGTTGGATCATAGCTGGAGTGAGCTGAACCTGAAGGACACCTTCCTGCTGCGTATGAAATGGTAAACAGAGATAAAAGTTTGCACAAACTCTCCGCACAAAAATGTTTTGTCATGACAATGTACCTGAGGTTGAACGCTACTTTTTTCCGTTGACGCAACTTCGACGCTTGCAGACTGCTGGCTTAGTTGATTGCCGTCGACAATCAATTGCGTTGTTCCATCAGGTGCAGATAGCAGCACGTGACCTGAAATAAAATGAGTAAGAAATCCGTGTACACGTCACCAGTCGTACTGTTTTGCCCGGATCACGTGATGTTAACGGAAATAGTCTACCTTGTGCAGCAGAGCCTGGTCCGACGATAGGAACAAGATAAGTTGTAGCCGCTGTGTTTGCTTGACTTGTTTCACCAGACGCTACAGATGGTTGATCAACAACAGATGACACAGCTGAAACATTGAATAAAATATAGCTCCATATTAAATCACGATGTCAGAGAATAAACGAACTCTTTAAGGATCAATTTACCAGATCCTGTTATAGATGAGACAGTCACAGTGGACTGGGAGCTAGACAATGAGGTGCCATTCTGTTGACCAGCGATTGGTACTTGTGTGATAATCAACTGATTACCTCCTGTACCACCTGACTGACTGTTGAATCCAATAGGAACAGCAAAAGGAAGTTGATGCATCGGTATGTTCAAAGGTGAAGGTTGTGCAGGCTGTGAAAGTGCTGATATGGTTGAAAGGGCTGCAAGAGGAGACTGAAGTGGGCCAACATTCCCCCACATGGGGGGTGTGATAGGGGTAATGTTGGTCAATAATTGACTTGGTGTGTTGGGTGGAATGGTCAATGGTGAGAGGGTAACATTTTGCTTCCCAACTGTAGACATCGCCATGGCAATAGAATTCGTCGGAGCTGACAGAGTGCATGTTGTCTGATTTAGTGTGGCAGTTGCCAGAGTTGCAAGAGCATCGAGGACACTGGAATCCTGGGAAGATGTTGCTTCCACTTTCACAATGTTTGCTTCTAAAAACATTTTCAAGTGGTTGACAAACTCATTCACAATGCTATATGGAGTAAGAACTGCAATAGGAGTGCTTAAAAAATTCTCCCACGAGCACATACTTTTTGTATTAAGTTCTGCAGAGCTGGCAAGAGCAGCAGCTGAGACCAATGGTGCCATAGTCTGTGAATGAGTTCTCAACATCTGAAGATCTAAACAAAAAAATAAGTATGATCAACATGAATATTTACATTACACAGAACAACCATCAACATCACCAATCCCTAACAAAGTTTAGCATTTGTGCTCACTCTGAACAGCATTTGTATCCATAACTCCTGTCCAAGAACCTGCTGTCATTGGAAATTTCCTTGTCTTTTGCCGCTTTTTTATGGTGCCCAAAGTCAAACTTGCCTGACCTTTAAAAACGCATACGAATTGTTGATATTCTTTAAGGCCACAATACATAGTATCGGTTCATTGGTATTAGTCAGAGACCATGTTTTTATACAGTAAAAGACACAGTGCAAACCAAACAATATTGTATTATGAAAAAGCTGCATAATACGTAAATCATTAAATACATAACTAAAAAGATTTGATGTATGTAGCTTTTTCAGGCATTAAAATTGATTAATCAGAAACGAGGAAATTTCAAAGATTAAAATTATAAAACAGGATTTTGTAGCACTTACTTTGACGTTTGATGCCTTGACTACGATCAGATGCCTTGGGAAAAAATGATACAATTTTCATCGATTACTTAAGGAATTTCAAAAAGAATTCATTTACTTCTTTGATTTAAAATACAAATCCAATTTCAAACCTCTTCTTCCAAAAGTACATTGACAATTTCCACAAATCCTTTTTGCCTTGCGATGTCGATTGGCAACTGTTTAAACTGCAATAAAAATTGCACAAGGTACGTGGAATAATTCAAAATTTCACTGGCAATAAAAATGGACAATAACCTTGCTTTCCACGTCCATTTTTGCTCCATTGCGGAGTAGAAGTCGTACAATATCCACATGACCAGAGTCACAAGCCCAATGGAGGGGAGTCATGTTTAACTAATAGTGATGTAAAATCAAGTCATGTGACTCACATTTCACAAAGTTGTCATGATCATTGAGGACACAACACAAAAATGTAAAATACAGTTGTATTACCATATCAGTGTGATTGACACTGGCGCCACCAGCAATGAGCAAATCAACAATATCAATGTGGCCATTTTGTGCTGCAAGATGAATTGGTGTTCTGTCAACCTAAATGAAAATGTACTGTAAGTCAGTTGTGTATGGGTGAATATAAAAAGTAAGCATTTGGTTGTTATTACCTTAGTCCTTGCATCACGACTTACACCAGCTCTGAGCAAAACTTCAGCTGTCGTAGTGTGACCATATTGGGCTGCAAGATGTAGCGGCGAGGTTCCAAGCTAAACAAACATTGAAATTCAAAGCATCTATTTGGAATCAAATACCTACGAAATGAAATTCTCATTCTCACCCAGTCTGTTGTGAATGGTGCTCCTGATGTCATTAGCATACTGACTTCGTCTGCCTGACCCCTCTTGGATGCTTCAAGCAAGCGCTTTCCTTGATCGGCCAACGACGTCATTATGGTTGATATTCAAGCCAGATCTAAAAAAAGAAAAATCAGGGCGGACGTCTTTTGTTATGTTTGTACAAACTTATCTCCTCTACTTCAGACTGTTCAAAAATAAAACAGATGGTACAAAGATCATTTTGACCAAATGAACGAAGTACGTTTTTACGACTTCCGTAGATATTGCAATGACAAAATGGTCGAAAAAATTCCCCAAAACAATTAGAAAAAAATCATCAACAAGCACCCTTGACTTGGAACAGAAAAGTTAGTTGAATTTCATGATAAAGAGGGCACATAAAAGCGATGTTGAATACAAAAACACTTACAATTAACCCGTTGTCAAGACGGCGCTAAACACAACAAATAACCATTAATCCGTCGACTGAATTCTCGAAAAGCAAAATGTGCCATTTCTCTGACTGAGATATATACTCAAAAAGCATAACTTAAAATTTATACAAACGAAGGCGATTGGGAAAGACACAATTTCATAACAAGTTACCTTGACATTGCATGAGAATATCTTATAAGTTATAAGACCGCCATATTTTTTGGGCTTCTTCGTAAACTAAGACGCAACGAAGGCATTCGCCTTCGTACTCATCCATCTCAAAGCGACAAAGCCAAAAAAAAACACTATTAAGTATAACCTATTTTGCAGTTTATATTTACAACATTAGTATATGAATAGAGACGATGTAAATATGCATAGTTCCCGCGCAAAGTTAGCGATGTCACAAACGGAAAACGTTCGGCATTTTGCTGAAAGGAAGTCAAAATTCATTCAAATAAAATCAACAATAGGACTATCATTCCTACCTTAAAACTTCGCTGGTCTTTTATAAATAAAAAGCAGATACTGCTGGAGCTTCTTTTTCGTGAAGAAATTGCTATTTTGCGGTGTAAAACAGAATATTTCTCGGTTTCCGGTCACCTCGCGGAAACACATGTATTTTCAGTTCGAATCGAAGGGAAACCGTCTTTACTTCCTGACACGAAGAAGTTGTCATGTCACGTGACATCTGTTCGGGTATCCTAAATTAACTGCAGTTAGATTATAGCAAATTATATTATTTCCTATGTTCATACATCCACTTCATTTTCAACTTAAAGCTTTATGCTGGTCATAAATATATTATCACTGTAATATAAGCAAACAATTCTATTTTTACCACATTGAAGTTTGGCAATTATAAACGAAACGGAAAGGTTTTGCAACTTTAGAAAGAAATGCGGTAAAAATATCGATAAGTTGGCGTAGTAATAAGTATGCCACTCTGCCTCCGGCAATTTTAACAACACCCAACACGTTTTGTAAATGCATTTCCAAAAAAGTCTTTAGCATGTAGTCCCAATCCTGAAAGAAAAAACAAAGTCAACTGGTACACAACACGATAACTGACGCATTATCCAAAATACGCTGCCCAATAAAGTTTACATACTTCCAATTGTTTAGCATTTTCTGTTCGATTTGAAATAACCGCATTTTTTTTCAATCTAATCCAACTTCTTTAAAATAGAACTTAGAACTGTGGAATCCTGGGAATTCCTTGAAATGAACACTGTCGATACTTGGTTGAGAACATAAGAAATGAATTTACATAAGTTATTCATACGTGTCATTTGGTCAGCCACCATTTGTTTTAACAGGTGCAAGGGACAGGAAAAACTTGCAACGATTCACCTGCTTGATGCACTTGTGAAAAAGTACAATAAACTAGAGAATCATTGGCAAAGATCTTGGTAAGTCAACATCAAATAAACACTTGATGGCAGTTTCTTCTTGTGAAGACTTCTTTGAAAAACCTTTTGGTTTATAAATACTGAAAGTACGTTCAATTTGATATCGAAGGAATTAGAAAAAATCAAAAGGCGTTCATGGCAACAGGCGAATCGACGTCGACGCTGAACATTTCCAGGGAGCTTCAAGATGCTCTTTTTGAGCTTGGCCGACTGCACAGAATGATGAATATATACATAAATACATGCGGTGAAAGTTTCAATACTCATAATAGAAAAATCCTCACAGAAAACTATAAGCAGTGTAAAGATCTTGCTGGTAAATTGGAAATAGATCCACCGATAGATTTTCCTGAAGAACAGACTGATCCAAATAATTTGAAGGAGCTGAAAGACTTCTACGCTAAGCACATCACTCACACGTCTTTCTGAAGACGAAGATAAATCCTTCAATAAATGTACGATATTGGTGACAAACTTCATCATATGTCTTACGCACATTTTCGTTGTAGGGAACATAGGGAACGTGAAGAGAATTTGTCCAATGAATTAGCGCAAGCATTAGATAATGCATTGACTGCGTTAGAATTAAGTGCCATGAAAATTGGCGTTGAGGTGGATGCAGAATTGAATCTGATAAAGAAGTCAATGAGCGGCAACAGTTACCACGCTGACGTACCGTTGCATGAACTGAAACCGTAACTATTCCAAACCCAGAAATCAAAGTACAGCGAGGTAGACACCACCTGAAAAATTACAAACGAAGATTGACTTGTTTCTTTGGTGCGCATACCAGACAGGAATAAGCACCAGCATGCCTTTCTCGTTCTTGAAAGAAAAACTGGCGGAACCCTAAAGATCTGCTTCATAGATTTTGTCTCAAATAATAAATCGAATCTTGGTGCCTTTGGACAACAAGATGGTTGGGTGAGAGTGTTTACTAAACAAACAATCGACGCTTCTAAGAAACTGTTATTCACATGTAGAGGAAATATGATGGACATAGAAATGGAGATCGCCTGCTATTCAAAACGTGTTCAATTGAAAAAAAAACACAGCAAACATTCTTTTGAAAAATGTTGAATCCGCATCAAAAAGCCCACCTAAATACAACGTGTTGGGGAACACGAAAGCTTTTCATTCATCAGGTAAAACGAAAGGCAAAACAACAGGTCATAATTGCTACACGTTTGCAGGGGAGATGTGACGTAATCTCGAAGGTGGTCGAGTGGACATAACAGAGGATACTTTAGATAGTTGGGTGTTGTCAGCAACCTCTCGTTATCTCCGAGACAAAAAACTTGATGATTCGTGGTGGAAAGGAGTAACAGTTGGCGCATGCGTCATTGTTGTTGTTGCAGTATTGTTGTGGTTGCAGTATTTTGTTGCTATGGTGGCAAGATAAACAATGAAGAAATGCAGTCATTTACGTATAACTCTATCACTTGATGGGTGAACTACTTCATATTTCCATTTTAAGTACAACGCAGAACAATTTGCAACATAACGATCGACAAAGTAAAGATTAAATAATTTTTTTAGAACAGTAGAGTTAATTTGATGTACTTTCTTTCTTAGGACAAGAACGTGCTTAAAATGTAGCGAATAAAGAAGAAATTCTATTTGCAAGATAAGACAGTTATGAGTAGATTTTTAACTAAAGGAAATTAAATCATAAGTGTAAATAAAGAGTTTAGCCAGTTGGATTATTTGTAAAGTTGGATAGTTGGTAAGTTAGATAAGGAACAAGTTGCATATGACGCTTTAAAAATACGCTTTTATTTTGGTAACAAGCCAGAACGCATGACCTCAGGCTGGCGTTTTTCATTTTAGAGTTTATACAGTGAGAAAAAAATTGTAAAAATTTTTTGTTAACACTAAGTCGTACAGTTTACACTTGTTAATAATGATAACAAAACTTTGCAGCAAAAGTGAGCAAATCTTCCCTCCCCCCCCTCCCCCAAGTCACTGTGCAGTAGCTGTGCAAATGTCAACATTCTCAAAAACAAAAAGTAGATTTAATTCAAAATGAAATGGTTTAGAGTCTTTAGACAACTCATACTTGAAGCCAAGGACGACCATTAATCATTTCCATGGAAAAAAGTTCTTCAGCTTTCCCATCTCATTCTTATTCTTTATCAGCTGAGTACTTGCAACAGCTCCTAAAATTCTCCCTGCGGCACTTCCGGTTACACCCCCCACCATACTGCCAAGAAAGGGGACAGGTAACACGTACTGACCAACAATACTTCCAGCTAATGACATGGGTGTGCTCACGGATGCCCCAACCACACGTTTTATAACTGTCTCTTCGTATTCTTGCTCTGTGATACTGCCATCATTTTTTTTATTTGATGCATCACAGATATCTTTGCCAAGAAATGCCAGTTCAACTGCAACACCTACATTAAGTTTATGAAAAGAAATAGTTTCATTCTCTGAAACCAAATGAAAGTTGAAAACTGAAGCCCTAAATCACCTTCAGAAATCTAAATGAACATATTTAACATTCATTTACCTGCCAGCACACCCGATTTTGTCATACCACGAACAGCCTTATGAGGACTTGGTGTTTTGGGTGCTTTCTTTCCGCCAAGCTTCCCCGCATTTTTAAACATTTCTCTTATTCCTAAAAAGCAGAGCTTTTTTGTTTCTTGAATGACAACTCCCTGCACTATAACATAAGTGTTTTGTTTCAAAGATCCCCAAGACTCTTGCGTGCCAACATGATGAATGCACTTCATCAAGACAATACGAAAAACAGCCATGGAAAGCTCTGCCAATGTTTCCTTGCCATAGACTACAGCTGTTCTCTGAACAAATTCCTCTACAGCATTTTCCACTGATTTCTTCAAAACAATTTCCAAAAGGCCTCTAGTAATGGTGGGTAGAACAGTCACCATCATATTCTCTATAAGCGTATCAACCTGAAAACAGTTGAAAAAATGTGTGAAGTGGAATGTTTTAATTAATTTTAAAAAGCAAACATGGTGATACTTTTTGGAAAACACAATGAACTGTCAATGTTTTTAACCTGAATACTAATGCTCTTCCCAATCTTGCATTCTGTACAAAAGTGTTCACAGTTTCCAGTAAATGGATTGTACTTCTTTTCTCCAAGTCTCTTAACCGCATTCTCCAATACAACTTCAGGAGGATGAACTTCATTGGCATCATACACAATCCGATAAAACCTAGGTTGAAATCACTGTAAACATACATGACAAGACTTGCCGGGGGGGGGGGGATTGGATGAAGCGTTTTCAAGTATTGGCCAACTATTGTGATGGAAAAATAACTGGCAAAAGCAGTTTCAATTTTTGTTGTTGGAATTGACAAACGGTCGAGCAGTTATTTTAGTCATCACCAAATGCCGTTAAATACCAATCCATAGAAGCTTTTTCTTAAACTTATTCTAACAAGAATGCTACCAACCTTTTGGGCCAAAATTCCAAAGAACTTCTTTTTACTTGAGCTATAGAGCCGTGCTGTAAAGTCGTTTCAAAAAATTCTCTCACATTGTTGTGATAATGTATAACTTTAACCGTTTTGGACTCAATATCGACATCTTCAACGATGCAATGATGCCAGTACAAATAAACTCTCTCGTAGGCTATGTGATCACCGGGGAATATGTGCTCCAACGACGTCAAACATTCCTTAGCGAAGTTATAAACTTGACCATACAAGTTCGAAGTCTTTTTACTCATGGCGAACGAATACGACAAATCGTTTATACCTTCACCTTAAAAGACATATCGCTGGCCGAGGAACTAAAAAGAAGAGCAAAGAAATATTCAACAATTTGCGTTGCGTCATGCCAGTCAACAGGGCTAAATATTAGTTGCTTCAATATAAAAAACAAATTAATGTTTCTCTTACCAATTAATGAAAATCCTTCGCACTGTGGAGTGAACTTTATAGGTAAAAACAACCGAAACTATCTATCCACATCAAACTTCAGAGCAAATAATATGTTTTGCGCAGAAATATGCTTAAATAATGGACGTGTATTGATGAAAAATGACATTTTTTCTTCGTAAACACAATTATCTTCTAAGAAACTTTGGGGAAACCCTGAATATAATTAGTGACGTTTAGGGTATTACCCAATACTTGATGTAAGCGGTTACACTGATGAGATGCCTGTCTGTCATTGTCATTCTTCTAAGTACATGCAAAAATATTAAATATGCATTAGATTTTCTATATTTATTATATGAATACTTGTTGAATAACGTAGGTGTCTCAATTTCATAATTTAAGGCTATCCTGGGAGTATCATTATATATTTGCTGATGAGAATTGTCTAGGTTACGGCAAAAAATCCTGGATTTGACATTAAAGTAAATGGTTTGAACCCGGGAGTATCGTTACATGTTTGTAAATGTAGATCGTCCAGGTTGGTATAGTCCTGAGAAGGACATTTACAAACATGTAACAACACTCCGGGGTTCAAACCATTTACTTTAAAAACATTACACTTCACACTAATTCACAATGAAAATACACAATTGACACCCACACATTTCCTGTACACACAATATAATGACGTAAGAACCAGATAAAAAATATGGCTATATCAACCTGAACAATCTACATTTACAAACATGGATTTGACATTGTTGAACACATGTTGTATTTGCAGCAAATGTTCAGCAGACTTTCCCATTATTAATGAAATGAAATATAAATTTAATCCATTCTGGTCATAAATATGAATGCAGCAAATGCTGCACATTTGATGAAATATGTAACTTTGATCCATTATATTATACACAACAATTTGAGATTTCTGTCTCACTTGAACAACACAGTAACTTAAAGTGAAACAAAATAAAAGAAATTATCATGATTTTACATTTATATCTTTCATTAAGTGATTGTAAAATTCATTCATCTCCATGTTGGCAGTCCAGTCACCACAACAATATAATTCGAACATCTCAAGAAGCACACAAGATATCTTGGGAACTGTTTCGCTTATTATACTGCATCGGACTGTTTTGAAAAGGGCATCCATTTCCTCCTGAGGGAAAGAGACACAAAGTGACACATCATGAATACATTTTAAATCCAAAAACATCCAAAGCAAAAAAGTTTAACACACTGACCCTGTCTGAGGATTGAAGAAGCATCGCAACATGCAACAGATTATCGCGAAACGCAAACACTTCTTGCTCTCTTTCCAACTCATTTTCTGTTTTTGACTCGACAAGTTCACAAAGCATCGTGTACATGGGTTTTACAAGTATTTTGATCGGTTCATGTTTGATCTTTACATATTTGAATATGGAAGTCATCAGACAAGTGTAGGCAATATACTTGTCGAAAGCTTTTTTCTTCATAGCCTCGCGACTTTTATAAGTATCCTGTATCTAACACAAAGAATATGAACTTTCAGATTTAGATGCAGGGCCGATTTTTAAAACAAATTTTTTACGTTTTGTAGAAAACGTTTTTGTAGAAACCCACACTTACGCATTATTATTTTGATGATACAAAGACGCCATCCAAACAAATCGATACAAAGTCAAGGTGCTCACCTTTTTGAAGAATTTACCCCTGAAATTATTACCATTCGATTCTAAAGAAAACATGGCTGCAGCAACGAGGCCACAATTGTAAGCCATATTTTTATCTTCTAAAGATTTTTTAAAAAGCTCTGCAACAACCTTTTCCATGTTCTCGTCGTCTGTTGCATATTTTTCTGCCTCCCGTAAGCAACGTTTCAGATTATCATCAGAAACGTTTCGTAGAGTTGTCTCGATTGCTTCTTTAACACCTTTGTAAGAATCAACAACTTGGCTTTCTGACGGTTTCAAAGGCACGTATTTCGTGGCAACCTGTTGGCCAGCACTCGGCAAAGCAGTTGCCCTCCCTCGGCGACCTCGACCAAAGGCTCTCGGAGGGGTATTCATTAAATTTTGAAATGTGTCTCAACAGAAAAGAAATATTTGTAACTGTCTTTTAACGAGCGTAAGTTATATGGTGAAAATAAATAACACGTGTTTATTCTGTGGTATAACGTTCGCTGTACGGGCTTATCGCACACACAGCGGGCGCATAAGTGGTTATTCAAATTCTTGATTTGGTTTGGCCTTTGGAATGTTGGTGGTCTCATTGTTTTAATTAAGCCATTACTGGCACCAGCCGACGTTCGCCAGAAAAACTTTCTTTCAAAACCCCCATGCTTGATTGTCTTATTTGTCGAGAAAACAATCTTACTTAATAAATTACAGTGTACTTAAAAAACACTTCATACAATGCCAGACATGCTAAGCACACAGAGTGCCATATAGCATTTCATTACTTTAATTTTTTTCAAGGAAAATTTTTTTGGGAAACTTACTTCATGTTGTATAAAACACAATTTTTCGTTATGATTAATGACATAACAGCCTGGGGCCGGTTGCACGAAGCGAGGATAGCGTTATATATTGGATAGCAGGTTTTTTTGAACTTTTACAAACCTTTTAAAAACAAACATAAACACCTTTTCTCCAAGTTTAACAATTTTTGCTATCAAATTGATAACGCTACGTATCCAGACTTAATGCAACCGGACACAGAGCATTTGAGCACTGAAATATCATGCAAAATATTGACACGTTCCAAGGGAACGAGAAAGTCGTCTTTATATACTTTATGATAGAAAAGCCAACTTCGAGATATTGAAACCGTGAGAAAGTGACGCAACAGCCATACGAGCGATGATTTCCAGATGAATTCTTCCACGCAAATGACGTCACGGTTTCCATAACTTCAGTTGGCCATCCTCACTGAAGGTTGCGATGAGATTATTGTGAGGATGGTGTTTTACACCAATAACATCTTTTTCATGGACCTGATATGCATTAAGAAAATTAATCTCATATTGCAGTAAATAACGCTCAAATCATTAAACACATTTGACTGCAAATAATACCTGTAATGACTGTTCCAGTTTGCCAGTATCCGTACTAAAGCAGTACAACATCATATCTTCACCGACACAGTAGATCCATTCGCCTCGCGGTGACAGAGAACAACACGCAAAATCGCCGCCTTCGCGTTTACCGGTTGTGAAACTGCGAACGATCTAAAATATCCATAAAGTCAGGACGAACAATCTCATTTTATCCCTGCTTGATATAGTCAATCACATACTTGTCCCTGCATGTTCATGATGACAGCGGTATTTGATCTGTTGCAGACGACAAACTGCTCCATGTTCTTCGGTATCGGGTGAACAGAGTTGACTGCGATATCTGTAGCCACGCTGCCAACCGCTGGCTTAAATGTGTGTATACACTCAGTCGTTTTTACATTCCAAACCTAACATATCAAAATATATTAAATCAAAGATAAATCACTAACGCAGTCCTACACATGATTTATAAAACTTTTTGTGATTTTTCAAAAGTGTAATCATAAATATGATCTACCGTGTCCTTTAAAGGTGAAAAGAGAATGCAAAAGCAGATTGCAGTGACAAAACCAGCATGAAATTTTAATCAAGTCATGCATATATTTCCATACACACATTGTTAATAGGTTGATGTACAAAGCCCCGGGGTGAAGGACCCGGGTTTTGCTCCCAGTTGTCTCGTGCTATGTATGTAAATTTCACTCATTGTAAAAACGATGGAATTACAAACAAAGAAATGAAAAATGCCAATTTTCATACACAGCAAGAGAAATTTACATAGCCCAAGCAAAGTTAGAGGCTGGCTACGTCACAGCTAGACAGTGATGTCGTCAGACTATATTTTGCCAACCAATCATACAGCGCATATCAAGACTAACGTGAAGCAATCTCACGAACCTTAACCGTGCCATCACTGCTGCCACTAATGATATTATGTCCATCTACGGTAAAAACGACGTCATTAACAAACGAAATGTGACCGCGAAATTCCTTCAGCGTTTTACCAGACTTTAAACCGTGCATTCTGAAAGTGAAAGTAGAAAGTCATATGAATTAAGCATTATTTTAATGAAGGGCAAGAACACTGTGATCCACTGAAAGGGGATACATTACCCAATTGAAGAGGAAGATTATCTTAATCTAATGAAAGGGAACATTACATTATCTATATGAAGGGGGAGAATACCTTACCCAAATGAAAGGGGAGAATACCTTACCCATATGAAGGGGGAGAATACCTTACCCAAATGAAGGGGGAGAATACCTTACCCAAATAAAGGAGAGAATACCTTACCCAAATGATAGGGGAGAATACCTACCCAAATGAAGGGGAGAATACCTTACCCATATGAATGGGGATAATACCTTACCCAAATGAAGGGGGAGAATACCTTACCAATATGAAGGGAGAATATACCCAAATGATAGGAGATACCTTACCCAAATGAAGGGGGAGAATACCTTACCAATATGAACGAGAGAATACCTTACCCAAATGATAGGGGAGAATACCTTACCCAAAGGGGAGAACACCCCATATGAATGGGAGAATACCTTACCCAAATGATAGGGGAGAATACCTTACCAATATGAAGGGGAGAATACCTTACCCAAATGATAGGGGAGAATACCTTACCCAAATGAAGGGGGAGAATACCGTACCAAAATGAAGGGAGAATACCTTACCCAAATGATAGGGGAGAATACCTTACCCAAATGAAGGGGGAGAATACCTTACCCATATGAATGGGGAGAATACCTTACCAAAATAAAGGGGGAGAATACCGTACCAATATGAAGGGGAGAATAAATTACTCATATGAAGGGGAGAATACATTACCCAAGTGAAGGGGGAGAACACCGTACCCATATGAAGGGGGAGAAAATCTTACCCAAATGAAGGGGAGAATACCTTACTCTACTCCAGGGAAGAAGAGGTTACTTTAATTCAATGAAAGGGAGGATAATGCGACAACACGATGATGACAAATTTATTAATCAAATGAAAAAGACCTATTTGGTTCTTCTTTATTTGACTTTCCATAAGAAACACTGTAAAAACAAAAAACCTTATGGTCATGTCGAATGAACCACTGAGAAGTTGACTTGCATCACGGGAGAAATTTATACACGTGACACCTTTTGCATGAGCTCTTTCAAAACGTCGTAGACACTGTCCAGTTTGCATTTTCCAAACCTAAAAAACATAAAAAAAACACAAATGTTGTTGTCGACTTGTGGTTGAAGACTAAAATAACCAACGTCTGATTTCTGACTACAGTAACTAAATTTTGGTTGAAGCCTTGAGTAACCAACTTCTGGTTGAAGCCTACAGTAACCAACTTCCGGTTGAAGGCTTCAGTAACCAACTTCCGGTTGAAGGCTTCAGTAACCAAACTCTAAAGCCTAGAAAAACCTTTTTCTTTACATGAATAGTTCGATAATACGTGTTGCGTAATTAATACATTCATATTGATAGATCCAGACATTTATGGTAAGGCGTTAACAGTTATTGACATCTTATATCCACTAGTTGAACGATCAGTCTTTGTACACGTAACTACCTTAATCTTTCCATCTTGACCACCGGATGCTAACATTTCGCTATCTCGACTGAACGTCAAACACAGCACAGCGTCGTCCATCATCATAAAATTATCCTGAGCTTGATATTTTAAATCTTTTCGAATCTTTCCTGTAGTAAAATTCCAAACCTCAATGAAACCATCCACGCTACCAGACACAAGATATTGACCGTCAGGAGAGAACAATGCACATTCTGCATGAGATTTTGTGCCAAACTGAAAGACAAACGAGACGCAAGCTCAGGCGTACACTCGTACTCTTGTGATTAAACAATTTTCCTACATCATCTGATCAAAACATCCAGATGATCTGATCGTAACATGCAGATGATATGATCCAAACATGCAGATGATCTGATCCAAACATGTGGATGATCAGATCGTAACATGCAGATGATCTGATCCAAACATGCAGATGATATGATCCAAACATGCAGATGATCGGATCCAAACATGTGGATGATCAGATCGTAACATGCAGATGATCTGATCCAAACATCCAGATGATCTGATCCAAACACGTCGATGATCAGTTCGTAACATGCAGCTGTTGTAGTAGTGACAGGTTGAATTTCGCAGGGTATTTTATTATATAAGTTTAAATACATAAATCATTAACTTAGCAGTTGCTATACTAACCGCATTATGCTGCGTAGTCTACTAGGATATAATTTAGAGGATGTAATTTATCGAGTGACGTTAGAAATTATGCACGTAGAGTGTATTTACAATAATTATTGATTTGCTGACGTTGCAAAATTAACGGAATATTTTTAGCAGGTGTGTTTTAGGCAATTTTATCGTAGTTTAATACCTTTATGGTCCTGCTGAGTTGTGTTGGATACTTCTCCTCTTCCTCGTCTCTCACGGCAGCTTTACCACGGAAGACATCAATGGAGGTTCCGGGGGGGAGAAGGCCTTGATATTGCTGCCATTTTAATGCCTGGCCCAACAAGGCTAACAGCCGAGAAGGTGGTACAACAGAAACCTCTCCAGATAAAGCTTGGGCAATGGCTGCTCTTCTCCTCTCTTTGCTGCTGCCCTCGGGATATGCCTAAAATATCATGAAGCTGCGATAAAGATTATTTTACACCTTACCCATTTTATCCATTGTGATACATTACTATCCATTCCACTTTTCTTCATTGATACAAGGTACTACGTCAAATTTCACTTATCACTTCAGGCTATTCCCTCTTATCCATGCAGTTTTAATCACAGAAAAATTGTCTGAGTAAGTACTGTCTACCTTTATGTCTACCTTTGTGTCTACTTTTATGTCTACCTTTATGTTTACCTTTATGTATGTGTACCTTTATGTGTACCTTTATGTGTACCTTTATGTGTACCTTTATGTTTACCTTTATGTCTACTTTTATGTCTACCTTTATGTCTACCTTTATGTTTACCTTTATGTCTACCTTTATGTGTACCTTTATGTCTACCTTTATTTCTACCTTTATGTTCACCTTTATGTTTACCTTTGTTCACCTTTGTTCACCTTTATGTTCACCTTTATTTCTACCTTTATGTCTACCTTTATGTTTACCTTTGTATACCTTTGTGTTCACCTTTATGTCTACTTTATTTCTACCTTTATGTTTACCTTTTGTCTAACTTTGTTCACCTTTGTTCTACCTTTATGTTTACCTTTGTGTCAACCTTTGTTCACCTTTATGTCACCTTTGTGTCTACCTTTATGTCTACCTTTATGTCTTCTCTACCCTTTATTTCTACCTTTATGTTCACCTTTATGTCTACCTTTATGTTTACCTTTGTGTCAACCTTTGTGTTTACCTTTATGTTTACCTTTGTGTCAACCTTTATGTCTACCTTTATGTCTACCTTTATGTCTACCTTTATGTCTACCTTCATGTCTATCTTTGTTCACCTTTATGTCTACCTTTATGTTTACCTTTGTGTCAACCTTTGTCTACCTTTATGTCTACCTTTATTTCTACCTTTATGTCTACCTTTATGTCTACCTTCATGTCTATCTTTATGTCTACCTTTATGTCTACCTTCATGTCTATCTTTGTGTCTACCTTTATGTCTACCTTTATGTTTACCTTTATGTCTACCTTTATGTCTACCTTCATGTCTATCTTTGTGTCTACCTTTATGTCTACCTTTATGTTTACCTTTATGTCAACCTTTGTGTCTACCTTTATGTCTACCTTTATTTCTACCTTTATGTCTACCTTTATGTCTACCTTTATGTCTACCTTTTGCAGAGCAAGTGTTACAACATTAATTTTCATTGAATTTGACAAGTTTACAACTTCGCATCAACATATATTGTTATCAAGGTTGCTTTGATGTTTCAATTGACAGTAGGATATTGCAAATATTCAGATGTAAATTGCATTCCAATGACAGAAGAGGTCATTAAAAGATTATGTCAATATGGTTGCATTTGTTCATTATGTGTTTCAAACATACTTACATACATATCTAAAGGCCTGTTCATATGAGCCTGGCTGACCCGCTTCAGCAAGCTGGCTTGCTTTGCTGGACCAGTTTATTATTTGACCTACAAGAAGCAGGCTGGCCTGGCAAATACAAAAATAATTAATCACACATGCAGTATAAAAGTCTAAATTCCGATACTTCATGTCAATTTTATCCACTGAAAGAAACTGAACGAGATTATGTACTATATACCATTCTTATGGTCCACCAAAAGTTATTCTTTTGCTTGCCTACCATTTTACATCGAATGGAGTTTCATGAGCATGGGCACTAGTACATTGTTTGTCTCAGCATGCTGAGGTATACCATGCCTTGCGCATTCACATAAACCTGTTTATGCGAAGATCCCACTTTGCTCAAGCAAGATCCAGGCAAGACGGGCCAGCCTGCCCTCTCATGTGAATCAAAATTTGAAATTATATGCAAATACTGTAAGAGGTGAGATCTCGCTACTTCCAGGCCAGCCTGGTTTATATGAAAAGGCCCTAAATAAAAATTCTTATTCAAATCAATCAACGAAATATATGAAAGAATCAAAGCAATAGTATAGCTAGATTGTATAAATTATCAAATAATAGAACCCTCCGTAGGCAAAGGATTGCAATCTCAAAGCATACATTTACATGAAAAACATAAACTACATGGAAAATGTCCGACACTCAAGTCTGAAAAAATTAATGCTGTCCGACATGCATCCTTCTTATATTTATGGCACTACACATAACAACACAGCAAAGCTGCCTGGTTACTTTGTACTAAAAATAAACTAGGTATGCAGTGTGCGAATTTGTGCAATGTGAAATTTGCACATCGTTTTAGCTAAAATGAAAGCAATTGTACATCACTTTTTCAAATGTTGAGCAAAAATCAGCGGTTTTAACCAAAAACACTGTTGTAAATCATATGAATTTGTTCAAGTTTAAAAATATTAATTTAGCAATTAGCGCTATATTATAATTAACATAATATTGCTTTGATTACGCCTCTAAAGAAACACTTTTGTCAAAAAAATTGCACATCGTTTTTTCTGAACTAATTCGCACACTGTAGGTATGTACTCGGGTCATAATACCTCTCTTGGATCAAAATAAGACCTTGCCAAAAGATTTTCCAAGTGCAAATATCTGTCAGGTTGTTGTGCTTTCAACATGATCATTGGATCCGTCTGTCGTAACAATGATCTTGCAGCACCAAGCTCACGGAGCTCGATCAATTCCAATACAATCTGCAATATTATTCAGAATATTTGATGCTATAGGAATATCAAGCCGATACATTTTTCGAAAAAGTATGGTTTTAGATTATATCATCAATTTATGATGGTGATAAGATAGAATAATATTTGAAAACTCTTTCGTCTTGCTCATTAAAAGTAGACTGTTAAATTTTTAACATTTTCCATACAGTACTTTGCCTGACAGTTCTCAAATCAATTTTTTACCTGTTCATAGAGCTCAATGAGAGTTTTGTCTGGTAACTTTAAAGGTTGCACAGCTTGAAGTACAGTATCCCAATGTCCATTATTGATTTCTGTTACAAATCCTTCAACGCTGTCAACAGTATTCAACGTTATGCCAGACTCTTCCTGTTGAAAAATGAATACAAATTTCTTATCAAAAACCCCAGCATTGCTAGAGAAATACACTTACTAAACCCATTCTCTAGGAAAGAAAGCACGGAGTTCTGACAATAGAATGTGATTGAACGTCGAACTTACTAAAAGTTTACCTGCAAAACAGCCAATGTTCTTGACAGGTTATTTTCTTTTAGGTACTGCTCGATCAATCTAACAACACTATGGTACACAATCAACGCAACATAAGTCTTTTAACGTCAAGAAAACATGTGGAATAATTGAAGAAACAATGCTAAACACTTACTCTGCACTTTCTACTTCCAACGCCATTTTGAATGGTGTCGTCAATATTTCGCGAGAGATCTGGGTCTAGGAAGATAGCCACTAATGGACTCCAAGGGACACCCAGTCTAGGTTTTAATTCAACGAATCCACCATGAACTCCACCTCCAATCCCCCACACACGCCACCACGTTCTCTATTTTTGCTTTATAGGACACGTCTTCTGTTTGGATTTTTTCTGTGGACACAAATTCACAAAGAAAGACACAAAGATAGACATAAAGATAGACATATAAAAAGTAGACGCAAAGATAGATATAAAGGTAGACATAAAGGTAGACATTAATGTTGATATGAAGGAGGACGAAAAAGTAGACATGAAGGTAGACAAAGAACGTTGAAAAGATGAATAATAACAATACTACAGGGTTCAAGCGGTTGATTAACTTGATTTTATTGCACTAATTAATATAAAGCTTCAAATATAAATTTATTAGATTGTTTAGGCAAATAAAAATGACACACATATGCCACTTTCAAAGCAATCTCGCGTTATTGTTATATATCATTGCATTCCTAATCTCTCAAAAACAAGTCTTACGCTAGTCAGTTTCAAATCATAAAAAAAGAATATATGGAGGTTTTCAAAATAGACACAAGAAAAAAAGACGGAATTCCTTCCCATTTTAAGAACTCATCGGATTTTCGAAGCCACCCTTTTCGTTGTACATTGGAGGTTGCGCACCATAGCCATATGGAGGGGACTGGGGAGACACAGGTTGGACCATGGGTTGGCCAAAATAGCCTTGTTGGGCTGATGATTGGTTGGACGTCACGACAATAGTATTTTGTGACTGAGCAGGTGCATTAGCAGTTACTACCACAACTGGATCCTAATAAGAATATGTTTAGGCATAAATTATGATAATAACAATTGAAGATGATTGAAGAAAATAATTTGTGATAAATCAGAAATAAAAAGTTCATATTTGTTATAAAAAATGTAGAATGGAAATAGGTCTACGAGAGAATGAAGTGTAAACACCATGATTTCAATGAAGAGAAGAGTGATGTTAGGGAATTAATTCAAGTAGTTAGAGCACATTTTCCATCGTAGTTCACATTGACCACGTGATATAGTGATTAAGCTATGACGTCAAAGATTAGAATACTCACATGTGGTGCACAACATGTTCCCATACATCCAAAGATTGATGCAGTGAACGTTACTATGGTGAGAATGATGAAGACGATAAGAAGAGCGACCAAAACAGAGTGAACTGTTTCAAGATCATCGCACTTCATGTCAAAGGTCCCTAAAACAGAATATTTTTTACATTCTTAGATTGGACACTGCGCGCAGGGGCGAAACTAGGACGTTAATTAGTGGAGGGGGAGGGAATATTCCTATATTCAGCTCTGCCCTGCTGATTTCTTTTGATATTAAAATCGCAAAAAAAAGAAATCCGCAGGGCAGAGCTGAGTATATGAATATCCCCCCCTCCTCTAGTGTCGCCAAAGACTGCTTGAAGCTACTAACCCCCATTTTCATTATTCCACACTAACCTGATTCCTCGCCTTTATAGCAAGAGCATTTGTTATCATCAGTTAGATGGCAATCGACTTTCTGGAACTCGTTAAAAACGATCGTAAGGAGGAGAACGACAACGCTAGCAATGCTTGTTACGATAACAGCAAGAATATTAAAGAACAAAGCAAAGGCCATCTAAAAGAAAATGTCCATTAATTAAGGCACTGGGAAAATATGATTCAACGAGTATAATTCTTCCAATTTTTACGTGAATAAAGATCGACCCAAAGATTTGCTGAATTTTACCAAAAAATTGCTTTGAATAACCCGGGGGGTGAATTTCATCATGTTTTTATAACTCAGAAGTCTATAAACAGCAATGTTCCAGCAATCCAGTGGCTTAATAAATAGCAATAAATTACGTCATCGTAGTCGCTCGATGTAAAATATTGAATCCTACCACAATGCCATTCTTCGTAGCTCCAGCCACAATACTCAGGATTCCAGGAACACCAAGCTAATAAAATGACGAAACAGTTAAAACACAGTAAGTATAAACTTTTATTACTGTTCTTAAACCGTTTCTGGCAGAATAATTTCATGAAATGTGAAAACCAACAAACTCCAACACTTTTAGGCAACTATAAAGTAAATTCTGTTTATACATTATTACAAATAAATATTTATAATAGAAAATAAGAGTTGTTTTGCAAAGTGTGATAAATAGCAGGGTTTATAAAAAAATAAAAGAAATATCAAGTTACACGGCTGGACGCTGGTCGCAACAGCTGATGTTAGCACATTCCAGCGTCCCGCCCAACTTCGATCACAATTTATTTAAATTAACTTGCATGTAAATGCATTATAATCCACGTATGTCTTTATACAAACTGCATGAAATAGCTGTTAGAGTCCTGATGGATAGCTACAAGTAAGATAATGTTGATAAATTGTATATTTTAGACAAACAAGAAGTATGTTTAACTGGACGGATCAATAGAAACAGTATAATATAAGACAAATTCCTCATTCTGTCTGAGGATGACTTTGAAATAAAGTCGAAAATTTACAGTTTACTTCTCGTCTTGTTTTGATTCATATTTTGCAATCTCAAGATGTCTTGTTTCTTCGGAATTTGATTTATATTATACTTCTAATTGTCGGCTGGTCATGGTTTTTGGTCTCAATAGAAACAGAGTTTAGCACAATTCTTTTTCCATAGCTTAACACAAGTTTTCATCAGTTCATAGTCACATAGTTTTCAGTCAAAACCAGTAAAAATTTTGACGATTTCACATCGAAGAACACTTACATAAAGCGACCATAGACCAGCGTGTGAAGCGGCTCTTCCAGACAGTTTACTGCCTGAAATCGCGCCACAAATAACAGCGATGAGAGCAAAACCAAGCATCATCGATCCTGTCACAATGGATCCAACCGCAGTACTTCTTGTCATCACCATTTTCGCCAATGATTTAGGTTTTCGTGAACTTAAAATTTCAACGCGTCTTCTTGCTCCAAGCGAAGGCTTCCTCTTACAAATGCGTCAGAGACAGAGAGACTTCAAATTCACAGATATAGTGTCCCTGGGCCGAGTCACCTGATTAAAATTAGACGGGATACAGCTGTTTCGAAAGGACTAAAGACTGGATATTAGCACGGACCTTTTGAGTTTTCATATCTACGAGGGTAAACGAAGATGTACGTCGCTTCATTTCCCCTTGCACATCGTGAATTAGTTCATAAATTTGGATATGACGGCCTTTTTCGCATTTTTAATCGAACACAAATCGTTCAAAAAAAAGTATTACAGTTGGCTACATACGTAAATTAGCTGTAGCAAACCGTTGTATTAATAACAGAGGGTTTAAGTTTCATTTTGATTAAGAGTAATTTTGTAATTAAAGAGTAATAGAGAGTAATATATAGAGTGTAGATAGTGATTGTGTTTATACAAATACCAATGCTAAAAAATGTAAAGCGCATGCGTTTTGCTTACGAAAAAACGAGTAATGAAAGTCGCCACTCCTGAAAGCAGCTTGTTTTTGGAAGTCGCTATGAATAGCTTTTCAATGTGAAATGAAGTCATTGAAAACCTTGTAATTGGTGGTTTTAGCGTTATTATTAACTGACAGCATCTTCTTCGCCAAAAACATCATCATCAAATGCCAGTAATATAAATGGTGTTCCAACGTAATATCCAATGGTAATTGTGAATGCATTTATCTTCGCCATGTTTGTCTTATACATTTAGTGTTCGTCTCGCTAACTCAACGCTTTCGTGACATTTATTTAATGTTGTCGTGGTCCAACTAAATCTCTGTTATTTCAGTTTAATCGTTATTTCAAGATGTTGTGCATGGGTTTAGTATTTTCAAAACAAACGCAATCATACTCATCTAAGAGCTGGGTAATTTTGGCCATCAAATACGAATAGAAATACTGCAAATGTCGGAAATTGACTCTGGGCAAGAAAACACGGAATTCCGAAAACAAAGAATAAAACGTGGATTCATAATACGTAAATCAACACGAACACGATATCTCAATACAAATGAAATTTAATAACTTCCTGTATGTTGTTTATACGATAAACATCTCTCATGGTGTCAGCGGGAATGCAAATTTATGGGGAAGTATTTTTGAGGAAGTTTTTTGGCAAATGTTTCTGATGCAAACCCGTTTTGAGCTCAATCAATAATATCAACTAAAGAGAATTTGCAAATCACTCATCAATACATGTAAACGTCACTATTTTAATAAATTTCATAAAACCAAATTGTTTATGACTATGTTCAAAATTATTTGTTGGGCTCTAATATTTATATTGAGAATCCGTTTCCCGCCTGGCACTTCATTGGCAACAATGCATGTAAGATGAAAAACAGAAACATTTGCTTCAGTTTTACCTGTTTGGCAACATTGACATTTATAAAAGAAATAAAAAAGCCTGTGCAATCACTGCAAACATTTTTTATTTCTTAAATAAAATACAACTCGTTTTTTTTTCTTCCGGAAAAATACGCTCTCCTTGTGAGAGGTATTCACGCATTAAGTAGGAAATTCGCCTCAGTTTTATTTCTTGCCCTGAGAGATTGGACGGGCATTAGGCATGTCTTTTGAGATCTTCCTTTAATGAGAGAGTAAAAACAAGTACATTCACGAACGTTTCACAAAGTTTAATATGCTAAAAACACTACGATACATAAGTTCAAGTAAAACAAAAGATTATTTTTAATGAACTTCTACACAAAACCAATGAAATAAGGGCAAAACTTTGGCCATGTTAGCTACATGGCTTCATGTTTGAGCAAGCCCGCCTTATCATGATCAAATGGAGGTGGAGCGCCATAACCGTACACAGGAGGAGGTGGTTGGGAGACATTTGGCTGAGGGAAATAGCCTTGCTGAAGTGAAGATTGATTTGATGTCACCACAACTGTACCCGCGGGTTGAGCAGGCACACCAGCGCTCACCACAAATACTGGATCCTTTTATGAAAAAAAATTTCTCTGATTAACAAGCACTGTAGTTATATAGCGTACATGCAGAAGCACTACTTTAACGATCTCGTTGAAAGAATTCAAATGCATCCTGTTGACGTCATTACAGATACTCACATGTGGAGCACAACATGTTCCCAGGCATCCAAAGATTGACGCACTGAACGTTGTAATGGTGAGAATGATGTAGAGGACAAGAACAGCGATAAAAACAATGAAAATGGTGTTGATGTCACCACAGTCCATAGTATCTAGGATGTAAAAACATTGTAAAAACATCACTTAAAGATAAAATAAAAAAAATATATAGTTATGCCGAAGAGCGTATCTTCAATGTTTCGATTTTGAAAATGACGAAACTTGGAAAAAAATAGCTCGTGTTTTTTCGAGGCTGTGAACATAACAATTTCTTCATTTTTCTTTTTTCGATTAGACGAGATGACCAATTTTCAAACAAGAACTGTTTGAAACCTCCGCCTCCCAAAAAAAACAGCTTTGGAAAATGAGAAGCGGACGGAAAAAGTTAGCTAGTGAACGATTTTCACCAGAAAATATTGCCCTAAGTTTGTTCACTTAGCACAGTCAGAAACACATTTCATTTAAAAACGGGATGGCTCAGAATCAGATTGAGAACTGCCTGGGCCACCGTTAGCGATCAATTAACTGTAGAAAAACAGGGCAATAGAAGTGAGGAAACATCAACAGATTAGCAATAAATGTCCCCATGTGTAGCAAATAATGCTTTTTTGGTTATACAAGAAAATATAAGTTTGATAAATAGTGAACCTACATGTTTCGTCGCCGCAAGAACATCCACCTTCTCCCGATGACGAGCACTCATTCGATTCCCATTTCGATTTTAGACTAGCAAAAAGTATGGTGGCCAAGATAAGAACGAGGGTTGCAATGCTCGATACAATCACAGCGATGATGTTGAAAAACAAAGCAAATCCCATCTGAAAGAAAATAACGGAGCGCAATTTTTCATACAGGTTCTCTTTCCAATATACAGAAGAAATCCATTCATTCCAACTAAAGCAGAACGGGCATACTTTTTTGCATACTTATCATTTTAACTTTCCGTTCTAAATACTACACTAAAAACTGTTCAATTGGCGTCAAGTAAAAAAAGTTTGCAAAAAATGCTAACAGATTGCTTTTTCAGTGAAATAGCCGGCGTGGATTTGAATATTTTTGAAACTCTCTGAAATGTCAGAATAATTATCATATAATAGAGTTATATTCAAGATATACTTCCTGTAGTACCATATTTGGTATTGTCAGTGACATGTGTGTTGTGTATATATTTATATGTATATGTATTGATGTTGAAAAAAGATTCATCCCGACAAGCCTGTTTCGTCTCGTGATTTCTCACTCTTTAGGGTGAGAAATCACAAGAAATCAGGTAACACATATTAACACCGATCACATTCACAATACACCAAAACCCATGGCAACGCATTTCACCCCATCCAATTAAATTAATCCACATGCTTATCCAACTAGACGCTCTAAGCGTCTACAAGCTAAAAGCACGTGTAAATAAATAATATCCTCATTCTGATGAAGGCTCGAAGCAACGAGTCGAAAGCTCAATAAAATTATTTATAAAATCCGGAGAAACTCTTATTTGTAAACAATATAATGCCTGGATTACCAATCTTTAAACATACTTATATGTATAAACAATTAATGCAGAAACAGCTTCGAAACAATGTTAAGGAAATTTGGATCTCTCTTAAGTAAGGCCAGCTTATATGGTTACCAGGAAAATTAAAAAATGACATAATATACAAAAGAAAGCCTTACCACTATGCCATTTTTAGTTGCACCAGCAACAATACTTAAGATTCCAGGAACTGCAAACTAGAAAGAAAAAATGTACGTTTATAACGACCTGAATTTTTAGAAAGATTATTCTTAAGTAAAATAATTAAATATTCATTGTCTAAAATATTAATCTAGCCTGCGTTCGTCGCATGTGAATAGAAATTACAACGTCGCATAAAATTGACATGGATGGCTGAACGCGTTGAAAGTAATTTATGTTCGGCAATACGTGTAGAGAACAATTTTCCCAGACGAAATATTGTGAATCATCTGTAAAAGCATTGCAAGTTCATACATCAAATGGTATTTGACCATAGAAACAAATAGTCAGGGAAACAAAATTTCTGTTCACTCGTCACACATTAATTTAATATATTGGCTTTGAAATGACAATAAGCTAAGTGGAATTTCTTGGCACGTCACATTTTTAATGACAGCAAACGAGCATTTATTGCCTATTTACGACTTTATTTTCAACATAAATCCTTAGTAAATTACGTCATAAATCTTTGCTGTTTTCAGCTAACGCGCTTGGGATTTCGAGGTTGTTCAACACATTTCATAATCATATACAAACTTGAAATATAGTCGGTCACAAATTTACATTTCACTTCTCGTCTTGTTTTGATTCATATTTTGCAATCTCAAGATGTCTTCCTTCTTCGGAATTTGTTTTACATTATATTTCTTTAAATTGTCGGCTGGTCATGGTTTTTTATGTACAACCCAGTTCGCTCGATTTATAATGCGTTAGTTTTAATGTCGTCTACATTGCGATAAACAATTGTTGTTTTAACAGCCTAAAATTTTCAAAATACACTTACAAAAAGCGACCAAAGACCAGCACTCGCGGCGGCTGCGCCGGACATTTTACTAGCTGAAATCGCGCCACAAATAACAGAGATGATGGCAAAACCAAGCAAAATCGATCCTGTCACAATGGATCCAATCGCAGTGCTTCTTGTCATCACCATTTTGAAAGTTAAGGCTCTTGTACACACAACGAAAATCAAATATTCACAAGAGAGTCTTCAGTTAAGAACAGGTCTTTCGAACGCCCAGAGTCGTGGTCGAACTGTTAAGATTCGGAGTCGAAGCCAATACACCGGAATTCCAATCACAAATAACAAATAACGTGAGTGACGTAATACAAAAATTACTTCTCTCTCTCCTCTCCCCTGTTGCGAAAATGCGCATTGGAAATTTCTCGAGTGTTTTCTTGGTAACTCTATTGTAAAACAGTAAACGTTAGCAACGTGGTGGCAACAAGTTGTACAATAATGTGATCCTAACTTAATAATCCTTATACTGTTGCTATAAGCTTACATACGACCTTTTAGGTGAGTGCCTTCCCACCCTCCCCTCCCCATTAAGTAATTTTCCGCAATAGAAATGACCACCATCAAACAGACATTTCCGTAGTTACCACTATATGTATATTAATTAGACTGGATAACGCATCTCTTACGAAAATTGAAGCCGGAAGATCAATCATTTGCTACTGGCTTCATGGGGGGTATCGGTCCCACTTTACTATACTTTTGTATTACAAAATCACAGTTTTCGCGTTTTTATTCCTTTTACAAACTTCTGATTAAGGCAAATTTCTATGATATTTAGAGGAAAACCGGTAGAGAGTTTTAACCCTGAAGCTCTGATTTTTTGGCTTGGTAACGACGGAAAAATAAGATGGCAAATTGTATTTAAATTTGAAAGTTGAAAGTGACGAGGACAATTTCAGCCGTGCGAGGCATTTTTAGAAGGTGAATACTGAAATTACAAATTTACAACAAAATAAGAACAAAGGTATTCATATCTTCAACATATTCATCGATATTGAAGTTGTTCACATAGGAATTGGTTGAAAACTTTGCTTTGCTTAATGACAACAGAGGTACATTAATTCGCATATTTTAATGCAACTTACTATTGTTCATCAAAATGTCTTTCTGATTATTTTTCTATGTCGATTTGTTTTGTTTCTTCACTGATATAATAAAGACGTAATTTGAAATTATTATGATATTAGCGATGTGAATAACAAAGTGTTATTAATTCAGTAAATTTGTAGCAATCTTCTATAAACGTCATTCCAGTTGAAATTTTGGAAGCAGTAGTAGGATTCTGTAATATTTCTACATTATTTAAGAAGCAGCAGCATCATATAATCTCCAGTGTGTTTTAAAACAATGCAGGTCGACCTTGTACCATCTCAATTTTCTGCCATTATAAAGCTAAGAAGACGAACTTTTTAGGATTAAATATCTTTGCCGGTTGTTCTGTCCCTTTCACAAAAATTCTGCTCGAATCAAAAGTTTGTAGAACGGATAAAAACGCAAAAACTGTGATTTTGTAATACAAAAGTATAGTAAAGTGGGGGACCGATACCCCCCACGAGGGTCATAATCAGATGAGCCAACTTCCGGCTTCAATTATCTTACTATATTTTCTACATGGGATGCGTTATCCAGTGAAATATACATATCAGTGATTGTAAGTGATACTTTCCAACTTCCTTGAATACAGCTTCCTACACTCCGGAAAGTAAAATCAGAAAAGAAAAACAAAGAGAAAAGAGCAAGTTATTCCAGTTCAAAGAGAACTTAAAAAAAGTGTTATTGTGCACTTTAAAACAAGCTTTTTCGTGCTAAATTATGACACTATTTCTACGTATTTTACGTAAACGTATTTAAGTTTGAGCGACGTGTTTTGTAGTTAAATAGATAGAATATTCACAAATCACCTGTCAGCTCTCTTGTAGTAGACTATTTTAACTAATAAGTAGTTCGGACAAAGCCATCTGGGTAAATTGATTAGTTTGAACTTAAAAATGAATATTAATTACTAATTAAACGTAAACATCAAGCATGAAAAGGAGTAGCAAAATAATGATTAGCTGAATGGATTTCTTAATTCGCCAAGGCCACCTTGTTCTCATGCGTAGCATAGACTGGAGGTGGTTGAGCGCCATAACCATACCCTGGGGCCTGGGACGGCATTGGCTGCGCGACATAGCCATGGGCATAACCTTGTTGGATTGAAGATTGGTTGGACGTCACGACTACGGCGCCTGCGTTATGAACGGGTACACCAGTGGTCATGACCACGACAGGATCCTACAGTAAAAATGTCAAGTGTGATTGGCGAGAGAAGGACAATACATTTTGGCGAATCACAGTAAATTTAAAATACATGAATATGGATCCAACAATAACCGAGGCTACCTATGTACGCTATTAAAAAATAATCTCCCGCTGTTTTGAATACCTTAGCGTTGTTAAACGCACAAAGTTTATATAGAACTTGCCAGTTGATGTTTTTCATTAAAAAACGGTCTTTGAAAAGTGGAAACGGTTACACGATGTGTTTAACTTTAAACGTAATCAAACTATCATGGCGGTAAACGGCAAGGACTTCATGTTACACTACACGATTTGCACTTCACGCTCAAATATGCACTGGAAGCTGGAAGATCTGAGAACAAGCGGAGCACCACATTTTCCAATCCGTGCATCAAAATACAGATACAGTGAATCTACTTTTTCACTGAGAGCACATTCTCCAGGAATCCTCACGTGACTCATGTGGTGGCTAAGCTATGAAGTCACAGATTAAAATACTTACACGTGGTGCGCAACATGTTCCCATACATCCAAATATGGACGCAGTGAATGTAACAATAGTGAGAATGATGTAGACGACAAGAACAGCGACAAAAACAGAGTAAACCGTGTCAATATCGTCGCATTTCATGTTCCCTGAAAGAAAATATGTAAATAATAACAAATGTCAACGACTGTCAGAATCATTAAAAGGCGAAGTTTATACATCTTTTGATTATGTTATCCTTCGATGACCCATATTGTCCTTTACCAGGCAATAATTTCAGAAAATATAACATTCATGTAAAATGCAGTGATTATCAATGGCAACATATGAATTAAAAATTTTTGAGCTTCCATTACACGTAATTTTATAAGCAAATGTCAGCAAAGTTTTGAAAACGCAAAAACAAAACAGAAAATCACGTAAAGCAAAGTTTTGAAAACGCAAGAAAAACGAAACAGAAAATCACGTAAGCAAAGTTTTGAAAACGCAAAAACAAAACAGAAAATCACGTACAAATGCTAGATGATGGAAGAACACTCGGAAAGCGGGTTTTGTTATCTGGAGGAACATAGTATCAAATGATTTATTTTCTACTGAAAAAAACTAGAGAAATGAAACTCTTTGCCAAACACCGAGAATGAATGAATCAATGAATGGAAATCTTTATTTAAAAAGGGTCGCTCTGTCATGTGCTAAATGCACTTGTCATCAATAGGGAAAAAAGAAAGAAATATTTGAGTTCAGGTTAATTAAAGCCGTATAATAAACCTTTCATTAACCTCGCTTGCTCGGCCTTTAAAAATAAATATCGCACCTCTCTCTCTAAGTACTAACCTCGCCCTATGGCCTCGATATGTACAAAAACACCTCGGTGCCATATTTCTCCGTTAAGACCTCAAGCTTGGTTAGTAGAAGGGCTTAGCAACGCACGACTTTGCTCTACATAGCATTAAGTTTTCTTCCATACCGAAGAACGTTCAATGTTAAATATGAAAGCAACAAAACACGCCTTACATCTTACTGAATTATAATCAGAGTAGATAGATGTTGATGTACAATAACACTGATCACCCACGTCGCTGCAAGTATAATGTCCGGATGACCTCACTTCGTTCATAAGGACTACTATTATTATCAGAATAACACTTGCTACGCTGGAAACAATAACGGCGATGATGTTGAAGAAAAGAGCAAACGCCATCTGAAAAACACAAAAAATGAGCTTTTGAATAAAAAACAAATGAACCCAAGTTACATGCAACTTTCTGAATTATCTGCTTTTGCAAGTTATGTCTCGTGAAATTGTTTTCTCCATTCTTTGGGTTGCATTCCCCAAGCGTCGATAAACTGACCTATATATCAATCACCTGGATGTAGCATGTCACACGTCACGTCCAAATCACTAGAGTTCAAAATTACTGCGTAATACAAAACCCTAATAATTTTTTGAAGCCGTGATTTTACCCCAGACACGCGTGTGTAGTAAATCAATTATTACTCCGCGAGAGAATCACGAAACACTACACACGCGTGTCTTGGGTAAATCTCGCGTGTCTGATATAAGATTTGGCTTCAATTATTTTCTTCAGGTAGCGTTCCATTTTTGAGAAACCAATTAAGACTTTTCAAACACCCTCATATGAAATATGTTCGAAATGTTGAGATTGTTATGCATTTAGGATTCAAAACAATCATGGTTATAAGAAAAAGGTTTTCCATTCGAAATTCTCTATACTTTTGTTTGAGAAACGCTTAGAAAGATGTATCCCACATATCCCACATGACAAATATACCCCAAATATCACACATGACAAACATACCCCACATATCCCACATGACAAACATACCCCACACGTCTTGCATACCAAACATATTCTACATACCCTTTACTACATTCAATCGTAAAAAATCCATTACTAAATACACAAATCAAATTGAAATGTTGTGCAATGTCATGTATTGTTTTCGAAAGCATTTTTAAAGAATGGAGAAATTTGAAAGCAACTATTTCATTAATTTTTCTTCGTCATTTTGAAAAGTGCTGTGCATGCGATAGTCTTCTACTACCTGACAAAGTATCTCCGACAGTCGACTAAATCTATCCGATGTTTTACACCGAACTCCGGTTAGCTCAAACTTACCACAAGGCTATTTTTCTTAACCCCTGCCACAATACTCAAGATTCCAGGTACGGTAAACTAACAAAACGAAAATGAGCATTGTAAGATATTTGTTGATATGGATCGTCCACGTTAGGGCAGCACTGATAAGGACGGTTGGTGTTAATGTTGGTGTTGATGTGAAGATGACTACCTGTAAGGATGTCTAAACATCAGTCAACACCCACACCAACTATCCCTCTCAAAATGGAAAAGGAAGTACTAAGCAATCTTCTGATGATGTAAAAAGACAAAATAAAAAACAATTTCGATGATCATAAAAATCAAAAAAGTAATGTTTGTCATAAAATGTAAACATGTTTCTTGGTTAGCAAGCTACGTCATAGCAGCCATGTTGGATGATTTAACAAAGTATTTTCCTTATTTAAAATGCAAATTTCATCGAACATGGCGAACATTCCATTCTTCTCTTACTTCCAGGGGATGGTTGGAACCCACCAATCGGCAAACGTGTATGTTAGCTACGATATGAAAGTGATCTACTGATTATTTACACGTGATCTACTGTAGTATAGTAATTAATCTATAGAGAATTAGTATAAGAAATGTAGTAAAATAGTTAGAGCATGATAAAAAGTTTAATGAGTATTATTACGTAAATAGTTGTTTCAGAATAATATGTTTGACGTAGGAGCATTGTATAATTAGATATGGACACGAGCATACAAAGACACAGAACTTAGAAAAGACGATTTACATCTGGAACTTCGATTATGGAAATAGATAACAAAATTTAGAAATAAATTCTACGAACCAAAACACTACATCTACTTTTTATGGCAATTTAAACTAGTTTGCGCAAGTTCACGCGTCTATTTACACGCATGTTCGCACAAACTCACGCAAGTTTACCTAAGCTCACGCAATTTCACAAAAACACTGGCAAATTCACGATAGTTCATGGCAAGTTTACACATTAAAGACAAACCAGACCTTGACAGACTTTTGGTTTGAAATATTATCATAATAACATATTCGTGTCATACCGGACTGGACCTATAATCTCCGTCGATACTTTGAAAATAACTCATTATTCAAACATGCACAAATACTCATTGTAATTATTTTCCGCATTTTTAATAATAATATCCTTGTTGCACAGCAGGTCCTTTTTCTACGTGAAATACATCTACAGGTAAAGTATTTCTTCATTTCTCGCAGTTAAGAATTGTCGTTTATCTGAAAAAGTTTTCAACTTTACAACATCAGTTAACTAAACTTTCAATATTCGCAGAAACTATACCAAAACGTTTCGTCGTTAATTTAATTGAAGTATTTTATACAAACGTTTGCATTAATTAAAACGTTGACAATACGCAGGGGCCCAATGCAGAATTTCCACATACTTGACTTTTAATATCCCCATGGAAACACAACCACAAATGCCATTAATAAAACTAATCCTTAGAATATAAGATCACTTTCACAATAACTATTGTCGTTTTTTTAAAACTATTTCAAAAATTGACAATTAAACTCGACCGCACCAATCGTCGCCATTCCTTTAGAAAATATGTGGAGAATCTTCTTTAGTCGAGATTATTACTGATTTTGACATCAAGCACGCTGTAATTTACAAAAGAACACTCTTTGGCGCTCATTTCGCGAGCAAGAATTATTGAAAAAGTATAGTTATTCATTTCCGACACTTTTTAGAATAGTAAATCAAAATGTGATGACAACAATAAGCAAACACATTGTGTCCCTTGGTTTCAATCAATAATTAATTTGAGTATAATGAAACAAAAAAGTCCAAAATTTCATGATAAATTCGTCGCTCTAAAGTGATTTTCATTCCGTAAGTCTTTCTATTTTCGTAAGTTTTTAAGGTGTTTACCGCGTGGAGAGGCCTTGTCTTTCATGCTTAGCTCTACGTTGAAAAAGTTTCAAACTGTAGCTATGAGGAAATAGCACACACTTGACATGTAGGGCGTCACTGTACAAAGAAAGCCTATCTTATAGTGTGTAGATAGAAACAAAGCAACCTAGCCACATTTCAACGAACGAAAGCAAATTTTGCGATGGTAAGAGGCAATTGAATGCATTTAAGTGCAAGAATAACCATAAAACTGCTCACTTATCTTACTTTTAAAATACACTTACGTAAAGCGACCATAGGCCAGCGTTCGCTGCGGCTCTTCCGGAGAGTTTGCTGGCCGAAATCGCACCACAAATAATAGCGATGATAGCAAAACCAAGCATAATCGATCCTGTCACAATGGACCCAATCGCAGTACTTCTTGTCATCACCATTTTCGCCAATGATTTAGGTTTTGGTAGAGACGATGAACAAGCAACAAAAACCTTTAGATTTTTTTCTAACTTCCTCAATGCAAGTGGTCTAAACTCTGTAGCGGAGAAAGAGCAACTCAAAATAATTTAAGAGGTGTAATTTTAATATTTAAATACCTTTACTGCATTGCTATTGGTTGTGAAAATTACCGAAAATTGAATTTTACCAATCACATTGTCCTTGGGGAATTTTTTCTACGTAAATGTCTTCAAGAACGTGCTGTGAAATTCTCAAATCCGTTGAATGACGCAAATCCGTTTTAAAAAGTGCGTGTTTGTGTCGGAGAGTGATTTATCCTGACTTTTGCATTTTTTATGAGGAGGCTAATTCAGCAAATTCAGCAAGAAAGTATATCAATGCTTGAAGAAGATTCCTCACAATTTCAACAGATATCCTATCAAACAAAAGTTACATATAGGGATTGTTGTAAAAACTATGAAATTAAAACTGTTCAATGTGCCACTAAAAGAAAATACAGTCTGTTGTAAGCGCTTAAAGTGCCCAAATTAAAATTTTCCAATATCGTTTTCGCCAATGATTTAGGTTTTGGTAGAGACGATGAACAAGCAACAAAAACCTTTAGATTTTTTTCTAACTTCCTCAATGCAAGTGGTCTTAACTCTGTAGCGGAGAAAGAGCAACTCAAAATAATTTAAGACGGGTGATTTTAATATTTAAATACCTTTACTGCATTGCTATTAGTTGTGAAAATTACCGAAAATTGAATTTTACCAATCACATTGTCTTTGGGGAATTTTTTCTACGTAAATGTCTTCAAGAACGTGCTGTGAAATTCTCAAATCCGTTGAATGACGCAAATCCGTTTCAAAAAGTGCGTGTTTGTGTCGGAGAGTGATTTATCCTGACTTTTGCATTTTTTATGAGGAGATAAATTCAGCAAATTCAGCAAGAAAGTATATCAATGCTTGAAGAAGATTCCTCACAATTTCAAAAGATATCTATGGTGGCCTATGAGTGCCATAGTAATTTCTAGTGTTTCCACTCCATTATTGGTATTATTTCATTTCTATTATTTTACAATTATAGTTTTGTTTCAGTTTTGTTTTGTTTATTTATTTTTTTAACAGTTCAATTATAGTTTTGTTTCAGTTTTGTTTTGTTTAATTATTTTTTTAACAGTTCAATTATAGTTTTGTTTCAGTTTTGTTTTGTTTAATTATTTTTCTAACAGTTCAATTATAGTTTTGTTTCAGTTTTGTTTTGTTTAATTATTTTTTTAACAGTTCAATTATAGTTTTGTTTCAGTTTTGTTTTGTTTAATTATTTTTTTAACAGTTCAATTATAGTTTTGTTTCAGTTTTGTTTTGTTTAATTATTTTTTTAACAGTTCAATTATAGTTTTGTTTCAGTCTTGTTTTGTTTAATTATTTTTTTAACAGTTCAATTATAGTTTTGTTCCAGTTTTGTTTTGTTTAAGTTTGGCTTTTTCTCCAAATCAGTTCAGTTTTCCAAAAATAAACTGAATCAATCAAATGCCATGGCCTATGAGTGCCATAGCCCACAATTCCCTGTAATTCTTACATCATAAACCCTATATTTCCATATTACATGAAGTGGGCTCTATACTTTATAAATATGGCGGAACGCATAAGGAACTCTGATTGGGAAAATGATGAAGAGATGAGACATGATCTTGAAAAATATGTACAGCGAAATTTAAAACGAAAAGAGATTCTAGACTTTATGTCTGCAGATTATCCCATGTATGCATGGAGCATTCGCACTTTAAGTCGCAGGCTTCAACATTTTAATATTAAATACACAAACTACGACATTGCATTGGAAGACGTTAAAACAGCTGTCAAAAAGGAGTTGAACGGTCCTGGCGTTCTTCTAGGTTATCGGGCAATTCAGCAAAAGGTAAGAGAGGTGCATGGACTCAATGTCTCACGCGACTTAGTTTACGCTGTAATGGGTGAAGCTGACCCAGAAGGACTGCAATCACGAGGTGGAATTGGAAAACCGAAACGACCACGTAGGACAAACGCGTTTGTTAGTCGAGTAAGTCAGCCATCTTATTTTATTTGTGTTGCGATAAGTAAAGTATTAATTGCTTTGTTTCAGGATATTCCTAGTATTTCTTTAAAACTATGCGGCTTTTTTGTGATGAAAATTTACATCATCTTAAGCTTTATTCTAAAAACCAGTATTTTGTTTCTACCATTTGATGAGTGGTGTAAGGAACAAGCTAAAAGAAATTTCTGTGCACAACAATTTGCACTATGTGGGTGGAGAAAAAGTTTGTAGTAAAAAATCACCATGCAAATTTGATTTTCAAAGTTTAAAGGAGGGGGAGCACTTGAGGGTGGACAACAAAATTTTATTGAGGCATGTATCTCCCCTTAGCAATGCCACTTCTGAAAACTGCTAACTTGAGCCTTCATTTTATTAAATTATAACAGGGATCAAACTCTACAATGTCCTTAGATGGGCATGATAAGCTTTGTGGCTATCAGAAATCTATGTTTCCTTTGTGCATCTATGGTGGACTTGATGTATACAGTGGCAGGGTTAACTTTCTGAAAGTGTGGACAACTAACAACAACCCATTGGTTATTGGACGATTCTATTTTGAATATCTGTTTAAGGCTAGGGGTAAGATATTTTGAATTTCAATTTTATATTGTTCACTTTTTTATGTTCCATATGTTTTCTGGATGAAAATAGTGAGAATACAATCAAAATTTTAAAGTCTGTATTATCTTTTTTGTCCAGTTTTGCCACAAACATTAAGGTTAGACAGAGGGACAGAAACTGATGTCATGGCAACAATTCATTGCTTCCTACGAGGTGATTTGCATAACGCTTTAGATGCTATAATTTATGGACCTTCCACTCAAAACAAGATTGAAAGGTGGTGGAGGGATCTTCTTGAGAGAATGGAAAGGTTTTTTAAGGAACAACTTAAATGCTTGGTTGAAAGTGGAGATTATGATTCCAGTGATCAAAATGACAGGTACTTATGATAATTGCATGCATTTTATTTCAAGTCATGCCTGATGTTAGTGCTTTTGTGTAAATTGTAGAAATTAATTGTAAATTTAAATGGTAAAATCCGGAGAAATGTATTATATCTTTGTATGTACTGATACAATATATTTGACAACATGCAAACACTCTACTTGTTTCTTAAAGAGACTTACTGGCTTATGTATACATCCCAATAATTCAAAAGGAACTAGATATTTTTCGTGAGTGTGTTTGGAATAACCACAGAACACGTAAACAGAGAGGAAAAGAACTGCCAGCAGGAATTCCAGAACACATATTCCATTTTCCAGAGAAGTATGGTGGTGAACAATGTGGAATTGATATTACAGAAGAACAACTGCTTGAGGTTTCTGAGTTATCAAATGTTTTGGAAGACAATGATGATTATTTAAGACCAGCTGTTCGTGAAGAGTGTAAGAAGCATTTGCCCCAAATACATGAAATTAATCCCAATGATGCTAAGGAAGCTTATTTATACTTAAAGAGTCATGTTGATGTGAATATTTTTTAAGACACAATAGAAACTCGCTTTATTAAAATCGTATTTTGAAAACTGAACTTAATCAAGTAATTTGAACAAAAACATTATTACTGTCAATCAAACTTGATTTAAAATGTCAGTCAAAACTTAACTATATTATCTACATTTCTTTGAGCTTAAGCATAAGGCAAAATTTGTTGCAAACATGCTCTACCTTAAACCTATCAATGGCATCTGTCTAAAGGTTGCCACAGCAAAAGAAAATTGTCCTGTCAATCTCATCAATAAGAGTTGAACTTGCAACCTCTGGATCAAACAAACTATGATCTACTCCCTGGATGTCCAAAACCATTAGCTGTTGTCCAGACTTCTCATAGGTATAGTGATAGAATGATTCTGCCTTGAGTGTTACCTCACAACTCCCACAAACTTCACCAGTGTTGTTCACATACTTTTGAAATTCACCCTCTATATAATTTTCCAATGTTACAAACTCACTATAAAGCCTTCCAAAGTAAACATTTGTGTAATTTAGAACATGACCATACTCAACGGGAGCCTCACTTGCTAATGTTATGGCAAAGTTCCTAACTAGTGCATTCATTTGCACTGCTTTTCTTGTGTGCTCCTCAATTGATTTAAACAGCTGCTTAATTTCCCCAACTTTTTCTTCTCAAACTCTTTTTAGCACATATTTTCCTGGCTGCAACCCTGATATGGGGGTGGCAATGTATGCATCTCTGCAACCTCCACTTGCAAATTTCTGTTTGGAAATAGAGAGTGTAACTTCAAACGGCTGAGCCCATGTTTTATCACGTATTTTGAATTCTTCAATATATAGTGTAACTATTTCCTCTGTTGGTTGAATTATTTTACCAAGTTTAAGCATAGCACTCAGAGGAACAGAGGCTGCAACTTTCGTGAACATTGATGGAGGCTTTTTCGTTGGGGTCTCATGAGATTTCCACCGTTGATTGAAACTGATTTCTATTGGCTTTTCATGACACAATTGGCTCTCATCACTTCCCTCAATAAAACGAACATGGATTACCTTCCAGTTATTTATCTGACTCGTTTCAGTCCAAGATGGCCCTCTCTCCCCAGCTAGTACATCACAGCACGACCCGTCTTCCACGTTGAAATAGCGCTTGCATGCCTCTTTAATATTTTCGATTGTTGGTTCTCCACCAAAAGGAACACTTGCTAACGGCCCAATCCTTGCGTATTTTTGATACCTTCCTTCGACATGAGACGACAATCTTTGAACTGTGATATAGTCCATGTCCGACTTGGAACTTTTTTCTTCTCTTTTTTGAGATTCGCTCCTTAAACTTTGCAAAATACTCTTTGAAATTTCGTTTTGACATAGTTTAGAGAAACAGCCTTCGGAATGGTAGCAATTTCAAAGTGTAAATAAATATAAATAATCAAATTCAAAAATATATCCCACGTGCGAATATGGCCAATCATGTGCCAATCAGAGTTCCTTATGCGTTCCGCCCATTGAGCTCTAAAAGACCTGGAGGGGCAAAGGGGCCTGGACCCCGTGGTCAAAAACATGGCGGTAATGGCGGATTTTGGTTGTCAAAACTTCCACTTTGAGAAAAATTTTTAACATTCGCTCCCTCCCGAAACGGATCTCTGTTACTGCTCATAATAATGACAACCACGATACCGTAAGCATAAAATATGGAAAATAATGCTTCAGGTTTTTGTGAAATAGACACACACATTTAAATGAGGTAAATCTACTGTAAAATAACGTATATTTTGTCAAGTAATGCTTTAGCTATATTAGAAATAAATATCAAACGGCAATCTTTACACTGTCAATGTGTTGTTAAGCTTTAATGCATAATCCCATGCGCATGACTTGTGTTTTTGACTGTTTGTGAACAGCTTGGTGCAACTGTCTTTCTTGAATAGATGGGTAAATCTTAGTTAAAATGTCCAAAAAGGAGTTAGAAAAGTTAGCTTACCCCTACGACTTAAGTCGACTGGAAATATATTATAAGTAGGTATGTAATTTTTTTGAGTTTTTTGGTAGGATTGATTCTGGGTGTCTTATAAAGTATTATGATATTCTGATAAATCTACTGAGAACTTATGAGGAAAATATCTTGAACTAGGAGAGCAAAAGAACGAAATTCAGAAATTCTATAATCATGTTGCTGGTTCTGTTTTGAGCCAAGATATTAGAAAATGGATTTTTATTGACAACCATGGATCTACTACTGAACAGAACTACATTAATTTCCCATTGAAAATACTATTTCTTAAATCAAAGTGCATTGGTTTCTCTGACATAACACTTTTCTTATTGCTGCATGAAGGCAAACCTGTTTAAATAATTATAATGTAGGTGAAGATATTTAGCATGTTGTATAATTGTTATTATACAGACATTATTTATAATATTATGGCTTTGTGTAATGTATGTCAAGAACTTATTAATTCTCAAAAATGCTAACCTTCTTGCACTATTTTCTCTTGTGTCCTTACAAATTACTAGTACCTATACTAATTTTTTCTAGGTTCAAACAACTTGACAAATTTTTGAATTTTACATTATGCCTTTGAATTGTTCTTTTTGTCTTTTGGTAAAAATATCAGTGAATGACTTAAAAATCAAGTTTATCTAAAATAGTATTTTGTATATAGTAACTAAACATAATTGCAAAAGTCTCATGTTGAAGACAGATGTCGCTTCTTTTACTAGATTGCTACTCTTATTCTTTTAAATGATATCGTAATTCTTCAAAAGACATAAAAAGTTCTTTGCCATCAATTTTTGCTTCTTCCACATTCAACTTCATTGCAACCGATGCATCTTATGTGAATTTTTAATCACCTGGAATTGAAAAACATGTGGACTTTGTCAGATGATGCAGTACTGTATTTAATGTTTCATGCATGTCATGATAAGCTTTTCTTGAGCAAATATTTCAAGGTAGGAGCAAAATTTGGCACATTATTGAACAAAGTAGTTTTTATCTTGATTTTGATGTACTAACCTGTTTACTACACTATGTAGCAAACAATTCATTTACAGAAACACCAGATGGCTGGATTTATAAAACTTTTAGCATAAAGCAAACCTTTACACACCATCATTATGATTGTCCATAATCTGTCAAATTGTCCAGGTTTGCTGTTTAATACAGGTATTTTTTATTGTACGACATGTACCAAAGAGCTCACTAATTAATCCTGCACTGCATTTGATTTCAATACAGCTCTGTCCTTAATATTTGCTTCATATTTTCAGAAAAATATGAAAAAATCCTCCATTTCAACTCAGTTGAAACAAGGAGTTTTAAGATATGCATATCTCGATAAGAACTGGTTGCTTTGCCTCGTCTAGCAATCGATTAAGTAAAGAACAAATAAGACTGGATAAACATAACTTAAATTACAACTTAGGAGTAAAAACATTCACAAAATATATGCCATCACACTTCAAGTATCGACTTAAAACAAAACACTGCACACTTTAAATAGTAAACAATCTTACGTTGCTTACCGGTGTCATGAAATGTTTCCTTTTCTGGCATTACTTCAGCATCCGTATACCAAACAAGTTTGCAGCATGTTTTAAAGATAAAATTTCTAAAAGTTTTTGTGTTTGGCATTGATATTTTATATAATCGCAATTGTGGTTGTCAAATCCGGGTGGGCGAAAAAAATGTCATTTCATGAGCCCGCGTCTTTCCGCTGACTTTGACAACCAAAATCCGCCATGTTTTTGACCACGCGGCCGCGCGATAATAATTTATAGTAATTTGGTTGACGTTTCCCCTCCAGGTCTTATAGAACTCAATGGTTCCGCCATATTTATAAAGTATAGAGCCCACTTCATGTAATATGGAAATATAGGGTTTATGAGGTAAGAATTACAGGGAATTGTGGGCTATGGCACTCATAGCATATGATTGATTCAGTTTATTTTTGGAAAACTGAACTGATTTGGAGAAAAAGCCAAACTTAAACAAAACAAAACTGAAACAAAACTATAATTGAACTGTTAAAAAAATAATTAAACAAAACAAGACTGAAACAAAACTATAATTGAACTGTTAAAAAAATAATTAAACAAAACAAAACTGAAACAAAACTATAATTGAACTGTTAAAAAAAATAATTAAACAAAACAAAACTGAAACAAAACTATAATTGTAAAATAATAGAAATGAAATAAGACCAATAATGGAGTGGAAACACTAGAAATTACTATGGCACTCATAGGCCACCATAGATATCCTATCAAACAAGAGTTACATATAGGGATTGTTGTAAAAACTATGAAATAAAACTGTTGAATGTGCCACTAAAAGAAAATACAGTCTGTTGTAAGCGCTTAAAGTGTCCAAATTAAAATTCTCCAATATCGTTTTTCTGACCTTTTGCATAGTTCAATATTTTGACAATGAATTTGCCAGGCGGAAAGCAAATTCATAGTATAAATATAATTGCCCATCATAAAACTTTTAAAATGGCCATGGGTATATAATTTTATTAACAATAACGTTTCGTCTTTAGCTTAAGACATCTTCAGATTACAATACATACATGTAGAAAGTTAGAAAACATATATACTAATTATACATTATTTACAGGGTGTTAATTTACAAGGTATAGTGATGACAGTGTTGTGTGATTTTTATGTTAAAGGACAGAGTGGTGTTGAATGGAATTAGATAAGATTTAGTGGGATGGAACTGCCTTGGACAATAAGAGATAGTTTAAGCTTGAAGTCTATTGCTATTTTAAATATTTTAGGTTGGGCAATTATATTTATACTAATTGACTTTGCCACTGCGTACCAGCTATGTCTTTTTTATGACAAATTTACATTAGGATTAAATGACTATCGAATTGTTATTAATGTGAAAAAACGTAAACATCAAGCATGAAAAAAAGTTGGAAAACACTAATTAACTGAATGGATTTCTTAATTCGACAACGCCACCTTGTTCACATACGTGGTCTGGAATGGAGGAGGTTGAGCGCCATAACCATACCCAGGGACCTGGGACGGCATTGGCTGCACTACATAACCTGGTTGGATTGAAGATTGATTGGACGTCACGACTACAGCGCCCGCGTCCTGAACAGGTACACCAGGGGTCACGACCACTACAGGATCCTATAGCAAACATATCAAAGTGATTGAGGAGAGGAGTTGGCAAATAAATTTTGGGAATAACTAAAAATAAAAGTGCTTAATTTTATCGTCGTGACATATCCTAATCGAGAAGTAGTAATTATATAGCGAGTTTATATTTTTATATGCATGTGCTAATTTTTCAATTTTGTTGAAAACGATTATTATTACAAATTTCAAAATACATGAATATGGATCCAACAATAACCGAGGCTAGCTATGTACGCCATTAATACATAATCTTCTGCTGATTTGAATACTGTAGCGTTGTTAAACGCACAAAGTTTATATAGAACTTGCCAGTTGATGTTTGTCATTAAAAAACGGTCTTTGGACACTGTTACAAGACGCGTTTGACTGTAGACAAGACCCTAGTCAAAGTATCATATAAACCTCGAGGACTTCATATTACACAGCACAACTTGCACTTCACGCACTGCACTTCCTCGACGAGAGCGCATTCTCTAGTAGTGCTCACGTGACTGATTAAGTGGCTAAGCCATGACGTCAAAGTTAAAAACACTTACACGTGGTGCGCAACAAGTTCCCATACATCCAATTATGGACGCGATGAAAGTAATTATAGTGAGAATGATGTAGATGACAAGAATATCGTCGCACTTCATGTTCCCTGAAAGAGAAAATATAAAAACTAACAAACGTACAACAGACTAGAACATTAATTAGAACATTAATTAGAACTTAGGCTTAACTAGAACATTAATTGGGTGGGTGTATATTCATATATTCAGTTGTGCTCTACTGATTTTTCTTTTGAAAGTGAATTGAATTTTTCAGCAAGAAGTTTAATACAGGTTAAACGATGCGCAATAAAAAATGTGTAAAAGCGACAAAAAGCCTGGGAATGTGACAACACTTACCATTAAACTATTTCACTCAGCTAGAAACGGCTCCGAAGTCTGAACCTGTTTTAATAAAAATCCTTTATAGTTTTATCGTTCTGAATACAGTGAGGTCTTCGCGCGCAAAGCAAGAAATACATTTTAGAGATAATGAAGTCTTAATTTGTAAATTTTACGGAGATAGTTTTCCAGTTTTCACCGGCGCCATAAGTTGAAATGGCAAAGCCTTAAACTGAGGCCAAGCTAAGTCTGATCTTCTTCTATAGTGAAGAACGCTCAATGTTAAAATAACAAAACACGCCTTACATCTTACTATTGTATAAAGAAAACTTGTACCATAACAATAACACTGATCACCCACATCTGTGCAACGATAATGGGATGACCTCACTTTGTTCACAGCGATTGTTACGACCATTAGAATAACACTACATTGCTATCCATTCCACTTTTCTTCATTAATACAAGGTACTACGTCAAATTTCACTGATCAGGACAAAATTTTTTTGGTTTTGTAGAAGCTGCACTAAATATTAAAGTTCTTGCTCACTTACTTCTAACCGAAGATCTTGTCTCTATTACATACCAATGTCCCAAAACCATCTTTAGTTGCTGTTTCCATGCATTGATTATATAAAGAATGACTTCAAAATAATTCAAATATTCTTTATTTTAAATTAACATTATAAACTTTTATCAAAGGACACAGAGTAAATTAGTAAATTAGTATGTATAGATCAAAATCATAACTACATTTCTTGTTGAGAAATATATATACAGGATCACTTTTTCAATCAATGTGCCAGAACTTTTCACTCTCCTTTTCATGGTATGACAAAGACAACTTTTATCTATGAAAGTCCTTGCTAATCAATTTACAATAAAACAAAGTTTGAACCCAAGCAAAAACCCCAGCGTTCTGGCTTCTGAAATGGCTCACTGAAAAATATTCTTTCTTGAACTGTAAAACAAGATCTTGAGCATAAAGCCTTAACTGAAGATTAACAATCATCACAACCTATGAAAGAGATTGTTGAAAAATACAAAAGTTTACCACTTCTGACATATTGTAAACAAATGTTGTATATAATGTTGAGTTCTAGCTTGGTGTTTTGAGATTTTATAACTTCTTTTTGCAAAATATCTCTCAGTTGTATACAGAATGCAATAAGAATGACTTTAGCAATATTTACACTAACTCTTAGCAATGGAAGTTTATGGAACTTACAGCCTTCTTCATTTCTGTAACACCAATGATTTCACTAGTTTTCTTTTGTTACAATGATAATAAGTGAAAGAATTGTATACTGTAATCAATACTTTTAAAATTATCCTTAAGGATGTGACAGCATAGTTCTTTTTATGGAAAGGGGAAAAAACAGCATGGAACATTCTTCTACATAACCACAAATATTTAAACTCATTTAGTTTCTTAGGAAGTGCATTTCCCTCGCGAGAAGAAATTGTATTTCACCTAAATTGATTCGTTTGTTACGGTGAAAAGAATTTTGAGGCTTCAACAAAAGTTAGTTCTCATTGTTCAAGACAGGAAAGTGTTCAGATGAGCAACTACTACCAACGTGTGACAGTTTGCTTTAACATATTCGTTGGTCAAACTACCAAGCTGCACTTTGGCCTTTCTTTTTACAACCACAAATGGATATTACTCCTCCAGATGAAAATGGGTGGCAAACGAGTGACGGGAAACTGAAAGTCTGAAGTCGTATGGATGACCATTCCCCTAGCGCCGGATTCCCTACTTGATAACGTTCATTGTGGTTGTAAGACTGGCTGCAACGTGGCTGTAACTCCCAACGTTGTTTATGTAACAAAGCTGGAGTGAAGTACACAGATGTATGGTCGTTTACTGCATGCAGGAATGTAGATATTGATAACGACAATGATGTTGAATAACAAAGTGTTGTTAATTCAGTAAATTTGTAGCAATCTTCCATAAACGTCATTGCAGTTGAAATTTTGGTAGCAGTAGTAGGATTCTGTAATATTTCTACATTATTTAAGAACCAGCAGCATCATATAATCTCCAGTTTGTTTTAAAACAATGCAGGTCGACCTTGTACCATCTCAATTTTCTGCCATTATAAAGCCAAGAAGACGAACTTGTTAGGATTAAATATCTTTGCCGGTTGTTCTGTCCCTTTCACAAAAATTTTGCTCTAATCAAAAGTTTGTAGAACGAATAAAAACGCAAAAACTGTGATTTTATAATACAAAAGTATACTTCAATTATCTTAGTATATTTTATACATGATGCGTTATCCAGTGAAATATTCATATCAGTGATTGTAAGTGATACTTTCCAACTTCCTTGAAAACAGCTTCCTACACTCCGGAAAGTAAAATAAGAAAAGAAAAACAAACAGAAAGAGCAAGTTATTCCAGTTCAAAGAGAACTTACAAGAAGTGTTATTGCGAAATTAAAACAAGCTTTTTCGTGCTACATTATGACACTATTTCTACGTATTTTACGTAAACGTATTTAAGTTTGAACGACGTGTTTTGTAGTTAAATTGATAGACTATTCACAAATCACCTGTCAGCTCTCTTGTAGTAGACTATTTTAACTAACAAATAGTTCAGACATAGCCATCTGGGGTAAATTGACTATTTTGAACTTCAAAATGATTATTAATCACTAATTAAACGTAAACATCAAGCATGAAAAGGAGTAGCAAAGTACTGATTAACTGAATGAATTTCTTAATTCGCCAAGAGCACCTTGTTCTCATACGTAGTATAGAATGGAGGAGTTTGATCGCCATAACCATACACTGGGGCCTGGGACGGCATTGGCTGCGCGACATTGCCATGGGCATAACCTTGTTGGATTGAAGATTGGTTGGACGTCACGACTACGGCGCCTGCGTTATGAACGGGTACACCAGTGGTCATGACCACGACAGGATCCTACAGTAAAAATATCAAGTGTGATTGGCGAGAGAAGGACAATAAATTTTGGCGAATCACAGTAAATTTAAAATACATGAATATGGATACAACAATAACCGAGGCTAGCTATGTTAGCCATTAATACATTATCTCCCGCTGTTTTCATTACTTTAGCGTTGTTAAACGGACAAAGTTTATATAGAACTTGCCAGTTGATGTTTTTCATTAAAAAACGGTCTTTGAAAAGTGGAAACGGTTACACGATGTGTTTAACTTTAAACGTAATCAAACTATCATGGCGGTAAACGGCAAGGACTTCATGTTACACAACACGACTTGCACTTCACGCTCAAATATGCACTGGAAGCTGGAAGACCTGAGAACTAGCGGAGCACCACATTTTCCAATCCGTGAATCAAAATACAGATACAGTGAATCTACTTTTTTACTGAGAGCACATTCTCCAGGAGTCCTCACGTGACTCAGGTGGTGGTTAAGCTATGACGTCACAGATTAAAATACTCACACGTGGTGCGCAGCATGTTCCCATACATCCAAATATGGACGCAGTGAATGTAACAATAGTGAGAATGATGTAGACGACAAGAACAGCAACAAAAACAGAGTAAACCGTGTCAATATCTTCGCACTTCATGTTCCCTGAAACAAAATATGTAATGTCAACGACTGTCAGAATCATTAAAAGGCGAAGTTTGTACATCTTTTGATTATGTTATCCTTCGATGACCCAAATTGTCCTTTACCAGGCAATAATTTCAGAAAATGTAACATTCATGTAAAATGGGGTGATTATCAATGGCAACATATAAATTAAAAATTTTTGAGCTTCCATTACACGTAATTTTATAAGCAAATGTCAGCAAAGTTTTGAAAACGCAAAAACAAAATAGAAAATCACGTAAAGCAAAGTTTTGGAAACGCAAAAACGAAACAGAAAATCACGAACAAATGCGAGATGATGGAAAAATACTCGGAAAGTGGGTTTTGTTATCTGGAGGAACATAGTATCAAATGATTTATTTCTTACTGAAAAAAATAGAGAATTGAAACTCTTTGCCAAACACCGAGAATGAATGAATCAATGAATGAAAATCTTTACTTAAAAAGGGTCGCTCTGTCATGTGCTAAATTCACTTGTTATCAATAGGGAAAAAGAAAGAAATATTTGAGTTCAGGTTAATTACAGCGTATAATAAACCTTTCATTAACCAAGCTTGCTCGGCCTTTAAAAATAAATATCGCACCTCTGTCTCTAAGTACTAACCTCGCCCTATGGCCTCGATATGTACAAAAACACCTCGGTACCATATTTTACCGTGAAGACCTCAAGCTTGGTTAATAGAAGGGCTAAGCAACACTCGCCTTTGCTCTACATAGCATTAAGTTTTCTTCCATACCGAAGAACGTTCAATGTTAAATATGAAAGCAACAAAACACGCCTTACATCTTACTGAATTATAATCAGAGTAGATAGATGTTGATGTACAATAACACTGATCACCCTGGTCGCTGCAACTATAATGTCCGGATGACCTCACTTCGTTCATAAGGACTACTATTATTATCAGAATAACACTTGCTACACTGGAAACAATAACGGCGATGATGTTGAAGAAAAGGGCAAACGCCATCTGAAAACACAAAAATGAGCTTTTGAATAAAAAAATGAACCCAAGTTACATGCAGCTTTCTGAATTATCTGCTTTTGCAAGTTATGTCTCGTGAAATTGTTTTCTCCATTCTTTGGGTTGCATTCCTCAAGCGTCGATAAACTGACCTATATATCAATCAACTGGATGTAGCATGTCACACGTCACGTCCAAATCACTAGAGTTAAAAATTACTGCGTAATACAAAACCCTAATAATTTTTTGAAGCCGTGATTTTACCCCAGACACGCGTGTGTAGTAAATCAATTATTACTCCGCGAGAGAATCACGAAACACTACACGCGTGTCTTGGGTAAATCTCGCGTGTCTGATATAAGATTTGGCTTCAATTATTTGCTTTAGGTAGCGTTCCATTTTTGAGGAATCAATTAAGACTTTTCAAACACCCTCATACGAAATATGTTTGAAATGTTGAGATTGTTAAGCATTTAGGATTCAAAACAATTATTGTGGTTATAAGAAAAAGGTTTTCCATCGAAATTCTCTATACTTTTGTTTGAGAAACGCTTACAAAGATGTACCCCACATATCCCACATGACAAACATACCCCACATATCCCACATGACAAACATACCCCACACGTCTTGCATACCAAACATATTCCACATACCCTTTACTACATTCAATCGTAAAAAATCCACGACTAAAGACGCAAATCAAATTGAAATGTTGTGCAATGTCATGTATTGTTTTCGAAAGCATTTTTAAAGAATGGAGAAATCAATCATCTTTGAAAGCAACTATTTTATTAATTTTTTTTCGTCATTTTGAAAAGTGCTGTGCATGCGATAGTCTTCTACTACCTGACAAAGTATCTCCGACAGTCGACTAAATCTATCCGATGTTTACACCGAACTCCGGTTAGCCAAACTTACCACAAGGCTATTTTTCTTAACTCCCGCCAAAATACTCAAGACTCCAGGCACGACAAACTAACAAAACGAAAATGAGCATTGTAAGATATTTGTTGATATGGATCGTCCACGTTAGAGCAGCACTGATAAGGACGGTTGGTGTTGATTTTGGTGTTGATGTGAAGATGACTACCTGTAAGGATGTCGAAACATCAGTCAACACCCACACCAACTGTCCCTCTCAAAATGGAAAAAGAAGTACTAAGCAATTTTCTGATGGTGTAAAAAGACAAAATAAAAAACAATTAAGATGATCATAAAAATCAAAAAAGTAATGTTTGTCATAAAATGTAAACATGTATTCTTCGTTAGCAAGCTACGTCATAGCAGCCATGTTGGATGATTTAACAAAGTATTTTCCTTATTTAAAATGCAAATTTCATCGAACATGGCGAGCATTCCATTCTTCTCTTACTCCCAGGGGGATGGTTGCAACCCACCAATCGGCAAACGTGTAATCGGTGTCGGTAACACAATGGTGTCATACCGGACTGGACGTAAAATCTCCGTCGATACTCTGAAATTAACTCATTATTCAAACATGCACAAACACTCATTGTACTTATTTTCCGCATTTTTAATAATAATATCCTTGTTACACAGCAGCTCCTTTTTCTACCTGAAATACATCTACAGGTAAAGTATTTCTTCATTCATGCAGTTAAGAATTGTCGTTTATCTGAAAAAGTGTTACTTTACAACTTTACAACATCAGTTAACTAAACTTTCAATATACGCAGAAACTATACCAAAACGTTTCGTCATTAATTCAATTGAAGTATTTTATACAAACGTTTGCATTAATTAAAACTTTGACAATACGCTGGAGGCCTTATGCAGAATTTCCACATACTTGACTTTTAATATCCCATGGATTATTACTGATTTTGATATCAAGCACGCTGTAATTTACAAAAGAACACTCTTTGGCTCTCATTTCGCGAGCAAGAATTATTGAAAAATTATAGTTATTCATTTCCGACACTTTTTAGAAGAGTAAATCAAATTGTGATGACACAGCAAGCACACCGTGTCCCTTGGTTTCAATCAATAATTGATTTGAGGATAATGAAACAAAAAGTCCAAAATTTCATGATAACTTCGTCGCTCTAAAGTGATTTTCATTCCCTAAGTCTTTCTATTTTCATAAGTTTTAAGGTTTTCCGCGTGGAGAGGCCTAGTCTTTCATGCTTAGCTCTACGTTGAAAAGTTTCAAACTGTAGCTACGAGGAAATAACACAAACTTGACACGTAGGGCGTCACTGTACAAAGAAAGCCTATCTTATTGTGTGTAGATAGAAACAAAGCAACCTAGCCACATTTCAACGAACGAAAGCAAATTTTGCGATGGTAAGAGACAATTGAATGCATTTAAGTGCAAGAATAACCATAAAAGTGCTCACTTATCTTACTTTTAAAATACACTTACGCGACCATAGGCCAGGCGCTCTTCCGGACAGTTTACTGGCCGAAGGCCACCACAAATAATAGCAATGATAGCAAAACCAAGCATAATCGATCCTGTCACAATGGATCCAATCGCAGTACTTCTTGTCATCACCATTTTCGCCAATGATTTAGGTTTTGGTAGAAACGATGAAGCAACAAAACCTTTAGATTTTCTTCGAACTTCCTCAATGCAAGTGGTCTTGACTCTGTAGCGAAGAAAGCGCAGCTCAAAATATTTTAAGACGTGTGATTTTAATTTTTAAATACCTTTACTGCATTGCCATTGGTTGTGAAAATTACCCCAAATTGAATTTTACCAATCACATTGTCCATGGGGAACTTTTTCTATGTAAATGTTTTCAAGAACGTGCTCTGAAATTCTCAAATCCGTTGAATGACGCAAATCCGTTTTAAAAAGTGCGTGTTTGTTTTGGCCATAGACCAGTATTCGCTGCAGCTCTTCCAGACAGTTTACTGGCTGAAATCGCACCACAAATAATAGCAATGATAGCAAAACCAAGTATAATCGACCCTGTCACAATGGACTCAATCGCAGTGCTTCTTGTCAACACCATTTTCGCAAATGATTTAGGTTTTGGTAGAGACGGTGAACAAGCAACAAAAACCTTTGATTTCTTTGAACTTCCTCAATGTAAGTGGTCTTAACTCTGAAGCGGAGAAAGCGCAACTCGAAATATTTTAAGACGTGTAATTTTAATATTTAAATACCTTTACTGCATTGCTATTGGTTGTGAAAATTACCGAAAATTGAATTTTACCAATCACATTGTCCATGGGGAATTTTTTCTACGTAAATGTCTTCAAGAACGTGATGTGAAATCCTCAAATCCGTTTTAAAATTGCGGGGGTGGGGTGGGGTGGGGTGTGTGTGGGAGAGTGATTTATCCTGATTTTAGCATTTTTTATGAGGAGATAAATTTAGCAAATTCAGCGAGAAAGTATATCAATGTTTAAAGAAGATTCTTCACAATTTCAAAAAATATCCTATCAAATAAGAGTTACATATGGGGATTGTTGTAAAAACTATGAAATAAAACTGTTCAATGTGCCAACAAAATAAAATACAGTCTGTTGTAAGCGCTTAAAGTGTCCAAATTAAAATTCTCCAATATCTTTTTTCTGACCTTTTGCATAGTTCAATATTTTGACTATGAATTTTCCAGGCGGAAAGCGAATTCATAGTATAAATATAATTGCCCAACATAAAACTTTTAAAATGGCCATGGGTATATAATTTTATTAACAATAACGTTTCGTCTTTAGCTTAAGACATTTTCAGATTACAATACATACATTAGTTAGAAAACATATATACTAGTTATACATTATTTACATGGTGTTAATTTACAAGGTATAGTGATGACATTGTTGTGTGATTTTTGTGTTAAAGGACAGAGTGCTGTTAGATAGAGAATGGAATTAGATAAGATTTAGTGGGATGGAACTGCCTTGGACGTTAAGAGATGGTTAAGCTTAAATATTTTAGGTTTGGGCAATTATATTTATACTAATTGACTTTGCCACTGCGTACCAGCTATGTCTTTTTTATGACAAATTTACATTAGGATTTAATGAATATCGAATTGTTATTAATATCAAAAAATGTAAACATCAAGCATGAAAAAAAGTTGGAAAACACTGATTAACTGAATGGATTTCCTAATTCGACAACGCCACCTTGTTCACATACGTGGTCTGGAATGGAGGAGGTTGAGCGCCATAACCATACCCAGGGACCTGGTACGGCATTGGCTGCACAACATAACCTGGTTGGATTGAAGATTGATTGGACGTCACGACTACAGCGCCTGCGTCCTGAACAGGTACACCAAGGGTCACGACCACTACAGGATCCTACAGCAAACATATCAAAGTGATTAAGGAGAGGAGTTGGCAAATAAATTTTGGGAATAACTAAAAATAAAAGTGCTTAATTTTATCTTCGTGACATATCCTAAACGAGAAGTAGTAATTATATAGCGAGTTTATATTTTTATATGCATGTGTTAATTTTTAAATTTTGTTTAAAACGATTATTAGTACAAATTTCAAAATACATGAATATGGATCCAATAATAACCGAGGCTACCTATGTACGCCATTAATACATAATCTTCTGCTGATTTGAATTTTGTAGCGTTGTTAAACGCACAAAGTTTTATATAGAACTTGCCAGTTGATGTTTTCATTAAAAACGGTCTTTGGACACTGTTACAAGACGCGTTTGACTGTAGACAAGACCCTAGTCAAAGTATCATATAAACCTCGAGGACTTCATATTACACAGCACAACTTGCACTTCACGCACTGCACTTCCTCGACGAGAGCGCATTCTCTAGTAGTGCTCACGTGACTGATTAAGTGGCTAAGCCATGACGTCAAAGATAAAAACACTTACACGTGGTGCGCAACAAGTTCCCATACATCCAATTATGGACGCGATGAAAGTAATTATAGTTAGAATGATGTAGATAACAAGAACAGAGACAAAAACAGAGTAAACTGTGTCTATATCGTCGCACTTCATGTTCCCTGAAAGAGAAAATTAAAGACTAACAAATGTATAACAGACTAGAACATTAATTAGAACATTAATTAGAACATTAATTAGAACTTAGGCTTAACTAGAACATTAATTGGGTGGGTGTATATTCATATATTCAGTTGTGCTCTACTGATTTCTTTTGAAAGTGAATTGAATTTTTTAGCAAGAAGTTTAATACAGGCTAAACGATAGGCAATAAAAAAATGTGTAAAAGCGACAAAAAGCCTGGGAATGTGACAACACTTAACATTAAACTATGTCACACAACTAGAAACGGCTCCGAAATCTGAACCAGTTCTAATAAAAATCCTTTATAGTTTTATCCTTCTGAATACAGTGAAGTCTTCGCGCGCATAGCAAGAAATACATTTTAGAGATAATGAAGTCTTAATTTGTAAATTTTACGGAAATAGTTTTCCAGTTTTCAGAGGCGCCATAAGTTGAAATGGCAAAGCCTTAAACTGAGGCCAAGCGGAGTCTGATCTTCTTCTATAGTGAAGAACGCTCAATGTTAAAATAACAAAACACGCCTTACATCTTACTGTTGTATAACGAAAACTTGTACCATAACAATAACACTGATCACCCACATCTGTGCAACGATAATGGGTTGACCTCACTTTGTTCACAGCGATTGTTACGACCATTAGAATAACACTAATACATTGCTATCCATTCCACTTTTCTTCATTAATACAAGGTACTACGTCAAATTTCACTGATCAGGACAACATTTTTTTGGTTTTGTAGAAGCTGCACTAAACATTAAAGTGCTTGCTCACTTACTTCTAACAGAGGATCTTGTCTCTATTACATACCAATGTCCCCAAACCATCTTTAGTTGCTGTTTCCATGCATTGATTATATGAAGAATGACTTCAAAAATAATTCAGATTTTAAATTAACATTATAAACTTTTATCAAAGGACACAGAGTAAATTAGTAAATTAGTATGTATAGAGCAGAATCATAACTACATTTCTTGTTGAGAAATATATATACAGGATCACTTTTTAAATCAATGTGCCAGAACTCTTTCACTCTCCTTTTCATGGTATGACAAGGACAACTTTTATCTATGAAAGTCCTTGCTAATCAAATTTACAATAAAACAAAGTTTCAACCAAAGCAAAAAACCCCAGCTTTCTGGCTTCT